CATCTTGATAACTATTGACAAGAAAACTAAAGTTGTTCTTTTACTTCTAGATTTGAGTGCTGCCTTTGATACTGTCAATCACCCAAGATTAATCAAGAAGCTAAGATCTGCTTATGGCATTACAGGCATTGCTCTTACATGGATCAGGTCCTACTTGGCTAACCGTTCATTTTGTGTCAAAGTCAAGGATTCGTCTTCCTCATCAACTGTTCTTGAGATAGGTGTGCCACAAGGTTCAATCCTTGGCCCCCTGCTATTCATATTGTACACCAAAGATCTTGAGAACATTGCAAGTATGCATGGGTGCTGTATTCATTTGTATGCTGATGACACCCAGCTGTATTTCACTCTTGATTCTGATGACCCATCACAGCTAGAGCACAATATGGAACACTGTATGTCTGATATCAAGAAATGGATGACAAACAATTTCCTTCAACTGAATTCTTCTAAGACTGAAGTCATCGTTATATCCTCTAAATTTGACTCAAAAAATATTCCAGCCTCTCTACAGATTGTTAAGGATCAAGAGCCACATGTTGTTAGTGGAACTGTGAAGAGTCTTGGGCTGTATTTGGACAGTTATCTTTCAATGAGTGATCAGATTACGTCAGTGGTTCAAGCATGTAATATTCAGATCAGAAATTTGTGGTTTATTGCATCAAAACTGTCTTTTAACCTTAAGATTCAGCTTGTTCATGCTCTAGTACTCTCTAGAATTGATTATTGCAATAGCGTATATTTTGGACTGAGCTCTTATGATTTAAGTCGTTTACAGAAGGTGCAAAATTCTGCTGTAAGATTTATTTTCGGGAGAGGAAGAAAGGCACACACTACTCCACTACTTAAGAAAGTTCATTTTCTACCAGTTAGATTTAGAATAGATTTTAAGATTGCCCTACTTGCCTACAAGTGTTTAAATAATATAGCTCCTCCTTACTTAAAAGAGTTGATATCTCCTAGGCAGCAAAGTTTTAAAAATGTACGTCTTGATAATGATTATTTTTACCTTAGTTTTCCGCCCTCTCCTAACTATGTAAACACAGAGAAAGCTTTTAGTCACTGTGCAGTTAAAGTATTTAATTCCTTGCCATACGACATAAGATCAGCTGAGTCAGTTACATCTTTCAAGACCAAACTTAAAACATACTTCTTTTCTCTAGCATTTGATTGATTTTGCATTTACATAGGTAAAATGAACTTGTCATGTCTAATTTTCAATTAAACTAAGCTCAGTTAATGTAAGAGCCGCTTTAGAAAGCACTGGAGTTTATCTCCAGGATTAAATTATATCGAGTTATATGATTTAGCTATAAGGCGGTTTATAAAAGTTGTATTTATTATTATTATTATTATGTGGGTACAGAGGAAAGAGGATAAACATGAGACCCCTCTATGAGAAGTCTCGTACAACCTCATTATACCTGCCATTTCAATTTGTATATATATATATTTTGTTGCTGTACTCCTACACATTAAAAGTCGGTGTTGATTAGATCTTCGAAATAGTTCTTTGCATCATTTTATTAAACATCGTTATCTGAGATAAAATTGTTCTAAAAGCAACTGGAATATACACAAATCTTTAAAATAACTTACAAACTATATATACCAAAAGGAACACAAAATTTGACTAGGGGGTTAAATAATGGGGGGTAAAAATATGGACTGTTATAAATATGGTTCTCTGGCCCAAAAAGGACCAAATTAGACCCCCCATAATATTACCGACTATACCACTAAGGTAGTTAAACTGAAACGACGAACATTTTTGATACATGTTACGTATCACCGGCGGCGCGCGCTTCGCGCGCGAAATGTGGCATGCAACGTATGTCAAGAACATTTATGAAGTCATACAAATTTGTCAAATCACAAGATGGCGCTCGATTTTTACTAATGTGAACACAAACTGCGCGCGCCGCGCAACCATTAATTCATAACTTATCATTTTAAACATTTAATACACTCCTCCGATCCTAATAACACAAGAATTTGTCATAATCAAGTAATATTGTGTGTTAACGAACTAACAAAAATAAGTTGACTGTTTTATACATCATTTTTACTCATTAAAAATGTTTTGTAAGTAGTTACAATTTTATAAATTTAAATATTTTTAACATTTATGATTAATTACTTGTGTTATGTTATAATAATTGAAGTTTTTATTACAACCTCAAATACAAATATTGCATTAAGTAAAATAAAATTTTTAAGTAAAATAAAATTTAAATTTTATTGCCATTACAATGAATAATAATATCATAATAAATATAAGTAGACATCCGATAATAAACTTGTTACATCCAGTATACAACCCAAAATGTCAGCCGACGCGACTTACAAAAATAAAGAAAGCTAGCATGTTCATTGTTGATAGTTTTTCTAACGAGCATACTTAGGCTGTACGGAAATAGCTTTAATGTTTAATTCTACGTCATATTAAAAACATTACATCATTTTTGCTAGATACAAAAATAAATTTTAAAATAAATAACTCTTTTGCTGCTAAGGCGCGGCACCGCGCTGGGTCCACATGTTATACAGCGTGTAGCAACACAGCGCTGAAAATATAAGATGATTGAGCTATAACATATAAGCGGTGCGCCGCGCCTAAACCTAAAACCATAAACTTTAAATTGTAAATATTGTCAAGATATTTAAACGATACCGACCTTTCCAAATTATAAAAATAATTATGTATATTCAGACGAAGCGAAAACGTGCATATCAAAAAACGCCGCGCAAACGATCATTTTTGTTTTTCTTCACTACACACTAGGATCCAGCTTGATTCACGATGTCAATCCTTCGCATCTCGCCGATCGCATCTCGCCGATCTGCATATGTGGTTGCGAGAAGCATTATTGGATGCGCGCGCGCGACCCAGTAGTGCATCGCGCTACAAGGATCCAGCAAAACAGTAATAGTTTCATTGACGATGTCGATTCTTCGCAGCTCGGCGAGGGCCTGTATAGCGAATTTCGCCAATTTAACTGACGCCAATTTAACTATGCTTGATTGACGATGTCAATCCGTCGAAATCGTTGCATGCTCTGCGAAGCAATTGTATCACGTGGTGACCCCCACGGTCGTTTCACTATAGTAGCGTCTTCGACGCTACAGTGGGAGCCGCGCACTTCGTGCGCGGCGGGTCATACAACGTATGACAACGAAGCAAAGCAACGATCGACGACGGATCGCAAAAATGCAATGGAAGGAAGAATGGAAGCAAAAATGCTAGTTCGCAAGAATGGAAATAAGAATGCTAGTTCGCGAGGCGCGTCGAAGCGGCGAAGTCCTCCAAAACTATGCGAGAAGCATAATTGAGTGCGCGGCGCGGCCCAGTAACGCATCTCGCTACAAGTAATAGTTTTTTGCGAAGCAACTATTTGGAAGGGTCGGTATCGTCAATTAAAAAAGCTCTATAACAATCTTTGAATTGATTGACGATGTCAACCCTTTCAAAGCGTTGTTCTGCTCTGGGAATTAACAAAGCAACGACTTAGTAAAAATGATAATTTGCGCAGCGCGTCGAAGCGGCGAAGTCCTCCAATTCTTAAATAGCAAAATATTCGAAAATAGCGCGCCGCTCATAATTGGATTTGTTTTCGTAAGAATCGAGCACTATTTTATCCCCCGACAATTTATATATAAGCTTATCTTTTATGTTTTACTACCGTTCTTTTTCGGTGCCCATCAACCCCAATTACCATGTGAGTCTTGAAGGTTTATAACCTACCAGGACTTAACGGGTGATACTCGTAAAATATCTGTTCCATATACAGAGGACATGGACATGCTCGAAAATTTCGCAGAAATGCCATTCTTCGACCCCATCATCGAAGATGATGTACACGTCCTCCGGACCTGCTTCCTGTATGAAGACTACCGACACCGCTTTAGTCAGAGAGCCAAAACCTGTCTTTTCGCTAACTTAGAGGGGCTATTCACAGATGCCAGCCTCATAAGAGAGACAGCGAGACAAATTGTCTTTTCTCTACACCTCAACAGAACTCCTCTGCGGATACGTGACGGTCGAGTCGAGCTTCATTTCATTTCATATCGCGATCACCATATCATATCATTTTGGAACATGTTCATGGGAATTAAATTATTTTATTTGCACTTGTTTCTCTTTCAACAAAAGATGTGACGAAGTTAAATTTTTATGATTTTTAAATTTTTATTTTAAGAACACTCTTGCACATTATTTATTTATTTATTTCTATTATATTGATGTATAGTCAAGACGTGAGTGTTAGGGCTCACACTGACAAATTTATGTTTAATCCTGTTTAATCCTGTTTAATACAGGACCGTCGAAGAGTCCAACTCGGCGCGCGTCCTGGTAGGTAGTAAACCTACAAACCAGGACGCGCGCTGAGTTGGACTCGTCGACAGTCCTAATATTTGGAACAAATATTTTAAGAGTATCATCCGTTAATGTGAGTCCTGTTATTTTTCCTTTTGATTTGTTTAACATTTAAGTCGTTGACTACGATACACTGATAGAAATTGTTTCAACCATTAGGTTCGATAAAAACGGCCAACCGAGAACACTTTTCTTTTGATAAAATTTATAGCGAATTGCTGTGATCCATACGTAAAACTTTTGATATATACAACCAAACAGTTGTACATCACTCATTTACTTGTTTGACATTGGCCAGTGCCCAGTAAACTTGTGTAACACTTCTATAGACGGTATAAAACGACTACGTTTTTAGTTTGATATCACCTGATGATTCCCAATATAGCCTGTGAACGGGGTCGGACCCTGCTGTCAAGCAAGCTTGTCAGATTCGTTAATTTTTATATCTAACCCTCCTCCCCCTTGATTTAGATCCCATAACCCCCATTCACAAATAAAACCCCTGATTAACCGTAATATTCCCCTCTCCCCAAACTGTGGGTAAATTGGGGTCCACCACTGTGCCGGTACTTTCAGAGGTACCCAATGTGTCAGGAAACCAGGGCTCATTTCTTCTTAGTTGATGGCTCTGGAAATAGGCAAGATATGTAAACTAGACGAGGTCGTAATCAATAGAATAGCCGCTGGAGAAGTTGTACAACGACCTTGTAATGCCATCAAAGAATTGGTTGAAAACAGCATTGATGCAGGTAAATTCTACATAAGAAAATATAGCACATTAATTGATGAATATGTAATTACCACAATGGTCCGATCAGAACACTACTAGTATTTCCAAAGAAAGGGTTACAGTACAGAAATAACTAATGTTAGTTGTTTATTGTTATAGGATCTGACTCGATTACGGTATCAGTTGATGACGGTGGTTTGAAAATGCTACAAATAACTGACACAGGTACATACATCATGTTCGTTATATTTGTTGTAGGGTATGGATATATACATGTTTTGTTAAAAATTACTATAGCAATGGTAACTGATCATATCTTAGTATGATTACAGAGAAACACGGAATGAATTACATGAAAGAAAGCAGTTATATTTTTAAAGATTGAGTCGTTAACTGTTCTCTGAAGATAGAACTGTTTTTAGTTTATTCTGGGCTACCCTGTATTATATAACATTTCGATTACACCAGGTCATGGTATCAGAAAAGAGGATCTGGTTATTGTTTGTGAAAGGTTCACTACAAGCAAGCTGAAAACATTCTCGGATCTGAGATCTATCAATACTCATGGCTTCAGAGGAGAGGCACTTGCGTCCATCAGCCACGTTTCCTTTGTTACTATTCAGACCAAAACTGGTTAGTTTTATAATTTGAAGGTTTTAATTTCATGCTGCTGAAATGTTCATATTACAATCGAAGCACATTATTACTTCTCGTAACCATTATACGTAACCATTATAATAAGCAGTCTGAAAGCCTCATGGGAAATTATAGATTTATTACTCATAACTATTGTTTCCCATTCTCGCTTGAACATGACTTAAATGTACATCTTTGTTGGGTATACTTTAATGTCGAAGTGTGTAATAAATGTTAGAATTTATTTATTATTATTCATAATCACATCAGTATACGACAAATGTGCATGGGCTGCCCATTATAAAGATGGAAAACTCCATCCAAAGAAACCAGGGACATCAGCTGACCCAAAGCCATGTGCAGGTTACTCTCCACTTTCCACCTCATGTTGTAGTCTTTCAAATTGTTCAGATAGTTTTAAATCAATCTGTTGTATTTCCTGTTTAAATATATAACTTTACTATACTGCTTACTGATTTGTACATTTAGTCAGCTAACAGTGAATTCTGCAGGTAATACGGGTACAACTATAACAGCTGAGGATTTGTTTTACAACATGGGAACAAGAAAAAGAGCAATGAATGGAAGGGATGAGTTCAACAAGGTGGCTCACGTTATAACTTGTTATGCTGTTCATAATACTGGCATTGCTTTCTCCCTTAAAAAATCTGGTTTGTAAGACAAATTGTTTGTTTTATTAATAAATTCCATTTATTTTCAGTTTTCCACGAAAAATAAAACTAATACGATAAGTGATAAATTCAAAAATTAAAATCGCAATTCGCAACAAATACAATTTTTCATATCTATCTAATCCCATTAGGAGATAACATGCCGAAAATTCGCACTACATCAAAAGCCTCAAAAATTGATACAATAAGCAATCTGTACGGACCTGCTCTAGGAAAAGAGCTCATCGAATTCTCCTGTGACGATAAAAACTTTGCTTTCAAATCATCAGGCCTCCTCACCAACGCAAATTACAGCGGGAAATCCTTCAGATTCCTTTTGTTCATCAACAATAGACTCGTAGAATCTTCATCCGCAAAGAAAGCATTTGAGGCAGTTTACTCCTCTGTCTTACCTAAAAACAGCTACCCGTTTGTATACCTTAGCATAGAGATAGATCCTCAGAATATAGATGTAAACGTTCATCCAACTAAAAACGAAGTACACTTTTTGCACGAAGACGAGATAATAGCTGGTATCCAGGCAAAAGCTCAGCAGACACTGTACAAGTGCTCTACTTCTCGAAACTACTACACTCAAGCCAGGTTTGGGGTTGGAAAATGCAGAAGACGCTATTATAACTTTAACATTTTTTTGATGTACTTTGCCAGTTTTATGGTTTTAAGACCGTATTTTCTATACGAGCTAATTTATTCAACGGGAATGTATGGTATTTTATTTCAATGTTAATTTCAGATTACCGGGTTTTGACATGGCAGCAGCTGTCGAGGAAGTGAAAGGAACAAAGAAAGTCCGAGAAGAAACTGAAAACACAAGAGTATACGACCATGAGCTGGTCAGGACAGATTGTAATCAAACCAAACTCGATCTGTTCATAGCTAACCAAGCAAACAAAATAATGTCTGAGAAAACATCCGAACTAAACACAACTCCTACGACCTCTTTGTTCACAACACTAGACTCTGAAAAACCTGGTCCTTCCAGTAAGAAAATGAAATTACCCAACCCCGGAACTGCAAATTCATCCCGTGCTAGTACATCCAGCGATAACAAAGAGAACATAGACACCATCAATGTGGAGGAGTTCATTCCAAAAGAAGCCCCAAAATCAGTTAACAACCCCACACACCGGCGCCCAATATATCTAACCTCTGTGTTAGCACTTCAAGAAGAGATCTGCAAAGCAAGACACGAGGGAGCAGTTGACCTTCTTCGTGAGCACAAGTTTGTTGGAGTGGCCAATACTCAGTATGCCCTCGCTCAGGTCAGGACAAAACTTTACCTGTTTGATATCGGCAAACTTTCTGAAGCTCTCTTCTATCAGAAAGCAATCTTCGATTTTCAGAACTTCGACATTTTCGATTTCTCAGAACCATCACCGATGCATGAGCTGATAATGATAGCCTTGGATGATGAGAGTAGTAGCTGGAATCCGGATCATGGTCCAAAGGAAGAGCTCGCTACATTTGCCACCGACCTGCTTGTGTCCAGGAGGGAGATGCTGGACGATTACTTCAGTATAATGGTCACTAAGGAGGGGAGCTTGTCTGGTTTACCGCTGCTTGTAGATCAGTACTACCCTCTACTTCACCAGATTCCCATGTTTCTGTTGAGACTAGCCACTGAGGTGGACTGGGACTCAGAGAAGGGGTGTTTTCAGACTATAGCCCAGGAAATTGCTAAATTGTACGCTATGAGGCCGATTGAGCAAGAAAGTGATAACTCAGCTACGCAGTCAACTCAGAACAAAATGTCCGACCCGAACATTCCTGATTGGAAGTTTACGGTGGAGCACATACTTTTCCCTCAACTCAAGTCTTTCTTTGTTCCCGATCAAAGTGTTACAGCTAGTGGTGCTATCCTTCAGGTCGCTGACCTTCACGATCTTTACAAAGTGTTTGAGAGATGTTAAAAATAAGAATTTTTAATTGGACCAGTTTTATAATTATTCGTTCTTCTTGTTATAGTTTATTTCACAATTTGTAATGTGGCGATACAGCAGAGGGGTAAGTTTCAAGTGACAAGTTTTTAACACATTTTTTATAATTCTAATTAATACAATAGAAATATTTCTATTTTTGTATTTTGCCTTAACTTATTGATATTCTAACTGATATAATTTGAGAGGTTTTCTTAGTCTCTAGAAGCTTGTAAAGGTTAATATTTGATTTATCGTTAACTTGATATAATAAGTATTATGATTGCGTCATATATACAAGCTTCTAATAGATTTTTGTATCGATGTAACATTTTGTAATACGAATTATCCAAGATCACTACAATTTGTTGTCCTGATTTCTCGATCGTTTTTTCTTCCCTTTCCCAAAATATAAACTCCCAAATATTTCTTAATTCTAACATCATAATATTCCCACATAGTTTAGGTGATGTAACCTGACTGATTTCTCCCAAAAGTTCACATTTAAACGATCATGAGTTACAAAAAGTTAACAGAACGCCCCATCGCTGGGGGTTTATGGTTCCAGTGTACCATGACCCTTCCAGCCAAAGGTTAATGATTGAATAATTCTACTAAATTCAAAGATATATATTATACATTATACATATGTAGACGCTTTTTGATATTCTTTGATTCTGTCGATCCCTGAATTCCCACCAAAGGAATTGTGTACATTCCATATTCATTTTGCGACAATCTGCCCTGGATACCTAATCGTTATATCATTAGGCTGAAGCTTGGCAAATCCAATATTTAGCATTAAACGTGAAATTCGTGGGCTGTCTTCTGAAATCGATTTTGTATAAGATTTTGAAATATAAATTTTGAAACATCCTCGGACAGTCAGCCATATTGGATCAAAAGCTACAATCTAAATAATGAATGCATATAATATATAAACTACAATCTAAGTTCTATGTGCTTTGTAAACATCAATAAACACACACAAAGCATTCCTAACATACCACATACTGTACAGGTCGAGGTTGTCACCTGATCACGGAGCACCTTGAGAAGGTTAAAGAGCTGGAGGAGTACAAGGTTGGGCTCTGTCACATTATCCTACTCCATACCTCCGCTTCTCTCACTCTTAATGAGAATTGGGACCCTAATGTCAGGTAAGAGATGCAGCCACACTTTCTTGAACGAGAGTTTATTGTGAACGAGAGTTTATTAAAGTTTTCCCTATTTGGTAATACTCTTTTTCAATCACACAATAGTTGATATATGTATATCACTAGGGCGTCCCGAAGGCAATATCACTGAAGGAAAAACTGATTGAACAGATCCCAATTTTATTTCCCAAGAGTTTTCAGCGTCCAGTCTGTAATTTCAAAGTACAATCCCTTAATGACCTGTGAGTTAACTCTTATTAAATCCCAGGAACGACATGGAGATGATGCTTAACAAGATAGCTCCCGAGGAGGGTATCAAGTATACCCACACGTGCGAGGGCCCTGATGACATGCCCGCACATGTTAAGAGCACGGTTATTGGCAGTGAGATTACTATTCCCATCCACAACGGCAAGCTAACCCTCGGTAGATGGCAGGTACGGTGGTCACGTGCTCTTTTAAATAGCTTATGTTTTATATTGTGGCTTAGAATAAACGCCATATCGAGATGTGTAGAACCTGTAGTTATTTGCCTTGTTTCACTTTGTCTGTCACGAGCCGTGACGCTCCTTACCGAACACTATTACTACATATATACAATGACAACCTGTAGAGAAGAAAAACAGTTGAATGTACTTCAAATCATAATTTGCTCACAATTATAATCACATTGCATGCTGTAGATTATTAGATATTAAGTTGTGACTACTTTACAGGGGTTATGGTTGTGTGAACACAGGAACTGTGCAGGGACCAGGAAAATTGTTATCACTCTCAGTGGTGCACCTATCACAAACTAGACAATGTCTGAGACACTGACCCTTGTTATAGATCAGTTCTTTGGAAATCATGAGCTGAAATCCGTGCTGATACTTTGATTGTTTTACAGATTCCGGTTCCAAAATCTCAGTTTACTGTGATTTTGAAACAACCTTCAATTGCATTTAATCACCAAAAGTTATTCATTTTTTGAGAAATATTTGTCGACCTATGCCCAACATGTTCTTTTATCATACTCATAGGGTATTTTCTCGGGACTCAGCGCCTTACACGATCTTGCTATTAATTCGTTTAGAGATCTGTTTTCTTGATTTTTTGACTTCTATAATTTGATAGGTTTCTCCAATGATATGTGATTTCAAGGGCTGAAGCGTGTGATTTAAAATTCAAACCATATATTTAAAGAATTTATTATTTTAAGATGTTAAGTACACTTTATTATTCTACAGTTTGATAGTACATGTTGCATTAATGTACCAAGTATCTTCAGATCTTACGTAATTAAATAATGTTATGAAGTATTTGTCATGATTTCTTTTATAATATTTTGTTTGATTGCTTGCAATATCATCACTTACTAGCCTTTCTGTAATCGATTAAGGACCATTCCAGGATTGCACTTTTGTTCAAGAAACTACCATAATATTAAAGTCAGTTCTATTGTACATTAGAACTAGACAGAAACATGTAACATGGGTTAAAATCAGTCAAAAAATAATGAGTCACGTACGTGTGTGGCGGTTCCTCCGCCCTGCCGGATGCGCCAAGTGATAGCTTGTTATTATATGATTTACGTCCTTAGTTTTTGCTAGTTGGCCCTTTTTATGATATTATTACCCCCTTTTGCACAGTTCTTCAGGAGTGTTTCCCTTCATGTTTTCTGTTCCTTAGACCAAACAGGGGCGTGAGCTGCCCGCCCTAGCTACGGTACGAGAAGCAGCGGCAGTGTGTGATCCGGTTATAAAGAGTGTTCTTGGAACAACAGCACTCTGCTTGGCTGCACTGTGACAGTGGGAGAACATTAGTTCATGTCACCTAACGCCCGCTTAACCTTGGCAGCCCCAAGGCATCTGGTTGGTGATGGTTCCCAGGGCTTTTTCAGTTGGAGTCGGCTGTTAAGTTTGTCCTGTAAATTCTTGTCTTAAGAAAGGAAATAAAATATATAACATCACATCCAACACTTGGATTAATCCCAACAGTATTATTTCCCCTGATATAACACCGTGTAATAAGTCAAGATGTCTCACCTGTAAACCATTCAGGTCAAGTAATATTTTCACCAGTTACGTTACTAATAATTCTTTCATGTTAACTCACTCTGAATCCTTTTCTTGTAAATCTTCTTCTATTATCTATCTCCTCACTTGTTCTTGTGGTATTCAATATGTTGGGCTCACAGAACAGCGCCTTAATGAACGCATGAATGGACACCGTGCTTCGGTTAAAGCCGGCAAATCCTCCTTTGTCCATGACCACTTTAATACTCCCGGTCATAATTTTCATGACGCCTCCATTCAAATTATTGATTTTATTGACCCTTCCTCTACTGAAGACCCTCGTCTGGCCTTAGCTGACAGGGAACTTCTTTGGATTAATCTCCTGAGCACTGCTCACCCTCTAGGTCTCAATGACAACATAAAAGGTTCTGGTAATATTTCTAAAAGCAACTTTAACGATATTTATTTTAAAAGTAAAATAAAAAGATATAAAAGAGGACATGGCAGAAAAAAGAAAAACAAAAGCCATGAAGATAGAATATACAAAAGGACTCTCACTTTAAGAGAGATTGACAATAAATATGAAAGTTTAAAAAGAAAAATGTCTGAAAGCAAATACAACTTTTATAATCTGCTCCGTAGATAAAGCTTCAAATAATTATGTTTTTGTCTGCAAGAAGTTTTATCTTTTAACCCTTCTCAACGAACTTGGCTACGATCTCACTTCTCTAGAGTGTCGTGGCAATTCTACTTATCATCCGGTTAACTCTGTAGAGGATGATATTATTCAGGAACATGTGAACTTCATTAAAGATAACTTTAATATTCGTGTTTCTGAGGACAACCTTTGTCTACCGAGAATCTTTTGGATTCCTAAACTTCACAAGAATCCTTATAAGTCTAGATTTATAGCTGGGGCCAGTAAATGTACCACTAAGCAGATATCAGTTGTAGTCAACAAAGCTTTAAAAGTTTTAAAAGAATACTTTTCCAAATACTGCAACTCTATCTACAACAATACTGGAATTAACTGCGACTGGAGCATTAACAGCTCTAAACAGTTCCTGGAAAGGCTGCCTAGACTAGAGATTTTTAAAATTCAGGTATACGACTTTACCACTCTGTATACCAATCTAGACCTTCAGGTTGTACAGTCACTGCTTTTCGAGCTAATAGATCTCCTCTTTAGTAATACGAATAAATTTATTTGTGTTTCTCTGTATAAGAACAACAATTTTTTCTCTAAAAAGGAATATAACGGATACTTATGTTTTTCTGCTGATAAACTCAAAACAGCTATTACATTTATTCTGTTTAACACTTTTGTTTGTTTTGGGGATCAGATTTTAAGACAAACGAAAGGCATTCCCATGGGAGGGAATTCTAGTAGCCAGTTCGCTGATCTTTCGCTAGGGAAGTGTGAATACAACTACATGACACGCCTAATCAAAGAAAAGAAGTTCGGTCTCGCTAAGCTCCTCTCAAGAAACTGCAGATATGTCGACGACCTCAACACCATGAACTATTTGCATTTCTCTAACCTAATCAGGTCCATTTATCCACCTGACCTGCTTATGGAGAGGAGTGGTGACGACAATAAGTCCGTAAACTATCTCGACATCAACATCTCGATGAATAACTCCGGACACGTCGCCACCAAGCTTTACAACAAACTTGATGACTTCAACTTTCCTGTGGTCATGTACACCTTTCCTAACAGTAATATTTCCTCTTCTGTTGGTTATAATGTTTTTTACGGTCAGGTCCTTCGTTACTCTTCCATTATCTCTGACCTTGATTCTTTTCTGTGTTCTACCAACACCCTTTATAGGACACTTCTTTCAAGATGTTATAATGACAGACTCCTGAAGAGTAAATTCAGAAAGCTTCTGAAAGACCGACCTAGTATTCTGTACAAATACAGTATACTTGATGTCAGCGACATCCTTGACATCACATTTAACGTGAACAGGTGATCACTGACGAGTGATTGCTAGGGGGTCTTGGCACATTAAGGCCAGAGGGGGGGGTAAATGGAACTTTTCTAGTTTTCACATATTTGATAATAGCTGCTGGAGACGAACAAGAAGAAAAAAACCAGATCAAAATCTGACCTTGCGTTCCTGAGATATCGCGCGCTAAATTTTGAGGTTTACCTGTAATTACATGTTGAACTGGATCTTTAAACGGCTGTAACTTTTTTGACCTTTCGATTCCTTAGTTTAGAAAACCGGCCAATCCCTGATCTTGAGGTTTGGTACAGTGGTTCCTTAGACAATTATCCTCATTTATTATGTGAGCGATTTTTGTTATTTGACTCGGTTCTTGAATTATGAGGTTAACCATGTCAAAAATTCGGAAAATTTAGCTGGTTAACCTCATAATTCGAGAACCGAGTCAAATTAAAAAAATCGGTCACATAATAAATGAGGATAATTGTCTAAGGAACCACTGTACCAAACCTCAATATCAGGGAGTGGCCGGTTTTCTCAACTAAGGAATCGAAAGGTCAAAAAATGTTTTTTGAGATAGATGCAATTTAGTGTTTTCAAAATTTTGAATATTCACTGGAATGTTTCACAGTTCGTTAGTTAGGACTTTTTATACACTTAATAACGTTTGCTTGATCAGACCTGGCCGTCCCCTAAATGATTTTAGCTACTTTCAGTAGTTAATGTCCTTGTATTGTAAAAAATGAGGTTAACCAAGACTTCCTGTAAACACTAACTGCTTAAAATTTGGTTGTTAACCTCGCTTTAGACCATATAACACTAGGATTGGTTTATCAATGTTATTATATATGTAGTAAAACATTTGCACAGTATAACGATTAAGTTTTTGAGGTTAACATGTAATTGACTAGTCAGGTATTCAAAAAATGAGAGGTTAACCTCATTTTTTAGCCATTTACGGGTAAAATCTTCTACTAAAATATGGTCAGTTCGAATCACCTTTGTCACGTGATTATAGTTGTAGGCATTGTGATACCAATAGATACCTCACTTCGATATTGTGGTACATTACATAAGTAAGAACCGTATGTATATTCCCTACGGTACCAAAATGTGTTGGTTAACCTCATTTTTTTCATTTTCCCAAGATAAAAGAAAGTCAATCAACACGTCATCTATTTAGAAATGTGTATACCGTAAACTTACGATGAAAATAATAACTCTATCATTTGATCTATTCTCGCTATATCTAAAAGACGAGGTTAACCTCATTTAATCACGTTTGGATATTACTTTTTCTGACAATTATGAACCTAAAATTTAGAGTTTACATTTGCTGACCGAAATAACAAAAAATTATGGCGTGTAATAAAATATTAACCTCAATTTTATTAACCTCAATATTGTATAGTCAATTTTGTGAAAATCGGTTAACCTCAATTATAAAATAAAGTTAATCAGCTACAAATATGTGAATAGCGGCAATGTTTTTGTCATTAAAAATTAAATCGATTTAGAAAATAATATTTTGGTAGAATTTTTTGACCCCTTACCCCCCCCCTCTGGCCTTAAACCGGTACAGGTATTAAACCCCCGAAACCGGTGTGCCAAGTCATCTGCTGATGATGTTCACATAACATTATTTCATCTCTCCTTTATTCCTTCCGTCTTTTCTTAAACTTACAGTTCAGTTACTTTATTTCACCAGGTCTACCTAAGGATCAATTATTCTTTGGTGGGGTTTCACTTCTGGTATTGGCTTCATTCCCGTTCCTTTTCCTTATTCTTTATACTTATTTTTTTTATATAGTTTAATGAGATTGGATACTAATTCCTAAAAACAAAAAATGTTAATTATATAACCACTAATTTTATATTCGACTGCTAGACCAGTTTAACTCAAAGTGTACTGAAAACATTGAGCACGTGACATTTGACATTTAGCACGTGACATTTGTGTGTAGAGTCTAATGTACCAGCCCATTACGGGAGATTATTATGGGCCCTGGTCGTTTCTCAAACAGGATGTTAAAATTACAGTTGCCATGACAACGAGCTGTACGGTGTAGTGTAACTGTAGTACAACTGGACCCTGCAATATAATGAGGTGGTGTATTATTGTTGTGATCTAAGTAAAGGGAGAAAGGAGGACTGGTATAGGGGGGTTGTTATAGGAGGACCTGTTCAGACAGTTCTACCGGATATTAGAGTTATGTCCTTATCTCTCGTTAACTGGCTGCTTTCTCTTGTCTACACTGCACGTACATGTTCTACTGCTGTGATAATATTGGAGGAGAGGAAGTAATGATGCAATGTTTGCACGATTAACAAGTCAACAATTCAAAATGGGTTAATAAGCTCGTATAATGAGGTAATGGGGGTGTAGACTTTAAATTGATATAGACTTAGAACATTTCAACCTCACGGCGCACTGTATCTCAATAATTTCAATAATTTTATACATTCCAAAATGGAATTTAGTTTTCTTGAGTACACACTGGATGGTCTAAACCTCATAATATGATGTGCAGTGTGCACTTTAATAATGTTGTGATATGCTGTCTGTGAAACACGATGCTGCTAAATGAACCACACCTAATTGATGGAATAATCATCATGTATTACCAAATTTATCATGTGTTTGTGGTGGTGTGAGCAGCACAGGTATACTGTTACATTCTGTGTTGAAATTAAAAGTTTACAGTTTAAAGCATTACACAATCCACATGGGAATATTGTGCCGAGTTCTGTGTTACATCCTTAGATTTAGAATATCTAAGGATATCTATACTGTGAGTGATTAGTTGATAATAAACTAATAAACTTAAAACCCGTTACAAACAGGTTACCTGTTATAACCGGTTATAAATGAATAATACATATTTTTAGTGAGAGATGTCATGGCAACCAAAGATGGTATGATCTGGGAATATCTCTAATATGGACTTTGACATCGACTCTCCTGAAGATTTCCAGGATAAAAGCCTACGAGTATGTGTTTAATAGCTAAGCCATCAACATTCGCGTGGAGGCTATTTAGAAGAGACATTATATAAAAATATTTAAACAATAGTTAGGGCAAAAATAGAAATTTATGGGACCATCTGTGAATAAATTCGTAACAAAGGTTTTTTTACAGGAATATGTTATCCATTGTCCCAGGCACCACAAAAAAGTGGTAAGATTGAAACTGATAGGAAAAACTATCATAATATGCCCCAACCTTAAAAGTCATAACTCGGTTTTGGAAGGTCTGTGAGATCTCGATCGGGATGGAAAATTACCACATTATCGCAGACGTCTAGATAGGCTAAAAATGTTTGCAACTGATACATTTATATATGAGTTATGAAGCAACGAATGCCCTAAAATGCTTGTTTTCTGAGTTATTTTAAATTCTGCAAATCACGCAAATTTACGGGCGCTTGTATTTCATAATATGAAGCTTGTGGGTCTATGGAAAACATATTTCTGTAGGGAAACATTTGCTACAAATTTGTTCACAGACTATCCTATTCTAGCCCTAACAATAATACGAATTCTTCTAATAAGGCTGCAAACTATCTGTTAAGTATAGTTTCATTCCAGTAGTATTCTTTCCCTCCATCTCAAATTAAACATTTGCAGAGTTTAGATGAGTTGGTGAGATGTCCGATATGTTGTGAGATAATGACAACTGCAACAACAATCGTAAAGTGTCAGCACAATTGTAAGTCTGGTTGTTTGTCTTCAGAACATGTTGAGTCACGTTAAAACTTGTTTACAGCTCTATGATCGACTTGTACTGGGGCCGGGGGGGGGGGGGGGGGGAGGAGGGGGGCCGGGGGCTTTAAATTCTGAGTTTGTTTCTTTTTGTTGAGTTTAGGGCTTAGGCTGTGTAATGACACTATTAAAATAATGTAGACTTTATTGTCCACAATCTTCTAACAAATCTGCTAAATGTACTTGGAAACAACAGTCATGACTAGTCATCCGCCTGAGATCATGTTGAAAACACTTTGACTAATAAGCTATTCGTTAATCTTACGTCATTGCTTGTTACACACATCGCCCTCATTGGACAATTGTTACCTTTTTCCAACAAAGAAAATTACTTCAGTTTGTTCTATCTGTGTACGAAGACACGTGGAAAGCAAAAAACAATGCCCCATCTGCAAAGTGGTTAGTCTTTTGACGCTGTTAACAAATAGAATATTGAAATATGCGTGCATAATATGTTAGATATTATCTATTTAACTCAGTCCATTAGGGAAAAGGCATAAAACTTTAATTTTTGTCAGATTTCTTTCCCATATTAATGAATTTTCAAGATATTTTGTTAATGTGTAGTTCTTTTAGCCTAATTCATTAACACGAACCTCATCTGATTTCACACAGACTTATGATGTAATAAAACTTGTAGCTTCTGACTAAGGGCGCTAAATGGTTAATTTAAGCATATCTGTTGGATAATTAACAAAAATGTACTAAATTCTCCACTTTCAGGAGTGTTTTGATAATGGGCTGGTTACCAACAGACTTGTCAACCAAATGACTGTTCACTACAAAATTTCAAGGTATTCTTAATTTTAAACTCAGATGCAGCGGTTGATTTTAAATTCAGTTTCATTGATTGGATGCTAATTTTAGTTTTTTTGATACATTTTATTTACAGTTTTTATCTTAAATTTCAGGAACAATCTGTTAGTTCTGGATAAACAACTGTGCGCACCAGAAACTACTACAACTCCTGCAGTAATCAACCCAAACAACGCTTTACTGAAGCCTGACAACGTCACTGACATTCCTGTTAAACCCAACCATCAAATAACGAACAAATCTTTCTCGGGACCCTCTGCCAGCTCACGAAGTACAGGAACTTTGCTGAACACATCAAAATCTGAATCCCCTCAAAATCAGACCTCCTTGTCTGTGTTTCGGATCAAGAAACGAGGTTTTGGTGGTGAAGTGAAGACTGTTGGGCAGGCGAGTAGTTATGAAAACGTTTCACATTCCAGCAGGACTGTGTTAGAGGAGGAAAATTATACCGTAAATAAGATCCCGAAGCCTTTGGCTGGTACTTCAGCTAGTTCAGGTTTGTCAGAATGTCTTGGCGAGAGCCAATGTTTTGTTTGAAATCTCCCATTCTGCCAGTGAAAACGTTTAGATCTAGTTTTATGCCGCTCATTTTATTTTATGGAACGCGCTAAAATATCGTTCTTGCATATGAAAAAAGGAAAGTAAACTTCGCGCATGTCGTATTTTCGACTCGATCAGCTAGCTCGGCCAGATAATATATTTTCACAGACCGGCGACCGCTCACCTACAGTACACGTGAATTCCGTCGGAATGATTTGATCTCCGTTGGTGAGGTCCACAGGCTCGAAACAGCGTACCCTCAACACAGTGGTGTAACGAAGGACCTTGCTGACCCGCTGTGCAAGGGGGCGCCAAATCGTCGTTTGAATCTGGGACAATTTTGTAAAACTTCACCACTAGCAAAATCGCGCGTGGGGTACTACTTGCCTCAACAAGTCACGCTTTTTGCAATTTGCATATCACTTCAGAATTAAGTTCCGTTCTTCATTGGCCGTACCCTCGAGCTGATCTCGGCGGTTTATGTTTATCCTTTTGATCATGGGCTGGAAAATACCGAACATTTTGATGTTGATAAATTTGGCGATACAATCATGAAAACATCATCATTGTTGTCTCTTTCTTTAAGGGTGGCCGATGACCCTTCTCATTTTAGCTGAACATTTTTCAACATAATTCAAACATAAAATATTGTTGATGTTCAACTTTCTAATGGAAAAAGTAACGAACTACAAATCTGAATTGCGATATTATACTCCAAAGATTGATAAGGGTTTATAAAGCAGGTGGACATACATTCTCGTCACTTCTGATTATTAAAATAACTTTTCATAAGGAAAAAAAGCGTAATCTAAACGTAAAATATTGTTGATGTTCAACTATCGAATGCAGAACTCCAAATCTGACTTGCGACACGATAAGATGAATAAGTGTCAATTCACAACAAAACACAAAAATAAATCACAACTGATCCGGCTTGGACCCTCTATTGCAACTGTCTGATCCCTCCACCCCTTAATTCAAGTCTTTTGATTAACACATCATTTCCATTTAACATTGAAACGTGTTAAGGTCAGATGCATACATCTCGTAAACATGAGCTAACACCCATTCAGGTAGATTGTGAAAACTTTGGTAGATCTCTGACTTGGCCTCGTGGCTCAGATTGTCTGTTAAACTTTCTGGAGGAAATAAGTTGTCGAAACATCGCAATTCGTTCTGATTTCGGACAATTATGTCATAGTCTGTATCGCATGCACGGCAGTTCAGCACTGTTGGAGCTATATTTTTGGGCTTGATGGTATTTAAATCTGCCAAGTAAACCATGAACTCTAGAAATGTTGGCCCGAAAGGGTTTCCAAATGGGTTTTTGGAACCACTGCTATCCCAAATAAGCCCCAACCTTGCTTCATAGATGTACGGAAGCTTCCAGGCCTCTGACAAGTTGAAATGCCTGTATTTGTAGACAATCTCCTCCCCCAGGTACAAATACCCAATACCTGACCGGAGGGTCTGATAGTACTCATAAAGCCTGAACAGGGGATTGTCCATGTGAAGAATTCTGGTGTTTGTGCTCTCTGTATTGACAATCTGTACCGTGGGAACCTCAAATGTGAGGCTGTCAAGAAGGTTTTCCTCGTTACCGGAGCAACTTTCTAGGTTGTATGTGTAATAGTATCTAGTGCTGTGTGGACCACTGAATTGTCCGCTGAATCGATCGTGTCCCTCCTGTAAACAGCCCTGAACCAGCGCTTTTTTTCGTTTGACAGCGCATTTTCTGAAATTGTCACAGCTTGTGGTGTTTGCCGTTTCAAACAACTCTTCGTGGAGGAGGTTTAAGAGTGTCTGTGAGTTTGTTTGAGATTGTGCTCGATTTAACAGGAGTCCTGGGTGTGGAGTCATTGGGGTTGGTCCCAGAACGTGTTTGTGGAAAAGTAGTGAGATCTTTACAGTGATGATTATCAGCAAAATTATCACCGCTGCAATCCGGATTGGCGTGATAAACAGAGAGGCCGGCTTCCCTTTCAGGCAAATAGTCATGCCTGAAAGTAAGGTGAATAAGTTTAAATTCAAATGTTATTTTTTAAATGTACAAAATATATCAACGCGCAATGTGAACGATCGATAACACAGTAAACACAAATCATGGCATGACAAGTTCTCATATGTCATGAACAGTAACCTTAAAAGGACCGAATCCCACAAATGCTGTACTCTGTCGTTATTAGAGAGTTTACAAACTAGACCGCTGCTACTGTAAACATTGGCTGGACATGTAATTTTGTCAAGGTATTATGAAATCGGTTAATCGTTCAGCAGACTTTTGCTTTTGAACGAAGCAGTGTAAGTGGAATACGTTTAGTAAAGCAGACAAATGAGATTCTCCACTCAGCAGAAAATAAACATCAGTTCTATCATAGACGAAAGTGGAATGAGGATTTGAAAATATTAAGCTGCAAGGAAATGATGATTAAGTATTTAAATGAGCCCGAATCAACGACTGTAATTTTAAGGGTACTCGTACTGCCTGGACGTAAATTGCTGCTGACGTCGAAGAAAATATTAAATGCATTACGGATACTGAGTTAACTTAACGATTATTTAAATTATAGCTCGGATATGAGCAGGAAGCCCCTTAAACTTTAAAGTGGAGATGGCAGTTGGCCAACCAAGATATACCATGACAACCCAAAAAATGCAAGCTTATAGCGTAGGATAATGCCATTTTTAGTGAGCAATTGCAGAGTGCAGGGGTGCTGTTATTGTTGTGGCCTGCATTGTGTTAATGCCACCCCTTGGTAACATTGAATATAGTGGAAAATAACGCAATTCCATTGGTTTGCATCCTTAGCTTAACAAAGTCATGTGACCAGAGCAGAGGATCTGTTTACTGTACCTGTGTTAAAAGTAGACAATTCAATTTGTTGCTCTCATTAGTTTCGCATAGAGAAAACAATACGCAATAGTGAGGATTTCTCAGATCATTAATCGCAAAGATTAATGACAACTGGGGCTGCAGTTATTTATAGAATATTTTATGCTCGAAGAAAATATACACAGAAATGCATGGCATAAGAAAAATCTTGGGATTACTTTACCAAGATGTCCAAGAACAGCTTAAGAACATGTACATTATATCTTAATGAGGATGCAACCGGGTCGCTAACCCCACGTACAACCAGTAACCACGTACAATCACCCCGGAAATAAAAGCTAACGCTCATTTAACGAATAACATTACGAAGTCCTCTAAACTAAAGCACTGCAGATTGCAGACATTTGAGCACAAAGTCAGTAAACGCAGTTCCCAATGATACAGATAACAGGTACACAATTGCTGTGTTGTGTAATACTCTGCAGCTGCTCAACCCGCGCTTTGTTTACAAATATAGCAAGACAAAAAAGATCATACGACTATGGCGTGATGTTTAATATATATATATAATAATATAATACATGTGAGCGAGAGCCTGTAATCACTTTATCGGCCGCACGACATCTAATTTCATCCTCGGTTATAAGACCGGGCGAGAATATGATATCTTAATCAAGTAAATTTGAACGAAGCTGTGGAGAAGGACTGGGTGGAGTCTGCAAATCCCGGCAAGTACACAGAAAGAGGATCCTACTGACAGCAGACTGTCCTCTTACGATACTCTCGCAGTAGTGTTCGTGTTTTAAGCTACTAGTTAGGTGACTGTACGTGTTTTCAGTATGATCGGGATGTGGAGAGGGTCGTGGGATTATCGAATATGTGTGTGTCGCTGGTTAAGTTAAATCTTCGTAGGTAATGTAATTATATTTTAATGTAATTATATTAATGCGCCGTTACTTTAAACTTCACGGCCTTTATTTGATCGTATTAATTGATTTTGTGAAATTTCTAAAGGTTGTCGTTAGTATAGTGAACTAAAATATAGGGTGGCTAATTTAAACGTTTAGGCGAATGCACAAGACGTGATAAATTCTGTATCTGGTTCCAAGACACTCACAAATTAAATTAAACGAGGACGAAGTGTGATGAGAAACCCACTTGAACTAATTTCAAGCTTGATACCACAGCAATAGTGTACCCAGATGTTTTCAACTGTACCTGTTCTTCTACCCCCTAACATTGACCAACCGTCAAACAATATAGTAGTAGTACAGCAAGCAGCACTCCATTAAAGAGTTTTCAATAGGTACAATAGTACCAGGGAAAGAGCATGCCACCGTTACAATGCTCAAAGAAAGATCTCTTAGCCGGTACAATACGTCTATCAGCCCTCTAGTCATCAAACCTTTTAAGTCGCGTCTTTAATCTTAAAGGACCAGTTAACTGAAAAAAAAGTTATCCTCATATTTTGACAGATTGTGACAAATAGCAAACTAAGCAACGAGTCGAAATTCCTAAATCTCTAACTGCTCTCTAACGCGTGTAAATAGCGTTTGTATTATTTTGGCGATGACGTCATAAAGTCCCTCTTGCGCGCAGAGTAGCTCGTGAGACTGTATTTTACAGGTAAAAAATGGACATAATACAATCTTTTCCCCCGAATAACTCGAAAAGTAAGTAATTTAGGGTACATGTTGCTTCATAAGTTGTATATAAACATGGCCATTCTGCACAATTTGCACACATTCAAAAACCTTTAGGGCCTTCATAGCCCAATTAACCAGATACCCATAGTTTTGCATGATTTCTGGAACCGAAAATCAGTTTTTCGCCAATAACTGAAAAAGTAAGCACTTTAAGGCATATGTTTGTTCGTAAGTCATATATTAATATGCTAATTGCGGTTCTTTTGCATCCTGTCTGAAGACTCCATCACGATCATATCGAAAATGGGCTTAGCACCACGCCCAAAATGGTTTTTGGCGAATTTATCGAAAAGTAAGGATTTTAGGCCATGTGTTGCTCAATAACTCCTATATAAACATGCATATGCGGCTTCGTTCAAGCCTATTTTGAAGTCTCTACGACCTTCAGAAGCAAGGGGTCGGTTACGTTATTGGGTCAATATGGGCGTGGCCCTCCTGGGTTTTCTCCACGGTCAAAAAAATGTCTCCAAACGAAAATCGTTTAATCATAACTTCGGGAAGGTCTGTGCAAACTTTCGTGAGTACCTATTAGAACATTTGCAGGTTCATTTCCATAAATTTCCATAAATGACTGGACTACACAACTTTAGAGTTAACTTTAGAGAAACTCATAAGTCATTTATCTCAAATTAAGCTGTTAGTGTCCATGATCAACCTCTGGCGACAATGTTTTACGTGAAATGTAAAAATCAGGAGTAATATAAAAAAGGTATTTTTAGATTAAAGTGCTAGCTCATAGTTTTAGAATTGTATAGATTAAATTAACGTTGGTCATTTAGCCATCTAACAATCGATCGTGCCGTAATATATGGCCAGAGAATAATAGGGTCTTGGGAATTCTATAGTTGTTCAGTGGGTCGATCGACTGAACACGTTTGCACTTGGTATTTAAACTTACCAGTAGTTTATTTATGTTATGCACCGATGATAATGCAATTAGGATAACAACTAGGTAAGCCGGAAGTCTAATTCAAAACACACCTCACACCGTACACACCTCCAATCAGTAATTTTACTATTTGGTAGACCGGGTATTTTGGCGGGAATTCTGTTCCCACGGCACTGTTCTGATAGAAGCTACTTCTACTAATGGTCCCAGAGGAACGGCCGTAAAGTAGCCAGACTTCTTGTCTCCTGTACTGGCAGACACTTGCAGATTAAAGTTAGAAATTTCGCTATGCTATAAATATAATTGCTATGTATAAATATAATTGCTCTCGGAATTGAACAAACTCGTACTTATCTGTATCCTTTCTAAATTCGTTAGAGTTTCATGGACTGGGGAAAAATAATCGGTACAGTCTCCCTGCTTGTGTAATTAAGCAATGAAAACAATCCAAAATTATCACATATGACATAAGTTGTAATAGCAGAAACTTTCTAACCGTACATTCACCCGCCACTGTTCAAGAACCTATATCACTGTTTAAAATCATGACGTGAGCACTGTACATCCAATCAGCTATTCCTTTAGTTAGGATGATAGCCAAAACTATAAGGATTTTGGAGAACTAGGGTAATAGTCATAATTCTAAAATTTGAGTGAGTTACACGTGTTTTATTGACGATGATAAACATTTGTAATGTAAATTACGCTATGCAAGCGCGCACTGAGGGACTTTATGACGTCACGAGGCCACAGCTTATTATTGCAATAACACGCGTTACACGTACGCTAGAGAGTTGGTTCTTTCGGCGATACGATTCTTTACCAGTTTGTCACAGCTGATTTAAATCTTAGCCAAATTGGAGACTACAAATTTTTCAGTTAACTGGTCCTTTAATCTTTGACGTGTATCAATACTCAATAGAGGTATACCTATAATAGACACATTTTATGTTGCAGTGCATGGTAGCAAACATGTCAATCAAAGGTATTAAATTTATCTGCACTTAGCTTAGCAAAGTAAAGTAATGTTTGAAAATGTGTTCTATAACTTAGAACAATATAACTTCTATTGTTCTTTCAGCGTGGATGACGATATGAAAATAAAATTTACGATTAAAGTCATTAATATCTGCAACGCGACCAAATTTTTCTCAACAAATTCGAGGATTATCGAGGTGAACCGGTTGCTCTGCGAAGCAGAGAAACAATCTCGTCGATGCCAAGCAAGAATGCTAGTTTGCGCGGCGCACTGAACGATCCACGAAAAAATACATACAATGACTATGTTACATTCCTTATTTCCTGTCGAACAAAAACTCCCGAATGCTAATTTGAAAATGTTGACAATGACCACTTTTCCGCAGAATTGCAGAGTTGTCCGGTATGTGGGTGCTCTGTGCCGGGACACAAGATAAACAATCACCTGGACATGTGCCTCAAACGTAAAAACAGGGAGGAGAGGTATGTTTAGAGAAAGAGAGCTTTGTCAAAACGTTTAAAAAGGATTAAAAAAGGATTAAAAATACCCTGCAATAGATCCGAAATACCTAACATTAGCAATGTGTTATCAGTGCTCTGTTTACACTCGAGGACAACCGCCTTTTTAGTTTCTATTTTGTTGGAATCAAAATTAAAAATCTCCTAAATCTATAAAATGCTCCCCTTTAAAAGGGGTGCTTTAAAAGGAGTACTTTACCTTGTGTTCACAGGGCCTCAAAAAGACCAGTCAAGAAGAAACTACCAAATCTAGTGTGGACCATGATGAAGGAAAAGGAATTGCGTGCAAGTTGTAAAAAGCATGGTCTGAGTAGCAGTGGAAAGAAACCAGAGTTGATAAAACGTCTAAAAGAGTATACCCTCAGATACAACTCTCAGATCGACCAACTCAAACAAAAATCAGGTGAGACAAACTACATTCTTCTACACACAGTACTATAAAGTTCAAGGCAATCCGACCCGGAGGTTAGGGTGATATACCTTTTTGAAATTAAAGGAGGGAGATGAAACAATTATTGCAATTTAAAACGTGCCCACAATTCAATTATAGAGCCCTGAGGGCTAAGAAGGCAAAATAGAAAACCTTATTTCGTGATATGAAAGAAGGAAGATTAAATATTTCAGTTTCTACTGCCATTTTGGATACTTTAAAATACCACTGTGACCTTAGAAACTTGAAATTATGGTTATGCCGAAACCAAGCTCGTTAACAAGATAATGGCTCACGTTCACTTTGAAATATAATAGGAATAGTTGTTGCATTCCTTTGTAAGAGGAGTCTGAACTTTCGTTAAAGTATACTCAAGTACTCAAGTATTGAATAAGCAATCTACACGGGCAACTCTTCCATAATTAACTATTAATTACCTTAATTAACGGTAAGGTTAACTATCTCAGATTATCGATAACACTTATCAATCCCTATTTATAATCGGGAGAATAATAGAGAGAATAATATTCATGATCTTATTAACACTTATCATACACAATTATAATGAGCTCCCATTTCTAGGAAACATTATTATATTCTGCTGAAAAGATTCTGTATTCCCTTATCACCTATCTCATCTTAATACATTACTTCATGTAACTAGTTTCCATTCTCCATTAAAAATTGTTTCATCTTTAACAAGAATTGCGCCCGTTGTTTCGTTTTGGCGGACGCTAGATTTCCATTACACATTCACTATCTTACTATACTGTGTGGAGTGTTTAGAATCAGGAATCGACCGGGATTCCCGGTACCGGGAATCCCGGTACTGGGATTGGCAATTTTGAGCTATCCCGGTCCCGGCCCCGGTCCCGGTCAAATGCTGATTTATGATCCCGGTCCCGGTCCCGGTTAATTCAGGATTCTTGGTCCCGGTCCCGGTCAATCACTCAAATTTGCCTGGATTTTGACCGGGATCTTTTACATAATTTCATTCACTGTGATTTTAAGTTGTTCCTTTCATTCATTGTGAACTTCATCTTTAAACATCCTCTGAGCCAAATAAAACAATGTTTAAAATTGCTAAACAAGTTTGAGTAATAAATTATGATCATGAATGATGAATTAACCAGTAATCGAGCGGAATTCCCGGTACCGGGAATCCCGGTACCGGGAATCCCGGTACCGGGATTGGCAATTTTGAGCTATCCCGGTCCCGGTCCCGGTCAAGTCACATTTTTCATCCCGGTCCCAGTCAGGCCTGAAATCATGTCCCGGTCGATTCCTGTTTAGAATAAATTGTTACGGAAAAATGCGAAGAAAAAGGTTTACTATGCTAGGATAAACAGGAGATTATAGATGATTATAGGCACGCGGGGACAGAAGGTGCATAATTGGTTGGTCTCTAATTATGTAGTAACATATTGAAATACAGTCATTAGTTAAAAAAAAACCTGGGTCATGCCCAACTAGGCTTTTTCGAAAGGAGCTCGAAATTTACGCGCAGTTTTATTAGGTGTAAACTGTAAGTGTCAGAAACGCCATTCTCAAAAGCTTACAAGACTATTAAGTATTTAACTAACCTTATACAATAAGGTTCCAAAGACGCTTGAAAAGAGCTACGTAAAGAGCTAGTACGTACGTTGATGACCATGATGTTCTGTGATATAAGGGCACTAAACCACAATCACCACACCAAGCATATAATGCTGGATTATGGTGGGATATATTGCATGCTATCTGCGTTATTGGATAACCCCTTTCTAAACGGTCTCATTCAATTTCGCTGATGATATTTTATGATGTTTTGGCTCTGTACTGAGCAAGATTGGGTATGTGCAACTTTTCACGACGCTATGAGTAGTGTGACATAAGGGTTAACGCTGGTTGAAGTTGCGCTGCTTGAAATTGCACGTGGGCAGGAAAAAGTTAATCAAGAATTTGTGTGCCAAAGCAAAGCACACCAATAATGAAAATACAGACCGCAACAAACTCAGTGCACTGCAACCAGCGTTTGTGCACTGGGGAGGCACAGTGTCCATAACACGCAAGTAAACAAAGTCGAATACCTTTCAACAGAATTCCCCTTGGCAGGACCACGCTGCGATTGATTGTCATATACCTGGTTCGAATGAGAGAGAGAGTGTCATCGTTCACAACGTGATTAATTGCTAAGCTCTCTCTCTGTGTGCAGAGTGAACTGTGTTAGTGACTACAGGATTGGTGATGACACTCAGTATGATGAGTACACCCAGTGTGCAACAGCTCCCTAACTTTGGTCACAACAATTAGTCGATGATAAGCGATAATACGTGTATCAGCGCGTGCCTCCTGCAAGGAGTTGTTACTCGCAACTACCTATCAGCGATAAAACCTATTTAATTGTGTTGTTCGTACATCAAACTTATCTAGTCTAGACAACAATGTAGTGATATGATGCTAAATGGTACGAGTAGTGGGTTGGGGGCCGGGGGGGGTACCCGGGGGGGGGGGGGGGGGGGGGGGGGGGGGTAGTAGCTAATGTCTTGTCGCACCTTGTTACTCATCTTTTACTCTATACAATTATAATATTATAATATTTACACTCCTATTATGCGTCTAAACTTTGTGAACCTGGTGCCACGGCTCATGGTTATTAGATAAAAATTTTAATATTATGATAATTATTATGTGTAGAACTCAGAATAATTAAGGTGCAAATTCTTTTCATTATCAGAGGCATCATGTAGATGCGGTAATATTTTATAAATAGTCCGATTCCACACATGCCTAGATTTTTTAAGTGCGGCAAATTTAAAAAAACGCAATTAAGCTGAAATATTCGCAAAATTTGCAGCCTTTGAGTTTAACACAACAAACTCTCGTAGAAGTTTTGGTATTAGTACTCTAGTTCGACACGTACCCTAGTTCGACAAACCCTAAAGTTCGACTCTGTCGAACTAGGGTACGCTACCTGGACTTTAGTTAGACACGTACCGAAGTTCGAGAGGGGTTATTTCTAGAGAACTTCAATTTTTGAACTAGAGTACGTGTCGAACCATACTATGTGAATCGAAGTTTTTGCATTTATATGGGCAAGATGATTGGGGCTAGTTGAGCTGGTCGACTGCATAATTAGATAATTAACCTTTTTACCCTAACCATAGTTGTCCGGGCATGTCGATTTTATCTCATTGTACACAGCGGTACCAGGTACACAAATCTATAATAGAACAAATAGCTGCTGATGGTGCAAAAAGTGCGGTATTAGGTCAATAGTGCGATTTTGCACCCATCGCACTTATATGTTACCTCTGGTTTATATAGCTGTAAAGGAGCGGTCTCTGAAAAGAGTAATGTTTTTGCCGTATGAACAAACAATCTAGGAATAATATTCTCTGAACTCAACGGTAGTTCATTGTTGAACCAACAATATTTAGGTTATTGAATCTTCATACTCTTAAATAGATTAAATATATTAAAGCTCTTACACCAATAAAAGAAGAAACATTTCGTTAGCAATCAACAAAAACTGTTCTCTCTACTGCACGAACAGACTGAACGATCTTTAGAAATAGAATCTCTTTATTTAAAAGCATGGTTCTCGAGACTGTGTAAATATTATTAAACTAATGCACACCGATGCAAAATTTCCTTCATATTTAACACCACCTATTTTGTGAATTCTAACAAGCATTCATCTGCGACGGAGAGACTTCACATCGCATGCCACGAATAACAGTGGGGCAACAACACGTGCATTATACAGTTGTAACAAGCTGGCCGCTGTGGATTATTCAGAATATTATGCCGCATAGACGTAGCAGTGTTTTTAAAGTTTGATTTTAAAATCTAGGGGTCTACAGAAATTCGTCTTAGACCATGGTCATTAGAAAAGTCCGCAGATAAGGATCACTCTTTTAACAGTTTGACGTAGGAATATTGTCATGGAATCAGGAATTACCTTTTGAAATAGGGATATTTCACGTACACCTATTGTTTTTCTAGCATTAAGCAGAGGGCAAATTGAGGTTAGCAAGTCGTTTAAAATTTCATTTTGCGGTTACGATATTGCCGACGTGCATGTTTAACTTAAAAAATAACACTTTAATATGCAAAATAAATTCTTTGGACCGGTGCCAGTTAGAATTTGAAGAGAAGAAACAAGAAACTCGCTGACCAAGGCTGAAATGAGGATTCAGTATTTGTAACATTTTGGGAGAAAAGCTACAAAATAAAGTTTGCCAAGTTGCCATCTGAACTCATTTTACACTATACATAAACTCATGTGTATATCAACCTGCTAACTTTAAGCGCTTCATAAAGGATGAAATGGGGCTCACTTGGCTATCTTAATTCGTAATTTGTAAACTGCTCCTTTATAATCTGTAAACTACTCCTTTATCCTCCTCTCCTCCTGAACAGTAGCATTAACTAAATATTACATTAGTAGTAAGCCTCATTTTGGCCCCCTCAGATGTAGTTATTAGACCCACTGTCTCTGACTAGATGAAAAAATCATCACAATAAGTTACTCAAGCAGAAGACAAATCAAACTTACAATTACAAAATAAGGCGTCCTCACTATTTTACAAATGGCCGTATGTTAATGGCCGTATGTTAATTGTTAATGGCAGTTAGCATGCGACCAATTATGAGCGTCTCCTTCTTATTGTCATAGGAATGCTTTACATAGTACATTGCCAAGGCGTGCCGTGGTATTTCATATTTACCGCGCTATCTTTAAGATAACGAAGAACAGCTTTATAATTGTTCGTTTCACCAAATTGTTATAATTGCGATGCAATTAAAAGGCACGGATAAAACAAGGATAATTTGCTTCTTGTTGTGTATAACGGTTGACACTTGCGGAGGCAAATTGTCGTTTATGTTTCAAATGCTTATATACCAGCCGGGTTTTTTATTTTAATATCGACTGGTCTTGTTGTTCTTACTCCCTTACCTCCCCTCCCATTTGTTTTGTTTCCTCTCTCCCCCCTCTTCTCCTCCCTCTTCTCCTCCCTCTTCTCCTCCTTCTTGCTTCTCCGTACGCTAATGACAACTACCAGTACTGTGACACATGATTATTAGTGACCATCGGTCTTAGAGCCATGTACTGCGTTAATATTACTATCTGATGCAAGCACGAAAATAGAAAGAATGGATAGTGAGCTTTGTATAGAGAGAAATATGCATTTAAAACCGGTTATAACGCGGACACCCGATGGATAAAGTGACTAGTGTGACTGCCTCTCATTATAGTATAATGGGTTACCCCAGACGCCAAAATTAATCTCATGAATTGAATGGAATTTGTCAAAAGAACGGAAACTTTAAAAAAAATACTATTTATATTATATTTAGTTAGAATTAGTCGAATTATTATTTATTCTTCAAACACGATCGTAAACAATAAACTGGGCTACCGGGCTACGTGAAGCCTATATTTATTGTTTCTCGGCAACAATACTATTGACCGTGGACATTCAAAACAATGCACTCGTAGACTCAGATAATATATTAACCGCATTGCGATATTATGTATTAGTAAAATAAACGAGATGAAAAATAAAAATAAATTACCATGTAACTAAGCGAACGACTTTAATCTAGTTTTTCGTAATCCGAGAAGATACAAATTTGATGATAAGCCAGTCATTGAATTCTGGTTGCCACCCAAATTGCAATTGCCAATATAAATTAATATCAATTAAACTTATAATTTCATTTCGATGATATCAACCTAATATTGTTTGCAGGACCAGAGCTAGCGAGAGAAGTGGAGCAAGCGGAGAGGATGATTCAGAGAACTCCCCCGGGGGTTGTTGGGAACCTTAAAACTGAGGCAGACCGTGCTGCTTACTCTAATAAATATGAGGATCAGTTCGTTAAACTTATTAACGCCGCTCGAAAAAACAACGCTGAGAAAACAGGTTAGTTACGTTTTTCTACCTTGCTTTATTTATTAATGATTTGCAGTAGGGAGACGTTTTTCCTATTTTGAAACCCATATGAGAGCAGAAAAGGTCTCTTCAGCTTTAACTCTGTCTCCAATAAGCAGGTGTCACGCTCGGGATACGCTTGGTAATTCTCGGTATTATCGGAAATTGAATTGTTGAGCATAGTTAGAAGTTTAATTTTTCAGCCTTAGTCCTTGCTGGTTGTGGCTTATAAAAATTAACATAAAAAATCACTAAAAACACCAAATAAGCCAACTACCAAAATATACAAAATGTATGAAGCAAATCAAAATACCCTGCACAGTGTACACATATAAAGTCGAAAATTTCCCACCGAAACCACTACCAGAGTTAAAACAGTTATTTCCCCACGATTAATTTACCTGCCACCTACACCACTCAGTCATAATAATAATGTTAAATGAAGTAACAGTCAAAATAGAGCTGTAGCTGAAAAGAAGCAATATGCCCAATAAATAGTGAGACGACAATATTACTTCGGTTCTAAAGCGTTAAATTATGGTGCTCTTAGTTATATTGAAAAACAGTTACAGTTACTTGTGCTTGCCACCATGTCTTCATATCAAGGTGTTAAGTTTTTAAGTATATAACAATGATAATATGAAAATTAAAGTTGTGTACAATTCGAAAGCCTAACGACGATGTTTATAATACAATAATACCTTGGCTGCTTCGGGCCGCTCGTGATAATTCCCGACAGCTTGCTGTAGGGAATTTGCGGCCCGAAGCAGCCAAGGTATTATTTCTTATAACTATAAGTACTCGAGCAGAGTCAACATATAAGTGGTGGTGGGTGCAGACTGCAGAGTACAGACCGAACTTTATAGCACCATCATATAAGTGGTGGTGGGTGCAGAGTACAGACCGAACTTTATAGCACCATCATATAAGTGGTGGTGGGTGCAGACTGCAGAGTACAGACCGAACTTTATAGCACCATCATGTCAAATAAACTGTTATTCGGTCTATCAGATTTGTGTGCTTGGCACTTATTATAGTTATACCGTGTACAGTTTAGATAATTGAACCTTGCGGGACTCAAATTCTAAGGAAGCGTCGCTTTGATATTGATTTATCAATAGTATAAGTTACTGTGAACTGTGAAGGATCTGTTATGAAAGTAGTATGTAACTATTCGTAACTATTCGTTTTAGGGGAGAAGAATGGGTTAAGGGGAGCTGTCCAAAAAGTTACATCAGTTTGAGTGTGAGTACACGTACCATCATTCGGAGGTGGTACCAGGTAGGTCTGTGAAGAGGCAGTGTGCGGGTCCCTCGTCCTCAGAGGTAGGAGTCGTCGTGAGAAGTGGGGTGGTTAGCTCGACCGAATAGATTGGCGCACTGTTGATGTCGGCCATAATATACTAACGCTTATCAGCGAACAATTCTCATGCGTAATGAAAAAATTCGATATTGTTAGATGGCAAGTTAATAATGCAGTGACTTACTATCGATACAGATAATTGCTAAAAACCAAAAGAACAAAAGAAGGTGACTCTTGGTCTTAGATCGTAATCCCTCAACAGATTGTAAGCGAGTCACTTCATAATATTACCGCAATATAGCCTCAAAATCAAATGTTACACCGAGTAAAATTGAAAAACAGTTACTTGTGTTTTCAAGGTGATAAGTTTCTAAGTATATAATAACATATATGATATGACAATTGAAGTTGTGAACAATTAGAAAGCCTAACGACTTTGTTTATATAAGTACTCTAGTGGTCATTATATATTTTAAACAGTGATTTTTTTTGCAGATGGATATTTGGGCTTTTAAGTACATAGTATTAAACTGGAGCAGAAATTTGAATCAACAAACTAACAGCTGATCCAACTCTTTCACTCTGCAGTATTAGAGGAACAGCTACCTTGCAGACTGGTCCGATTTAAAGTAAAGCATAGATTTTTGAATGTCACGTACAGAGAACAAGCATATAAATACAATATGGTTCTTGGAGCCTGTGAAGAATAAAACATATTGCAGAATGCAGCCATTATCCGTCACCTTAGGTCCCTTAGAATAACTAAAAGGTACAACACTCAGATTCAGAATCCGCAAAGGATTGTCTGGATGCAGTTTTACCAGAGACCGTCACCAGAGACTGTCACTAAATAAATGTAAATGTTACATACTGGAGTACGTATGCAGTTGCATTATGAAGTTATGAGTACAACGTTTAATTTTAGCTGGTGTACTGTGATTTCTTGACAAGCTAAACAAAGGTCTTTTTGTCTCAGTCATGCGAGCTGTTCAGATGAAAGAAACGTTTAACATACTTAATGAAAATTGAGAATGTTTGAGCATGCTTGCATAGTTGATCATATCCTTCAAGTCCAAGGTTCTACATGTAGTATGTATGGTATAGTACCCTGGTTAGTTGAGAGCATAGTCGATTTTTTTATCTCACACTTATTTTACTTCGGAGTAATCCAGCAGCCACATTGTTACACAAGTGTAAACAGCCAACTACAAGAAGCCGAAGGATTCATTTGGCCAGTGACGGTTAAGGTAGTGTATACCACACTTTCTTCGCCCGAGACTTTGCTGCAATGGGCAGCTCCTCATTTAACCCTCACACCCGATTTCTCCAGTATTCGGCTGAGTAGACCGGGGGGCTGCATAGACCACTCAGGATCCTTAGCTGAACGTCAACGACGCTCACCCCACGACCAGGCAGACAGCGGGATTCGAACTCGAGAAAAGTGTGTGAAGTGCGTTATTTAATTGCGTTAATTAAATTTATACCAAACACTAGGCATTTACTCCGTTAGCTCTGCATCTAGTTATTTCTTAAAGGCGTACTCAAATAACCCAAGGTGTCTTACTGGGAGGACGACGCATAATGGTAAAATCGAGCTTTACAGTAGAAAGTAAGTAGCTGTTACGTATATGTCAAATCACAGCTTTGAAATTTAATATGTCAATTAATTTCAGGCATTAAATGGATCTCTAAGACTAAACAAAATCCAGGCCTGAGCCATTTCATATTGGCAAGAAATTAGTTTAATATTTACTACCGCCAAAGCAAAGGCTGCAACAATATTTGAATTGGCTTCCGTTACCAAGAGAATTACAAAGATGCGAAATTGATACCGTATAAGGTGCAGGAACGGTAGTTAAGTGGAACTCGGTTAAACTGTTGAACTCGGAGATTCAATATCTTTAATAGCTAATCACAGCATATAGTCAGCAAATTGAAAGTACTACAGTAAATTTAGTATTTCTCAAATTACAGTCACTTGACGTAGGAACTTTAACTGGCTCAAAGTCTGCTCTTTGGTGGATACTACTACTCTAGAATTTGTTGAATGAACCTATCAAAAAATGAAAAGTAATATCCGTTGCAGTAACTTTGAGTGGAGAATGAAATCAGTCATCCACTTTTGCCCATCATCATTATGAGTTACACATATTAGCAACGTATCAAAACATTTAGACCGACTTTAGAAACGGTAAACCGACTCTCTAAACCCAATAATGCCCCTATATCTTTACATAAGCTTTGTGTTATTCGTCTTTTTCATTTATGCTGCTCTGTAATATGTATACCGATCAGTGCTGAGAAGCAGTGTGATAGAGTTCGGACAAAATCTTTAAAAATATAAAACGGTGGCCTGGGACAATCAGGACAATGGTTATATCGTAATTTGAACAAAGCCAAAATAGTAAGTATCCACTGTCCACATGAATGAAAGAGTACAAGTACACAGCTCATTGTATGTTAGATTATAACATTTCTCATTTGCAAAGTTAATTAAATCGATGGATTGCGTCCGTTCTAGCTACAGACACAATAAAGTAAAGAAAAGGTTCTTCTTGCAGTTGCACTCAGGTATCAGAAAGTCTAAACTGAAACAATACTTGTTGCATTATTCAAAACGGTAAACTTATATTATGCTGGGTAAAATGTTGTTACTGGCGGCAGAAGCTGCTCTATACTCGGTGTTAGTGTTGCAGCACTGAGCCTTCAATTATGCCTAGATTCTGTACAAGGGATAAACTGCAGATTCTACATTTGATAAAGAGCAGCCAAGGTGGTGAAATTAACATTACTGAAGTCTGCATATCCCCTGCTCGGGGTATTATTAATTATTAGGTTCGTTTAATATATGATTATGCCTAGCACCATTATACTCGGGATATAAAAGGTTTCACCCAAACATTTGTGATCTGACCACTCACACATTGCGCGTAGAGCACTCGGTGCTCATATGAAATTTAACGCTGTTTCAAAACCCATGTTAGGACATATAAAATAACGCTGCGGCATTCTTAAAGTTGACAATTGTCTTCAAGACCTTCTACATCAAAAACCAAGACTGATTATATTCATAGAGACCCTCCTCAGTCTCTAGGTAATCAATTAAGTAAATTGACCCACACACTCTATAGGTGACAAGTCGGCGAACAGAACCCAAGACTCAGATGAGATTCAAATTGTACACGAGGTACAATCTACTCCAAAAAAGAAGTGTGTCGGGTCCCTTCGCGAGTTTTTCAAAAGTCCTCCTAAAAGCTCGAGCCCGCTCAGTGTTTCCTCGCCTACGCTCAGTAACCGCAGCATGTGTAAATATGTTGAGATCCCCTCGTCATCGGAGACTTACTCGGGACGGTCTAATCACGACTTAGTGGTACTTTCCCCAGTACAGACCTGTTCGCCCGTCACAGCCGGCACCCCAAACTTCAAATTAGCAGCAAAATCTCTGTTTAACTCTCAGAACGATCCTGGACCAAACAGGTCTTCAGACTTGTTCGGAGAGGATGAAGATGATTTTGACGACTTTGAAAACGACGAAAATCTAGACGAAATGATACAATCGTTTACGCAAGTTCCTAAGAATCAAGAAACTGACAAATCAAACAATGGCAGTTTCTCCTCGAGCTCCAATCACGAAGAACCAAATCTATCGTTCAGTCCAACAACACCCACCCGGGTATCACCCCTGTCATCTCGCCTTCCCAAAAACCAGACAAACAATCCCTCTAAAAAACAAAACAAACACCAAATACTTAACGAAGTTCTGAAAACGGAGGATAATGTGTACATTGAGCAGGAGGTTTCTCGCCTGTACACATTCCGAGACGAAAATACAAATCCTGTCAACACTTCCAGTGTATCAAAGTTGGACAAGCTGCTGGAGCGGTCCTGTAAGCGTAATCGGACACCGAAGCAGGGGAGAGAACCCGCACTTGATGATAGTATGGCTGAACTGTTAGATGATTTGAGTAAATCTCCAGCTCCGGCCGTGTTATTGTCGAATAATAACTCGTCTCACTCCGCGACAGACGACGGTGGAATGGTGACAGCTGATAACATGGAGTCTCCCCCTCACCAAATTCCTGACATGTGAGTAGTTTTTACTGTGATTTTAAAACATTAACGCTGTAAGTGTAATGAGTTATAGGGTTAATGTTATACTGCTGTGTTATTGTGTAGTTCACTAGTTGCTGATCCTGCCTGGCCCCGACGATTTGACTATGAGTAAGGGTTATTTTAGTATTTCCGTATGAACCGTTTCGAAATAAGGATCATTAGCAGGGTTTCAACGAAAGTTGCAAAGTCTGAAAGTCCATACGGGTATATGGCCCCCAGAATATAGGTCGTTTTTTGAGCACTTAGAAACAGGTGTTAAAACTACTTCTAAGCATGTTTAGGGCTGTAAATATGTACATAATAACCCTTTAAATGTTTCTTGGGTAGTTGAAAATAATTATTAGGTTTTTAAGTGTACTTTTTTTTCACCTGTAAAAATACCATTTTTTAACAGGGCCCCCAGAATATAGGTCCAAACATCTGTTCCTAAGTTGTTCTAAAATTGTCACAGACAGTTATATGCAGTCAGAATATGTTGCTGAGACTGTATTGATGATGCCAATGGCTCCAGATACTAAATTGAAATGGTTTAGAGTATACTTAATAGCAAAAAATCAAAAACTACGGCCCCCAGAATATAGGTATGCAAAAATCGTCCTCAAATACTCCACCTTCATACATTTTGATGATGCCATCTCTTCAGCATATGTTCTTTAACTGTTTCTCATCACTACCCCACATTCCTTAATGCTCAGGGTGACAGAGAAAATGCAGAATCTTGGTCGCTATTTTTTTTTTAAAACCTATATTCTGGGGGCCATATACCCGTAATGAGTAAAATCTTTAATTTTACTAGTTAAAAAGCTTTCATGCACTCATTTAGTAGGGATCTTAACTAAATACTTAAATAAGATTGAAGGAGTGTCCCTAGATATGATTGAGGGGGGCTGTTTTTATCTGTATCAATACAATGTGCACCTCAATGACTGTAAATCAGACATTTTTGGCCGCCAAATTTTTTTAAAGGCCTAACTCAAAATTCTGTCCCAAAACTTAAGGTCATGAGACAATTCTACGTTGATTCTGAAAATTTCATGTGAAAATATTGAAACCCTATTGAGTTCTATTGTTTTGAGCGAAGTCAGTTTGAGATATGGGCGATTTTGTTCATTTTTTGCGATTATTTGAACACAGAATCCACAGTTAGGTAGATATTGAGCTGATAATCATAGAGAATGTGTAATATATGCTTACCTTCCATATAAAGTTGGTTTCATTCAAAAATATTGATATTTGACCAATTTATGGACCAAAATCGATCAAATTTGGTGCGTATGCCCAAATATGGGCATATGGTTTTTGTTTTTATCCCATAACTCGGCCAATCTTTATCCAATTTTGATAAAACTTGATATGTGGGTTCAGGAGACTAGTAGCTACAAGTAGAGCATCCCAAAGCATGGTTTTGGGCATGTTCAGGGTTTTTGACCAACCTATATTCTGGGGGTCGTATAGACCTATATTCTGGGGGCCCGTAAAATTGTGGTGGCCATAACTTTTTTCCAAATTGTCAGTTTGCAGATGTCTCGATGAAAAGATAGCTTAAAATAATACTTATACTCATACCAGTAGTCTTAATGGCATGTGTTGGACAGATTTTTGTCATGACAATTTTTCGCCATATTTACCCCTCTAGAAAATGACAACATCGTTTAAATCTTTCGCTGTCATGACCAAATATACCAAAATACCTCATGTAGGTCCAAAATTTTTATCCAGAAACATTAGTTACATGTTTTACTCCAACATAGCAGTAACAGATCCCATTAGTATCGCTTATCTTGGTTAGAACTGTATCCACTAACATGACCTATATTTTGGGGGCCACCTATATTCTGGGGGCCATATACCCGTATACCACTGAAAATTATACAAATATTCATCTTTGTGTTGATTAGCTTTTTATACTCGTCATCACCGCAGCTTCGATCCAAACTAGTCCAAATTATTGTGGAATTTGCTTGATGATCTAAAAAACAGCTCTAACAGTAAACACGCCTTAAATATGGCTATTTCAGTGACGAAGACGATTTGCCAGCGTTCCACTCCCAGTCCGAGGATGATGACATGGAGCTAAATTCAGGCGATGAAATTCCGGAAATCAGTCCGGTGATTACAACTGGAATCCGACTTCGGAAGCGGACCTCCGGTAGCCTCAGTCCCTTCAACGAGACACCTCCCAAACGGGGCCGTATACTGTGAATGCCGGAATTGACGTTTAACTTTGGCAATGTTGTTGCTTTTGTATGGAAATTGTTTTTTTTATGAATCGGATTTATGGAGTATGAATGTTTCAATTTCATGAGGAATTTTTTGCATTTTTATCTGCGAAATTATTCGGATTTTTACGCGATTTTTAATTTTTATTGTTTACAGTTAGAGTTGGACACTACGTATTACATATTTATATAGATTCTTTAATGAGACATACATTTGGCGTAACAGTTTTAATATTTTAGTCCAGAAAGAAGAATTTTTGAGAAATTTCGTCTTTAAAATAAAATCTTCTGAAAGAGGTGCCCTCCATTTTGTCTATGATACATAAATGTAACTAAAAGCGCGGCATTGGTGGATTAATGGCACGAGGTCGTAAGATTATGTAGCTTGGATTTGCTTTAATAACTACAAAGTGAAATAAGAACTTTATTGATTGAGACCGCTTTTCAAGGGACCCTTTTCAAGGGACTTGAGCAGTGGCTGTATATACCGGCATACCTTAGCGAAATTATAAATTCTGACTCAATTTTAAGATATTGATAATTAATAATAATATTGATATCACCTATAGAATGGATATGGAATACCCATAGCAAATTACCACGTATACCTTCCTGAATAGGGGGTTATCTTCTGATTTGATAAATGGAGTTCATTAGATTACCTACCAAGAAACAATCTCCATGATTTACGGATTTGTTGCAAATTTTAGAGATAGGAGAAAATACCCTAGAAGGAAAAATAGACGTGAATACAGAATTACAGATTTATATTTTAATGATAATCAAGATTTGGCAGTTGCTAGTATTGCTCAAATGACCGATTTCTGTCCAGGAATATGATTCCTTCGTCGTTTCTAGTTAATTATAATAATTTTATTTCATTGTCTTAAACAAAAAGTATAAACGCAAAAGACTATTACAATGACATGTAATTGATGGCGCACCATAGAAGCTGAGGAAACTTTAAAATAGTCAAGTAAATCACGTTCGGAAAATTCGGACACCCAAAATTTGGTTTGGATCAATCGATTTCGTACATTGGGCCACAAATTTGGAAATGCTTTCAATAATATTATATTGGGTCCCGGTTAAGCCTAAGGTTTGCTACCTTCCGAACATTCCAGATTAGAAAACTTCACAACCAGAAAATAAAACGCACCCGTTACACTTAGTGGCTAAGTTATACTTCACAGTCCCCCTATCTCCTGAGTAAATATCGCATCAATTGGTCATCGTTATCATGTAAAACACGCCTCTAAAAGTTAGCTGATCAATTGCAATACTATTTGGTTTTCCTTCAACTTTCGACCAGTTTTTTGACCAATAAACCCACATCCGGCCGGTTAAATCTGTGTGCAAGATATAGTGATAGAGCTTTTAACGGCATACTATCAAAATTTTAATTTTGTTGTGTTAAAACTTTTTATATTAAATTATTCACTTTTTAACTGTTATCAAGCTTTCTATTTGTGGAACGGTTTTTAGTTGTATGTGACCCACTAAATTATTTAATAGCATTCCAGTTGATTGTTATGGTAACATCCTTTTGTACATTTTGATATTATATAAGATTGAAATCTCTTAGTAAATGCTTGTTCCCAACTTCTCACTTTAAATAAGGTCAAGAGCACCCCGAAGTCTTGCATAAAATCTGAATACCGGAGTTCATACCTGGAGGAATAATTGTAGCCTGTAAAAACAAATATAATCAACTCCAAACATTCCAGAGTGTTGAGGAGACCTCTGGTTTTTCTGCACCGAACAAGGGCTAGGATTGGACGGTGTGGTGTCATTAAGGCTCACATTGGCTGATCTTCGTGCTTCTCCTAACAAAGTTTGTGGTCAGGAGTGAACTGCCCGGTGATAGGCCTGCTCTGCTCTCACGTGACATCTGCACTGCAGAGCGCTCGTCATGTGACCACAATACTGTCCTGTCAGTGGTAAGTTACCGGGTCTATCCAGCCTTCTCTTCGGGTAGATCATTGTTCCTAAAGTGCTCGGATCTGGGATAGCAGCACACCTCGACTATATCCGGCACGGCCAATCACCCGTCCACCCCGGACCTCTCCACCAATGAGGGGGCTGGAATATTAGCACGTGGGTTTCTGGTTCCACGAGCGAGATAGCAGGAGTGTGCGGTAATGAGGTTATGTTACATAATATATATTACTGTACAGTCCAACCGGACCGAGCTCAATCCAGCACGAGCCTGGTCAGCTGACCTCTGAAATGAATATTGTCAGTGAGGCTGCACGGTCGCAGGTCACCGTACCTGGGCCCACGTGCAAGTAACGTGACAAACCCCGTGACACCGCACACGAATATACAGATCACCTTCGCAAGATGGGACACCGCTCGTTTAGATAATCCGATAAATGTTTCTTGTTCATCGAACGTTTTAGCATTTTATGAGCTAGCCTGGGAGGTGAGCCGTTCATTTTCTTGACATTTTCGGATATCACTCACTCTCATTCAGGTGTTCAAACCTAATCCTTTCCTTGTGGCGTGCCAACGTGACTAAAGTTACCTCTGGAATTTGCCACCAATTTACCTCGCAACGGCACCCCTGTAATGTTTATTTAAGCGCCCTCTCTGTAATTACTGAATTCCGTGTACAGCTATATAGCATTGCCGGGTGATTTTGTATGGTGAATTCGTGTAGAATCTTTCATTTATCATGTTGTTATTTATCTGTCACAATTACACTTTGTACTTCCAAGATTAACTAAAATGCGTTTGTTTTAACAGTGAATTCATTGATAATTATTACAGATTCGCTGTGTTTGAATTACATGATTAGAATTTCACTGCCCTTTAGTTCCCAATCAGCCATTTCCTGTTTCTGACTCGTATAGAGTCCTATTTACTTATGCAGGCACCTGTTTAAACCTTAACCACGGGACTATTTACACATACATCCAGCTAACTAGGTCCCTGTTAATAAGGCGACATGTACAAGTCAATCACCAGTATCTATCATATTGTTTTGCATTTTCCGTTAACTTCTAATCATTGAACAAAAGCCACAATGTATTTATACCTACTTCATCTGTACATTTAATCGCTGTTTATCTCGTCCTAGTTTGTTTTCTCTCGATCCTTATCTTTTAATAGTGATCGTTTACGAACTTTCGACTTATACACTTATACACTTCCGTTTAATTTATTGTAATTATGTTTTACTAGTTTGCTTTGGTAGTTTTTCGCCTCAGGGTCCCATAGTACTGCTCTTGGAATCAGTTTATTGATATATTTACTTATAAGAATATCATGTAAACCGTTCAAATTACTTTTCATTTTTACTTACGAATTTCTGGGTTTTTCGAACTTAAACATCATTAATTCAAATTGATCATTTCACATAATCGTTTTACCCAGAATTGTGGACGTATCTCACTATCTTTTCGTTACTGGACTGCCGATTGCTATAAGTCAGACAATATAGTTATTTTAGCTCTAAATTATCAGCCGTATATTTTCATTGTGTGGTATAATCTCCATCTTTTCCACCGAATTCATAATATCCTTGCACGGCAGGTCATTTTTCATATCGGTATCACGTGAAGATGTCATTTGCTGTGTTGATGTAACATCAAACCTAATACGGCCAACCCAGACACATCTACTTTAGATTCCTTTTGTATAAATATCCTAACATTACAAAAGAGCCATTAAGATTCCTCATAGTCGTAGAATAGCCTTTTTATACATTAAAGCATAGCAATGGTATGTTTAGATTACTTAAGCGTCAACTTCTCGTTTAAATTCGATCTTGTGGCAGTTTAGATTTAGTTTTCAAGATTAGCCAGATGTTCGAAATTTCGAATTACTTGAAGGAGAGGCCTCCATAATATATAATTATAATGGTGATCATGGTTTCTTCAGAAGCACCTTTAAACTATCATACGATTCAACTTGTAGTTCCATCAGCATCACTATCAGCATAATAGTATAAGTACTGCAGGTTTTAATCAAGATGATTGAGATAACTTAAATTGCAATTAACCGTTTAAAAGTGTGAGACTGAGAGTGTGGTAACACTGCAGACCATTTTCGTTAAATCGATCAAATCTTCTTGATCTAGTTACAAAATTATTGTCAATTAAGTGGTACAAAAGGCCGGCTTCACTTCTATCTTTCTGTACGATATGAACCAAGAAACAATTATATGGGTCATAACTGAGATATTTCTGAGCTCTTATTCCCCCTCCAACTCTCGAAAGAACATGAATTACCACAACAATTAAGTAACAATATTCATTAGATCCACATTACAGGGGTATGAACAAAATGCAGTTCGTTGAAGTAACAAACCACTGGGGATCCACCAAACAGAAGCGAAGGGTCAGGGCCTCTCCTAAAAATCCCTCAAAAATCACTCGCATGAATGAGGCTGTCTTCCAATGGTACGGTTAGCAGTTATTAAAATTTATTCTAGATTTGAAGGGTTTACGAGGATGGTTGTTGTCAACGCATAATCTTTACTGCCTAGTTAATAATCAAATCATGTAAAGAACATACAAATGGTCCGTTTTTTACATAGAACTAGAGGCGGCCGAGCAAATTAAGCTTAAACTTTGGTTTAAAATTAAATACTTAATAGTACGTGGTATGTGATCTTGTTTTTTTAATTAGACAAAATAAATAAGACTTTAATTGAATTTGTCTAATTTAGACTACAGGATCACATACTATAGTTTACCTAGATACTAATACTAATACGTATTGATAACGCTTAAAAAGAAACTTTCAAATAAAACACAAACATTAGAAGTAACATGGGGTGGGAAGGTTGCACAAGGTTGTTTCGTCACTTGACTTGAATCAGCCAATCAACTCTCAACATCGTATAGTATCAAATCTTTGAATTGCTGACACGTGTCAATACAACCTTGAATCAACCCCTCACCATTACTGCTAGACACCTCAATTAAACTGCAACCTTGATTGGACAGGTTCAAGCTGCAGAGATCAATGAACCTGGACGTAGACAACGGACAACTGTGCGACAAGGCACTGATGTACAGCCAAATACTGAAAGTCAGTCTACACTTCACTGCGAGCAGGGTATGTAATATGTATTAAACCACTAATCTGCGGAATTATATCCCTGTACGTTAATTGTAGTAAACATACCAGCACACTACAGAGACAGATTAGTTGGGTTCACGGAATTTTAATGGCTGAATTTATCCTTCGAATATGAGAACTTGAGCTTCAAAAACACACCTGAAATCTCAAAAAAGGTCGTCTAATTCCAGTACCAACCTCGCTCTCAATTTGGTTCCCGGCTGAGTAAGCCTAGTAATGAGATTCAGGGAAGGTTCATGTTACACCTTTTCGCAGGGATGGCTGACCCGGTTTAAAGAGAGGCACGGTATCTCCGACATTAAGAGCACCCACGTGAGTGATCTTCAGTTTTTATCACACCATGGTTACCCTCCACTCGAACATTCTTTTAGCTGATAACTAATCACATGATCCGTTTTCTCGGTTTCATATTTTTACGATTTGTCGGAATCTGCGGTGTCTGCAGATCGAAAAATTTTAATATTTAAGTTGTTGTTGTGACCAATAAAGTTATTAATACATATTATTTAACTCAACTTTTACTAAACTCTAGTTTTCCATTGCAAGCATCTTTTGAAACTATGAGAATTACAAAAACACCGCCACTCTGGTTGTAACACTTACGAACTCTCAGCAGTGCAAGATAGATTCTGAGAAAGTGTTTGTCAGTCACCTGAAAGCGAGTCTTCGACAGGAGAACCTTACCCCTGGACAGGTAACAATTAGGATTATCCACCGTAGTTTAAAGATATTTTGTTGAAACTTTCCCTCTGGAAAACTAATAGCTCAAACTCAATATATATGATATATCATATATTCAGTGGTTTGAGCTATTAGTAAAGAACCACATAAACTGATAAACTTGTATCGGTTCCTATATTGTAGCTTCTATATATTAATATAGAAGCTACAATTTAGGAACCGATACAATTTTATGTGGTTCTTTACTTTTGACAATCGACACGATCGTATTTTCTATATTTATCGCATGTGAATCCAAACTAGATTCACAAATATAACCTCTACGCCAGGTATACTGTGTAGATGAGACATGTCTCCTTTGGAAGGATCCACCACCGTCCCCCCCAGAATACAACGTCAAAACAGAAACAGAGAAACTGACCCTGATAACTTGCACTAACATGGACGCTACTCACAAACTCTCTCTTAATATCCTGGGCAGGTATCAAGAACCAATAGACGTCCCTCCTCCCTCTGAACCCCATCCTTCTGAATTGGAATCCACGCCTGCAGTGTTTGTCAAGCCTTTATCTCCTGAAGCAGATAATGTCACAGCTCTTCCCAAAGAAGACAAGATAAAAACAGAAGTGGAGGAAGATCCTGGCGCTGAGAAGGAGAATCAAGAAGTTGTAACTAAAGTTGTAACTAATGTTGTAACTAATGGTAATGATCATAATGAAAAACCTCCTCTGTTTTGTGACGCCACCACTCAGAGTACAGACTCTGCCGATGCGGAAGTTTCAGCCGCTGCATGTCACTCCATAAAGATCCAGAGTACTACAACAAAAACCGAAGCCGTCTCTCCAGAAAATCATGACGTCATCACACCTACAAGTGACGTCACTATACCACCTCGTGACGTCACCCAGCCTCCAGTGTTGCTCTACCGAAAGGGAGAAACTCACGAACTCACGCCGGAAGTTTTCACTGACTGGTTTTACTCGACGTTTGTACCGCAGGTTCGAGAGAGCCTGAAAGCCAGAGACCTGCCTCCTAAAGCCGTCCTGATAATGGACAACTCACTCTATCATCCTGAACATCTATCTGACTCGGAAGGGAACATTAAAACCATCAAAATACCCTGTTACGTGGCCAACAAATCCCTACCGTCAGCTACAGTATCCAGATCTCTCAAGGCAAGATACAAGGTCCGACTTGCCCGGGGCTGGCTCGAAGACAATGAGTTCTGCAGAAGTTTAAGCTTGAGAAGGTTTGTTGATTCAGATATTGTTTTCAGTTTACTTCAATGTGGGTATTCTTATATGCAGTGTTTTGCACACTATTCACTAAATTATGTGCAACTATTATTGCATTATAACTGGGTTACAGCAATAATAATGAATGCATGGCTGGTACTCCGTTTAATTTTTTTTCGAGGCCACACCGACAAACAAATCGAATTTCAGGAAACTCTTCTTGATTTGCTAAAGTAAAAGTAAACTAATTCTTTGAAGAAATTTACTTTTCATTACGTTGGAAAGATTCTGATTAGTTCACGGTTCCAAGAATTCCAGCAAATAGGATGCGCAATGTCAGAACAAATAGAATCGAATCTACGAGTACGATCTATTAGTATTACTGTACATACCGTTATAAGTGGACGTAGCATTGCCAGTGTTAATTCACGAACTGTGAAAGTATAAGGCTTGTAAATATTATCAGCAAATAATTTCGGGCCTCTGAACCGTAAATTTTTCATGCTCCTTGCATGTGATCTTCAAAATTACTTACAGAAGAACTATCGCAGATGTTTCGAGTTGCTGAAGGAGGAGTGGGGGGAAGTTAACGAGATCACCTCAACCTGGAAACACTGGTATCAGATAGAACACAACCTGCCCCTACCTGATCTCCATCTTCTCATGTTATCTGAGCTCCTTCCCAATATACCTGGCATCTTTTTAAAACAATGGTACGTCTTCATGAACTACACATATTTGCCACGCAAGTGTTCATTACAACACTAATCAACATCCTTCTTGATTGTTCTACATTAGGTTTTTTAACTTTCTTAGAGTCCTCGTTGGAAGCTCCTCGGTTTAAAAGGCCTAACCTTTCTCTAGTTCTCATTGATTTTGTTACAAGTGGTAGGGAGCACAATACCATTCGTCGAGCCACGTGACCGATCACAACCAATCAGCTCGCTGATCACGAGATTTCTAATGTCACGTGACGTGAGTGATGGCATTCGAAAACCCGCCACTTTTACCAACACCTTTACTGTTCCCTTGTGTAGTTACTTTGCTTTCGAATGACATCCTATTATTGAAAATTTGTCCCGTGACTTATAACACATAATGGCTGCTACGTGGATACGGGAGAGCCGGTCTTTGTAATATTAACAATCATTAACCAATGACCTCAAAGTTTATCCAACAAATTTGTGCAGGTACATGGCAGACGGTAGACCGTCCGAGGTGCCGTTTCGTATTCCAAACGAGCTGGAATTACTCGACTTAGCAACACAGATCTGTCACACCAGACTCACCCTGCAAGCTGAATCCCCGGACAGGGACAGTGACAAGGAGGTTGCCAGTCCTCGGTCTATGATGGAGCTGACGTCTGACTACACGGAGACTCAGCACAGTCCACCAGCGTACGAGGACGTGATGAGCTCACCCGGAGGGATTAAACAACTTCCAAATATCACTATCCCCGGGATGGTAGATCAGATGAAGAGAACTCACCTGCCCCATCCTGACCAGCATCCTGCTAAGAAACAACGAGCAAACCACCAGATGATGAGTAATGCTAAGCCACTTATCTCTCTCCATCCCCAGAGCATCATAGACAACATCCTGCGTGCCAGCATGATGTCATCAGCTGGCAGTCTGACGTCACCAACCCTACCTCCCTTCTCACCACTCTCACCCTCACCTACAACACCCGACACCTGGCCCGCCCTTCACGCTCTTCTCGGTATCACCAACGTGAAACCCAAAATGATATCTAAAAACGATGCTCTGATCGGACTCGACAAGTTTATAGCCTATGTAGAGCAGCAGTCAAACGTAGCGGGCATTCTTAAGGACGTGCTGTATGAGTACAGAAAATATGCTATGCAAAGGCTGTGATACCGGGGAGGGGAGGCAAACTTCAGACGGGACCCGGCAGTTTTGTGGTTTAACTTGTTTACTCTTGAACAATGACTGGTCTAATTTCTTTCAGTGTTTATAATATCTAGACATTTTTACCGAGTTTGAAATTCGTACAGTTACTGTTAACCACGTGTGTATTGCTCGCACTGTAAACCTTGTTCACAATTCAACAATTCGCCGGGTGACCATTGCTATCATGTTTTGCAAGTCATGCTGTTAATAATATGTCAACAATCTAGTAATTTATGTTGTTAGCTATGTTCAGAGCCAAATGAAATTTACTCTTTATATTATTTCAGAACTAAAAGGGACTTTATATCACAGTCTATAATATCTTGCTCATCGTTTGTTACTTTTGAGATATTTTTTATTGTTTGGTGTTAGCTAGAATATTTTAACTGGTTGTTTTTTATAATAATATGTTTTTAATCTTTTTAGGTTTTTAATGAACGAATTATTTGTAGTTTACCTTCTTATACTGTGTCAAACATGGGACAAAATGATCATACAATATAAACAGTTAGAGCTGTCTATCTTAATTGAATGACCGCAGAATTTTGTACGTATTTTACAGATTGTTACATTTTGTCACATGTTTGACATAGTTATTTTCCCTGATTCCGAGACAAATAAAAACCAAATTTGGTACAGTTCCATAATAAAAACATAAATAGTCTAGAATCCCGTATTAAATGAGCAACCTAAAGGCGTAGTTTAATGAGGAAACACTTGGTTTCGGTTTAACAGAAAGTCCAAATTATCAACTTCCTAAAAAAACAAATCACATCGATTCCTCTTCATCCAGTACCATGAACTTGTTGGAATCGGAGATCTGAAAACGAGGAATTATTAGAATGTAAACAAGAAATATTGTTAATCGTAACAAAGTTAAATTCCCAGACTTGTGATCCTATTTTATGTTTAAAATTAGTGCCACAGAAGACAGCAAAACGCAAAAAACATTGACTTAGGATACAAAAGCTACTTACAAGTTCATCTGAGACCTCGTCCTTCGTTAGAGTAGGTACTTTCTGAGCGGTGGGTGTTTTTATTGGACCAGTACCCTGCATTCTGGCACTTCTCCAGCCTGCTGTATCAGCTGGCTTAGCTGCTCCGAATGGATTTGACTGAAATAAAGTATGATTTTAACTATTATAATGATAACTGTTGAGGAATTGTCCTCTTTCTCGGGATAATGGCAAGATTGAGTATATAGTCAATCTTGATTACTGATCGTAGCTGATTTTTGCAAAGTTTATCAAAAATAATGACCGACCTTTGGTGCTTCCTTCCTCTCAGGTGCTGCTTTTATCTCGCCACCCTCGGGGCCCTCTCTGATATCCTCTGTTTTTTCTTTGACATCCACTGGTTTTGCTCTACCGAATGGGCTTGGTTTATCACATGGTTTGTCGCTCTTCGGGGCTTCAGCGATAGGAGCGGTCCTAGGCTTCAGGTTGAGTCTGGGACGTTCAGAGGGTGAATCTGTGCCATCCTCACCATGACGAACCCACGGTTTTTCTTCTCTATCTTCACGGTCTCCACTACGGTCGCGGTCACCACCACCGTCGCGGTCACCGCCACCACCACGACCCCATGCTCCTCTCTCTGGCCGGTCACCTCTATCACTATCACGATCAACACGGTCACCACCTCCACGTCCCCATGCTCCTCTATCAGCTCCTTTATCACTATCACCTCCTCTGTCACCACCACGACCCCAAGCTCCTCTATCAGCACCACTATCACCTCTGTCACCCCGGTCGTCATGTTCATCATTCCGGAATCTTCTGTTGGAGTATTACAGCGATTAGAAAACAAGACAAGGACCAAGATGCAATTAAACAGCTACAGTTAATAATATACATTAGAACGAGGCAGGTAATAGTCAAGCACTTACGGTTTATAAGTGCTTTCTTTGGCAGCCTCATTCTGTTTAGTACCAAAGTCGCTCCGAGAAAACGTATCAGGTTCATCGTCATTTCTTCTGCTTCTGGGGCTATCGCCGTCGTCATCGTACCGTCTTGGGCCTCTTCTCCTGGAATACAGCTGCTTAAAAATCCATAGTTTCCAGTATAACAAACCAAGGATGCTTCTTCAAGATAATATCTAATAGCTCACAAACTACCCAAGTTAAAGCAAGGAAACTAACTCGTATGGGGCAGGGGCACTGTCATCTTGGGGTTTAACATCTCGTCTCCAATCATCACTAGTGGTGTCTACGTAAGGTTGTCGTTCTCCTCGTTCGCCATCGTTGTTATTTCTGTCTCTATCCCACCGGTCTGTGGATCCTGTCATGATAATATTTTAGAGTTAATCAGAAATAACTGAAATCTGAGCTTGTTCCTTCACGACACTTCTTTAACAAAGCATTCATAAACTACATGACATGATTAGTGATTACAAACCTTCTCTATTTCCAGCAGTCGTGGCAACATCTATTTTAATGGGACGTCCTCGTATCATCTTCTCGTTCATCTTCAAAGCCTCGACCAACCCCTCTGCTGTTTCAAATTCGACATAGCCGAATCCTTTGAAATGACCTGTCTCCTTATCCTTCAGAAGTCGCACTTCCTTCACCTGTAAATCAATTGAATTAACCAAAATAATAGTCTACCCAGAAATACAATGAAATATAGGAGTTAGGACTCTGGAAAAGCTAATGCTACAAAAACTATTGTTTATTTACATTATTTGGTTCTCAAAGTTTGAATTCAATTACAGCTGACCTTGATTAATGGCACAAACTGAACTGAAGACACACTTGAAATGGTATTCAGTTCGATTTAACGAGAAATTTGAATAGCCCGGAAGTTGAAGTTTCACTGTAGCGGAGCCGGAACACTTTACGGCAATGATATGAGAAAGTTTTGGGTACATTCATGATGACGTTTCGGGCTACCCCACTGAAAATCTGTCGCAACGGCGCGCACGTCAAAACGCGCGTTACATAAATGCGCGATATGATTGCTTTAATCAAAATTAAAGACACGCGCGGTACTGTTTCGTGAAATTGACACTGTGACCGTCCACTTTGGATGTAATGTTTATAGGCTACTATCCAATTCACGTGATTCACGCTAATAGATCAATATCAAGTAATTTACCGTATTCCTGGCGAACATCTTATCAACATCTTCATCCTCAGTATCGAATGGTAGGTTTCCTACGTAAGCTGTGAACGGTGGATTCCTAGGAACTTTACTGGGATCAAAGCTTCCTTCTCTTTGGGCTCGGGGAGCGCTTGGTAGCGAGCTTATATCCACTCGATCAATGCTTGGTCCATCGTACGTCGATTTAGCTGAAATTGAGATAATAATTGATTAATTAATCAGAGTTTCATGAAAGTCAAATGTAATTAATCTGGACAAACCATATAACACTTAGATTAGATTTTAAACGAGAAGTAGCAAGGCCAATTATCAGTGATTATATCAGTAGTTACTATACATACATTATGATGAACAAACCTGGAATACTAAGATCAGTAGGACAATCGTCACTCCAAACAGGAGGAGCTACTGGTGTTACTGGGGCTGCATCTCCTAGAAACTGTGACAAATGAAGAACTTGCTTCTTTCCTCCCCCTTTCCGCTTAACCATTCAGAGTTTAGGCTACACAGGGCAACGAGTTAGGTAAATGAAAAAGAAGAATATAATATAAACAGTTGCAGTGGTGTTAAGTTTAATTGAGAGGGATTTAATAGGATACTGTTGGGGAGATGAGCCATTAACCAATCAGCTTCCAGCAGCGACGAATCAAATCCACGAATCACTGTCATGTGTGAAAACAAACATGACTCACCAACCCTTTAGTATCTAATTCTATACAAATTTCAATTCACTATGGCCTGGTAGATAAAGTTTATTTGGTTTTACAATATAATTTGAACTCTAGAAAAACAACGAAAGTCATGATTTCAAGTCTATACTTTAAAGAATTTAACACAATAATTCAATAGTTACAAGTATTCAACACATATAGGTAAAGCATAAAAAGGCAATTAATAAAATAAAAAGTATCTTTGTGAATATTTTGTTCGCTTATCAGTCATTCCATATTTCAACTGAGGCTGTCTGGTTATGTACATGGTGGGCCAAAATAAACGGAACATACGACTGCAAACTCACTGCAAGTTAGGGTAAACCCGACAAACTTTCATGTTGTAGAAATTTAGACCGATATTCGTTCTGTGCATTCATTAATGTTAAGTTGAGCCACCCTGTATCATGATAACGTTTGGAAGCTCAATAATTATCTCCGTCTCCTTCAAAACTGGTCACATTGCATAACTGTTATCTGATCATCAGACTTAATTTCGTCTCAGTTCCATCTCTGAAAACCGACACTACTCTGATAAATAGAGGGAGTACCCTTGGCCAGGTTGGGGGTATACGAGGGGTTATAGGTGGGGGAGTTTCCCCTAGATCCGGGGTAGACCATGTAACCATCCTGGCCGGGGGTACGTAGCTTACTCAGGTGGTAGGTCTTCATGTAGCTTTCAGCTGTACTGGAGCTCTTGAACTTGTTGTAGCTGCAGTGAACATGGTGGTAAAGCTTAACTGTATCAAATATCAAATAAACTATGTTCAGGTTTGAATACTGTACATCAAATATCAATAACAAATAAGGGAGATCGAGAGTCAAAAACTAAATACATTTTATGACTAATCTTTGAATACCCTTCTCATATGACAGTAAAATTAACAATGAGATACTGATAAAAACAATTAGATCAGAAACCTGGTGTAAGGTTTAGGATCGTATGGTCCGGGTTGAGGTGACTGGGAAGGAGAAGTTTCGGGAGTCTTGTACCGGTCCTCTAACTGTGTCTCCACTATCTTCCGTGTCTCTGGGATCAGACTTCCCAGGGGCAATGTCTCAATTTCGTTCCGTTCACTGTCGCTAACACTGTAGTCGAATGGGCTGTCTGATTTTCTTGGGACCTGCAGTAGTAAAAGTAAGATATAAAATCTTTACTACTTCACTACTAGAGATTATTGCGAAATAATGTTGCCGGGCCACATTAACTTTATCAACGATCCTAATAAACTCACTTTTATCTTTCGTTTCCTTTTTTCCTTCTTGATGGGTTCTTGTTTACTTTTCTCCAGTGTTGCACGTTTGGTTGGCTTCCTTTTCAGGCTGTGTTCTTCTGAGATCACTTGAGGGTACAACTTGCGGACAGTAGCGTCGATCTTCCGTTTTCGGTTCCGAGCTATTTCCTGCTCCTCGTATTCTTGGATTTCTTCTCTGGTCGGAGGGGAGTAACCTGGCAAGAACAAGACATGATTAAGTCATAATATAATGTTACCAGTACAAAATCAATCCCATACGATAGTTGGCTTCAAAAAAATCAAAAATTATGCTTTTCTTAAAAACTCAACCCAACACGTGCTTACCTGCGATACTGATAAGGAAGTTGCCGATCTCATCAATAATGATCTGATCTAACATAGCTTGTGTTAGACCACATGATACTTGTTTACACATTGGTATACACAAGTTATCATCAGCATCTGCGGGAGAGTTTATCTTAAAACTTGCTGATTTGTTACTTGTTGCTTTGACTTAAACAAATAATAGCATGCCACATAAACTCGAGAACTATCACCATTTTATTTGAAGATAAACAATGTTTGTTAAAAACTAAATTTCAACTGACCCTCAATGAAGATAACCCTCTTATCCCCCGGAATCCCCGCCACTAAACTCTCCACATCAGTAGTACTACAACTCCGTGCAGCAGTTCCAATAACCAGCAACACAGGACACTTGATATCACCTATCACATTCCGCAGAGGCCTGTGTTTCTTGTTGAGAGGTAGCCCCAGACATATGGCCCCCCGGATCGGTTCCACGCTGGCTACGTGGAGCAGGGTCAGGGCTGCTACTCCCCATCCTACTGCAAACACGTTCTTTGAGTCGTGTTTAGAGCGAGCGTTTGCTACAGACAGGTGCACACCTGAGGAAGGTAGATGTATTAACTTTTAATGTTATTTAAAACTTGTTTACAATTGTTATCTACTTGGTAACACAATTAACGGAACGATCACTTAAACTAGCACCGAAATACTCTTGATTTGAGGCGAATAACCGAAAATGATCTCCATAAAAAGGTTAAAACACCAACAGTTTCGCATATTTGACTCACTATTAACAAGACTATTTGTATACTGAGAAGCAGTTTTAATCTTATCAGTAGGCTGCACCACGCTCAGAGTCCTTATCTTAGCCATGCTACTCAGCCCAGTCAGTCTATCGTACAGTTTACTGTCAGTTATATCACTGTCCAGATAGTGAGGTATTATCAACATTAGAGGGTTACCTGGAGGGGGAGATAAGGTTAAGAGGGTTACCTGGAGGGAGATAAGGTTTCACTGTCAGTTAGAGTGAGTTAAAGTTATGTGATCTAAATATGTACATGGAGATTGGAGTGACTATACATTTATACTGTTTGTTGTTTACTTGTAGTTAAGTTTTCATTGAATGATCGATGGATTCGGAATAAGTTTGGTACTAGTGCAGGTTATCTAATAAAATGGTTTAAAATTAAATAATTTTTAATACGAAATATAATATCCGACCTCATGGAACTACGCATGATTAAACTACACACTATACACACATTTCTACATCCTATATAGTCTACCTGCTACACGGATAGGTTTTACAGTTGAGAGATGATTATTAGGACTGTTAGATCGCCTCAAGAAAGCCTGTATCGTCTCAGAGGAAGCAAGGGCAGAACGTGCCGGATTGTTAATCTTATGTCCCTCTAAAAGGGTGGTAACAAGTTGCGGGACTGCGCTATCCAAATACTGCAACATGTCGATGTAGATAGCAAGTAGCCGTACACCCAGCGCGCTGAAGAATGTGTTATGTAACCACGTGGTTAGCTCTTTGTCCCACTTTATCATAGCAAAAGTTTTGCGGAGTTGTCGTCCGGCGTGGGTGGTGTAAATACTGCGCATCACACTCTCGTTGTGGTGATTGACCGAACTGAGACGTGCCATACGCGCTGTGTCTATTATCTTCATGACACGTGCAAAGAGCGCGTTTTGTTCGGGGTTCCAGGTGACACGTGACATCCAGTCCTCCTGCTCGTCGTTCAGTTTACTGGAGCAGTGTGTGAGGAGGAAACGTTCTGTTTCGTTGAGAAGGTGAGCATTACGAGGCTGGTCAAAGGGAGGGACTATTAATCCTGTACCTCCACATACGTCTATCTGAAGGGTTACAAGTTACAAGAGTTGAAGCAAGAACACTTTTCTTGGAGGGTACAAATCATTTAAATTCGCTATACATTTGTGTTGAACCTTAGAATCATACATTCAACTTTTACTTTAAGAACTTTATCATATTATCAAAGTACAAAAACTATAACAAACCTCATCATCATCCTCACTACCACTATCCTGATTGAGAAGGACCCTTGGTTTGACTCTCTCAGTCTTGTTGTGGTGCGCGAGGGACTGGAAAGGGCGCGCGTAACTGTGATCTAACTGTGGTATATCTCCCGACACAAACTCTAAACCGTAGTAGTAACCGAGGGATACTCCTGACATCTAGTTGTTCAGAGGGGTAACATTCTGATATTTGCTACAAAAGAAATGATGTTATGTAAGATAGTGAAAATCGTGAATTGATCCGCCCTTCATTTTCATTTCAGATATTATATTTTATGGATGATCAGATGAGTTCAGAAAATTACAGCTTACGTTACATTATTCCGAATGATGTACAAAATTTTGAGAACGAAAAGGGAATAAATGAGTTCAAAATAAAACATCGCACTGAAATCGGATTCAACTCATATTCAATTTTCTATCAAATTATACTTTAACTTCAACAAAATACATACATTACTGTACCAATAAATGCAATGAACATGCAATAATTAAATAATTTACATGTTAAACGTTTATTGATTTCAAACAATAACAAGAGCTTATTTTACTTTAACATGTTTTAATAAACCACATGCATAACTCTGCAGTTCAGAATTCCTAAAACAAGTTTAAAACAGGAATATGATATTGAAAGCTGTGCAAAAAAGTCTAGCACTAAAACTATATTTGTTTAGTGTTCACCTATATTACAACTTTAACAACATGTCAATTGTCCCTCTTACTAGGTTCAAAAGAATGCAAGGTTGACCTGAACGGTCTAAGCTTGTTTAAACCCTAGCCAGTACATCAAATATAAACAACCCAAGCAACCAAACAAAATCTGTAGTACTATGTGATATTTTACATGCATGTAAAATATGTCATCAATCCAGTTTATATATATAGCATTGGGTCATTTCAATTTACCGCCTATTCGCCGATCCGATACCTGTAAAAGTTAATAAGATGTCTTCCCCAGTTAGCGTTGAGAACAACCGAGAAGACAAAAGCAAAAGCAAGAACTGCAACCAGATACATGATCTTCTCCGATCCTTTAAGATAAGGGAGCGCAGTGTATCCCAGGAAGGTGATGTAAATGTAAGAAGTGATCCCTATCAACCACAAGGAATTTCCTAGGAATGTGGCTAACCTGGAATCCCCGTCGATGAAGATATGCCAGCAGAGAGGCTGTACCACGTGCAAAATGACGAGGATAGGGAAAAAAGCGTTGCAATGCACGTCAAAAGAATACCCAAACTCGACCGTTTGATCGCTATTGATCCTCCGGGTAAGATAAGAACAGGCATACCAACAAATCCCGGCAATAAGTAACCCCACACCGATAAAGTCAATGAAGATGACCCACAGGAGGAATTTGAAGAATCCCGGAACTGAGAGTTTGAGAATAACTGCAAATAAGATAGACGACACGGCCAGGAAAGCTGATAACAGGACCATGAAAGCTGGGTCGTCCCGTGCCCACTGGTTCTTGGTGTGCTTCCTGATCTGAGAGTTTTTGTAGACCCTGGAGGGGGTGGTGAGCAGGTAGATCATCTGCCAGGCCGCGAATTGGAAATCCATCTGGTTAAACTTGAGTTTGATGATCCGTCGGAGGAATTTGTACTGACGACTTATTGATTCCTTTTGACATATCCAGTTGCCATCTGCTAGGTGTGTCGGCAGAGACATCCTAGGGGATGAGAATTTGGTTAGATTTGTTGTTCTTCATTATTTCTTGAACATAATTTTATCATGTTACAATTAACAGCAGATCATTTTATTTCCAATTGAGTTGTATCAAGCCACAAACATTGTAGAAATAAAACAAAAGAGATTAAACAAATAGTTATAAACAAATTATAAAATGTCATGAATATACTTTTAATTCTAAATACGTTACCATCAATACGTACTGATGTATGAAACAACCTCTTAGACAGCAAATAGAACGGAGTTTAAAACTTTAAAACGTAAAATTCGGAAATCAAAGAATCCATCGATAAAATTAATAATGATATTATTTAAAAGCATCAATTAAAAACTTAAAAGCTTTGACTCCAGTACAGTTATCAAATTTGTTGTTCATTAACCGAATGATCAGCTGAATCGTGGGAGGACGTCTTGGCTACATCAGAGCTATTATCAATTCTGTTTGTGTCACCATGGTAAGAACTCCGTCTATCATCCCGTCTACGATCATCTTCTCTCTGATAACCACCCCTACTCCCATCATCTCGCTTATCCTGGTGCCCGTGACGATCTCTACCGTCCCTGTTATAGTTGTGGTCTCTGTTGTCTCTGTTATAATTGTGGTCTCTACTGTCTCTAGAATCCCTAGTATCCCTATTATCCCTGGAATCTCTGGAATGATCTGGTCCTTTATCATAGTGCCTATCTCTGTTACCCTGATAAGGACTGTTATATCTGTTATCATGGTAGTTACGATTATTACGATCATATCCCTGATAATTACCCCTGAAGTTATCATTTCTATTGTGACTATCCTGTCCATGATAGCTGTGTCTGTATTGATCGTTTCTGCGAAATGAATTGTTCCGTCCACGGCCTCGGCCCCGGCCTGAGCGCTCGGGTGGCCATGGTTTTACAACTGGGGGTGCAGGCAGGTCGATGGTACACTTGAGGAAGTCAGGGTCGTCTTCTGAGTAGCGATTAGGGAACAGGATGGAGTAATCTACATCGTCACACATTGTGCACAGTTTCTGTGTGAGTTAATCAGGTTAATCAGGTTGATTTGTGATATTAGATTAAGTGATCAACAACAAATTAATCAATTATTACAGAGTGAAATTGTATCACTTTTTATTAATTGATCGATTTTAAGACTTTCTACAAGCTATCAAAGTTTTTAGGGTGAAACGATGAAGCAAAAAATCATACAGCAATGAATTATAAATTCTTCAATAAACTTATTCAAAACATAAATTTAGTAATTCCAATCAAACAAAATACATAATAAGCACTTAAGAAAAATATCAAACTTCAGAAGATCTCAAACAAATGAAAAAGTCAAACGTTTTAAATCAACATAAACAAACCATCTCATCATTATCTCGGTAAGTTCTAAAATCTAAAACGTAAGCGCATTTAACTCAGCCTCCTTCTCCAACAACTGTGGTAACGACTCCTTAGTCCGTCTCAACTCACTGGCTACACTATCCCTCAACTCCTGTAGTTCTGTCTGCTGTTTGATAAACTTTCTGATCTCATCTGATAGACTGTTGTTCTTAGTTCCGATTGTGAAGACTGGATCGTCTGCTTTTGCTTTTGAGAGATCGTCTAGGATCTGTTCTACTGTCAGGGATTCCTCCATGATAGATATGTGGATAACTGCAGCAAATTTACATGATGATCTATTAATGTTAAGGATACAATTAGTCAAACATTGTATCATAATTATAGCAAAAATCTTCTTTCATAAATCGTGTAACTGTTATTTCGATTATAATGCTCTAACCAATATCAAAAGTTTTATCGAAAGCATATGATCATGAGATAAGAATCGTTCACATACTACGAAAACCAACCTAGTGGAGGGGTTTGGTTGTAAGCTAGTTTAATATCTACACTATTAAAATGGCCGTGATTTGGCTTTTTACTTTAAGTATCATGTGAACGATCTCACAACGATGTTAAACAGAAATGTATTTTCATCATTAAATGATCGATTTAACCCCAATTTTTGTAATTAAAAACATCATCTACATTCTACGATCAATGCATGGCTTCAGATGGAATTGGATGAATAAATCCAAAATTGATAGCTAAAAATGACATAAACTTAAAAGATATGATTAATTTTGTACACATATTACAATTAAAACGAGAGTCTAGTAGGGACAAAATTAGATTGGGATTATATCATTATAGGTAATCAAACGTTATGGTACTGCGATGCTTTCCGCTTAGAAAGAAACTGTTAAAAGTCCTTCACAAAAGCAAAACCTGAGAATTGACTCTGAATGATTACTGATTTAGGTTGCCCTGATAATATGTCTCTATTTTTCTGATAATCTTCAAAAGAATTAGTCTCAAAATTAATATTCATGAAAATAATATCATTGCAAACTACCCTTATAGTAGTAGTAGAAGTTTTGGTAATTTTCCACAATCTGACCTGATTGTTCGTGATGTTGCTAGAAAGCCGAACTAAAGGTAAGGATGCATCATTGTGGTTCAATACACATTTCCAATCATTGTTCTTCGTACAGTTCAAAATTAGCATCAAATCGCATTTCCCATCGACATTGTTTCCAAGAAAGCTATACAGTAACACAAACGATTTCCCAGCAACATCTTTTGTAGTTAATACCTCTACTGTCATTGGCACATGGCACGATGCTAATGGCATGATGAACTTCAAAGCCGTGTCGTTTTCTAAAAGTTTCCAATCTGAAATAGAATTAATAAATCATTGATAATCCTTTCATTTGAAAATCTTTTCATTTACAAATCTTATCTAGCCTCATACCGAAAATGATATAAATTGAATTTAAATAACCACCAGTTACCTGTTTTATCAAGTGTATCTGTTTGAATGGCCATACTTTTGAAATCAAGATTGTCAGACTCGCTACATTCATCAGAATCACCGATGTAACCAGATTCCAAAGCTGAGCTTTCATGTTGAGTATTTTCACCAGAGCTAGTTCCATCATCAGTAACACGGATGAACTTTTCCAATATTGGCTTAATTCTGGCATCAAAATTATTTGAGATCTTCGAAATTTCAGAAATATAGCATGCCAACTCGTCAAAATAGGATGCATGTTCTTTGAAGAATTTTTGGACATCAAGTTTCTCAAGAAGATACAGTGAGTTATCATCGAATTCTTTGGATTTCAGAATTATGCTCAAATGACAAGTCAAGAAGCTGACAACTAGATTCATATCATCTCTTGCGATAGCAAGAGACATGTCCATCTGGCGTTTTGAAAGCTGAGCAAAATCTGCCATGTATCTTTGTAGAAATATGCCTTTACCAATTTGCCATGAAACTGCAGTTTTAACAAAGTAGCTGACATATTCGCTTTGATTTAAATTGGTGTGAGCTCTGCTGGCTATCTCACAAGCAAATAGAATCTCATCGTAGGTGTTTCCCTTGTTTTTGTCAAAATCAAGAATATCACTTCTATAGAATCTCAGACATCTTTTGCTCAACCAGGATACTTCAAAAGCATGTGCCATTTTATTCACTTCTTCGAAAATAGGTTTCTCCAGTTTTTCAATTTCGCCTGTGTACATAGAGTCCACAAAACATTCAACTGCTTCGTTTTCAAAATCATCTACCTCCAATGTAGACTGAAAAACAAATACATACAACAAATACATACAACTTCGTAGATCGTGTCATTATTATAAAACTTGAATTATGTAGGCATGGCCGAGCTTTTCAAAAGAAGATGAAACGAATAGTTTTACCTGAAACATGTTGGTAGTAAGGTTGTCAATAACAGGACTATTCATAGACATAATCATGGAATTGGTTTTTATTTGTCCACCATCTTTCAGTTTCAGTATAAGATTTCCATGCACTTCCGAATTGATGTGCTCTCTTCCAAAATTAGCAGGCACTCTTATTCTTGGAGCCATTCTGTAGCTTATAAATGAGCTTTATAATTTGACATCATATCAAAACGTTTGATGTTCACGTTATACAGTAAACAATGTTATGCAGAATTAGTTTCAAGATAAGCGAGAGTAAATTATGATCACTACCAACAATACAATTCTCAAGCAGCTCAAAAGTTTGTAATTTAAAACCATTTGTTTGCGACTAATAGAAATAGAATGATTTTAAAAAAAGAATTATTCTTATCTTCCACAGAATCAGTACTGTGAGCAATTCTGAAGAAATATCAAACGTAAATTTTTAATAAAGTTACTTTAAAATGGAAATAATCAAGTCTGTGAACACTGAACATATTACATTTCAACTTCTTAGGTCAAGAGTCCTTTTAAAAGATGTTCTATGTTTTCATATCATATGCAATTACAATATTCAATGCCACCGTAATGATACTCGATGCTTACAATATAAATGTAACTATATTGTTTTCACAAAGGTATACTCTGAGAATTGATTAAGGATCTTTACTGATATTGGTTGCCCTGACCAATTATCTTTAATATTCTTATAATCCTCTTATTAGAATCAGCCTCAAAATTGAAATCCAAGACGGTCACATCATTGCAAACTATCTTCATGTGGGTACTTGTTTTCGTTATCTTCCACAGCTTCACTTTATTCTTCGGCACGTTCTTCAAGAATTGTGCTTTTAAACACAAAATCTGTACATTTTTGTAGTGCATAACTCCATTTATGAGAAGAAACATCATCACATCGTATGAAAAGGCTTAATTGAAAGCCAGTAAATTCATATATAAGCGCAATATGTTTTTCAACATCATTTTTCGTAGTTACCATTTCCACAACCATTATTTCTTGACGGGGTAACACAAACCTAGTCTCTTTTTTTAGATCAAATTCTACCAGTCTCCAACCTGTAATTTAGTAAGTTTTATCATCATATCATGCGTTAAATGCATCATGATATTTTATAATTATGTACATGAAACATGTTCATGCTCAATATCAGAAAAAGCCAATATATAATGAAGAAAAATAATTTATATATATTATGTTGCGTGCTACCTGTCCTATCAAGATCAAAAGTTTCAGGGTTTTTCAAACTTTGATCCTTAGGCTTGTTAATCTTATCAGATTCACTGTCATCAGATTCCAAGCTGGAAATTTCATCTTGAGAATCATCACTAGAGTCTACTTCATCATCACTGCTAGCTTTGATCCTATTAAACTTAGCCAATATTGGCTTCATCCCATCATTATTTGTGACTTCAGAAATTTCAGTTATGAAGTATACCAATTCCTCAAAGTCAGATGGATATTTGCTGATACATTTTCGGACATCAAGTTTCTCAAGTAGATAAAGTGAGTTTTCATCGACATTTCTGGATTTTAAGGTTATACTCAAATAAAAATTCAAAATTCTGATAACTAAATTTATGTCATCCCTGGCAATAGCTAGGGACATGTCCATCTGACGTTTTGAGATATTAACAAAATCAGCCATGTATCTTTGTAGAAATATTCCTTTACTAATATTCCAAGAGAATGCAGTTTTAACGAAAAAGCTGACAAACTTGCTTTGTTTCAGATTTGTGTGAGCTCTGCTGGCTATCTCACATGCAAATAGAATATCATCATATGTTTTCTTGTCAAAATTGAGTATGTCAGTTTGATAGAATTTCAGGCATTTTTTACCCAACCAGGATACTTCAAACGCATGTGCCATCTTGTTTACCTCTTCAAAGATACTTCTTTCCAATTTTTCAACTTCGCCTGTGTACATAGAATCCACAAAACAATCGACTGCTTCGTTTTCAAAATCATCTACCTCCAATGTAGACTGAAAGACATAATGCTTTTAATTATCTATCTCAAAAATAGATATTAGTTATTACTCAACTGAACTACCAATAGAGAAAATGGTAAACAAATCATGGAGAAACTGTTTTAATCGAATATGCGTGATTAACTAAAAAATGCCTTTTTATTTGTGATAGCGGTGAATTAACATAAAAATTACCTGAAACATGTTAGTAGTAAGGTTGTCTATAACAGGACTATTCATAGACATAATCATAGAATTGGTTCTTATTTGTCGACCATCTTTCAGTTTCAGTATAAGATTTCCATGTACTTCTGAGTTGATGTGCTCTCTCCCAAAGTCAGCGGGCACTCTTATTTTTGGAGCCATTTTTATAGCTTGCACTGAGAGATCGGGGATGGAATACAGAATACTTTCAAGTCTAAAACTATTGCAATATACCCAATATATTGTTTGGATGAATTTATTGTGCACCTAATACCACGACAGTTTTTTAAACGATTGTAGGATTCAATGAAGATAAAGCATGAAAGGAAACATATCTCTAATATATTTATATGCATAATTTATCGATCAAGTTCGCCTCAGGTAAACAAAGATTTTAAACAAACAGTAATGTGCAGAACGTGACAGTATTCTTAAAGGGCTTTCTCAGTACTAAAGTCAATGTCAAATAAACAAAATTAAAAAATATAACCTAACTGATTATAGCTATCTGCACGAATACTTGTAATCTTCAAAGATTTTATTTACAGTCTCAAATGCACTGGCAAATTCGTCTTTCCCTACATTATATTGAGAATACCAATGCAAATAAGCACCAGCATGAAATTTCAACAGTGCAGAATCAGTTTCATGCATTAATGACTCCTCTATCCGCTCGTTATTGATCGCAAAATTAATACCTTGTTGTTTATTCTGGCAGCACCAAAACTCAACAGGAAATGGATTCCAATCCACAAAATTGAAAGATTTAGAGATTTTACTCTCAAGTCTCTGATCCAACAGCTGAAGTTTAGTATCTGCACTCAACACCACTCCTGATAAAGATTTAAACTTTCCGTACCCAGTTCTCTGCTTTATTGATCTGACAGAACGCTCGATATTTTCAGTCATGTCTCTACCGTGGTGACTGCCTAGAGAGCAGAACTTGACGGTGGCTACCGAACAAACTATCTTCATCACCTCCCACATGGCATATCTCTTGGGAACTTGCTTGCAGTTTCGGAGAATTATCTGAAGATCTGATACTATCTTATCGTTCACTTGTGTCATTGAAACTTTCTGCTTCCCAGCTAGTTCCTGTCCGACCACCGAGTTCTCAACTAAAACTATCATATCAGAATACTCCTGCAGTTTATCAACTGCAAGTACTACATTGTAACTCTGAATGGGATTCTCTCCAGTCCTAAACGGCAGCACAGCCACATTTACAAGAAACATTTCTGGATACAAACTCTTTAGCTCCTGAGTAATCCTACTTCCGTACCCACTACCAGTTCCACCACATAGACTGTGAACCAACATGAAACCCATACAGCAATCTGTCCTTTCGATCTCAACTCTTATATTCTCCATGATCTTATCTATAAAGCTTTCTGCTGAGGCTAAACCCTTTGCAAAACACCCCCCACATCCAGGAAAGTCAGAGAAAGTGTTGTTTGAACGTAGCAGTTGTTTTGGAACTCTTCTGATGACTTTAATCTCAGTGTCTATGAAGATGGCGTGCTTTGTTCCATCGTAGCAGTTGAGAGATGGAGGGTTACTTGCTAGGATTTGTAGACCGATGGTTACACCACACTGTCCGATGAAGACACCGATACAGGCCATGGAACACTGAACTGTGATGTGAAGTATTCACTAGATATAACCAAGCGCAGCGGAGCGGTTTGAAAGTGGGGAAATACCGAAAAGGGGATAATTAGTTTAACTAAATGATGATATTGATTTTTCGTATAATCTGGCACAGTATTTGAGTTCTTTAAAATTGGTACTTTGAAATGATTGAGACACGTTGCTAATGATTAACTGAAGTTTAAAAAACAATCGTACAAAACATTTACAACACTTGAACAAATTTGACTAAATGCTCATGCTTGAACCTATTGGGTCACGTATAACAGCTGAAATATATAAGCAGGGTTTTGATTTTTTCTGGCGAAAAGTGGTAATAATTTAAAATTTGGGCCACGCAAAAAATTCTTCTAAAAGGAAGACTAAACCTCAATTATATAATGTATATGTTATATCCTGGCTAAAGAAAAACAAACATCAGTCAATAAAAAGAGGCAAGCACTGAGCCTATGAATCACTCCATCACTCCATCATATCAACATCTCTTTGTACATAAGTTCGGGTCGGGTGGGTAGTAGGTGAACGGAATGGTATTCTAACTATTCGATGCTGTTAATCATCTCAGGTACAGCCTGTAAAATTGCATATTTTATAAGGGTTAATAATATTAAGTTCTTAGAAGAAAGTACCGTGGTATAATTCATAATTTTAAAAACAAAATCCTTAAATCCTATTCTCCTAACCTTGAAAAGGTCGTCCACGAGACCGTAATCTGAAACTTGGAAGATGGGAGCTTCACCGTCCTTGTTGATAGCAACAATAGTCTTACTATCCTTCATACCGGCTAAATGCTGGATTGCTCCGGAGATACCAACAGCAATGTACAGATCCTAGAGATAAACCTTAGTTTGAGATACCAACAGCAATGTACAGATCCTAGAAATGAACCTTAGTTTGATTCTTGGTTTTAGCCGGCAAAGTAGAGTCCCAACATGTCAAAATTTTAAAGATGTACAGTAATCTGAGCTATAAATACAGATTTAAGGTGTAAAACTCACGGGAGCGATCATCTTGCCAGTTTGTCCGACTTGAAGGTCGGAGGGAACGTAGCCAGCATCTACTGCAGCCCGGGAAGCCCCGACTGCTGCTCCCATCTTGTCAGCCAGTGTGTACAGCATTTCAAAGTTCTCTCCGTTCTTCAAACCCCGTCCTAAAATACATTAAAAAGTAGAATAACGACTGTAAAACACGTTAATGCGTTATTGTGCGATAAACAGGGATAATCATTAAAGAAAGGGTCCAATTGGGAGCATATAATTCAATAATTGTACTAATATAATGAAGAACATAGAAATTAACATGTCTAGCAAAGCGCTCGAGGCCTTGCTTTATCTCCTTGCTATATTATAGTGCTTTACCTCCAGAGATGACGACTTTAGCAGAAGCTAACTCAGGTCTATCGGACTTGCTGATCTTAGCCTCCAACCACTTTGACTTGTTATTGGTTACGACTATATCAACTGGAAATAAAATATAATTTGAGCGGAAGTCTTGTTAAAGCGCAGGTCAACTACTATATTGCAAAATATGCTTGGAAGCCTCTTTACTAGAGAAACAAAGACCAAGTAAAGAATGGAAAATATTGAATATAAGTAACAATTTATCAGAGCCAGCGACACATTCCTCTACTTCAGCAACAATCTACTAACCAGCCTCAGTAGTAGCTGAACCACCCTCTTCTTCAGCAGCCTCAAAAGCAGTGCTCCTCACTGTTATCAGCTTGATAGGGTCTACTGACTCTAGGGTCTGGATTGCATTACCAGCGTAGATTGTTCTGATGAAGGTGTTCTCTGATTTGATTTCGATTATGTCGGAGATGGGGGCTACGTCCAGCTTTGCTCCAATTCTTGGCAGAATGTTCTGGGGTGGTAACATATTATCGTGATATGTAATTTGTTAAAAAATCTATTCTCATAAATTATGTAAGACACTGCGCCGGTGCAGTTACAGTTAAAAGAGTCGTCATAGAAAAAGAATAAAAATCAATAGAATAATACCTTTCCAAAGACAGTTCCGTTAGCAAGAATGTGAGAATAGTTGTTGTGAGCCTGAACATCAAGCAGTACAGCAGACACTGCTTCTGCAACCTGACCCTTCAGAGCATCACTCTCAGCAACAAACACCTTCTCAATTCCAGATATCTTAGCTGCTGCAGCCGCTGCCTGGACAATGAAACCACGTTATGAGGAGTTTCCTAATATGAGTAAAATTATGCGATCATACCATTTTAAGATATTATATTATCTCGTAAATTAAACAAGAATGCAGGCGACGACAGACAACAAAATTTAACCAAGATTGAAACAAAAGAAGGTGTGAGAGGTATAATGTTAAATGTACTTCACTGTACACGCTTTAAGATAATCTAAAGTTTTTAAGCTACCTTTAAACGTGAAACACTAAACTAAACAAAGCTACAAAACAAACCTCCTGACAAGCATCTCCAGTAACAAGAGCGTGGATGGGGCCACCCAACTTCTTAGCAGCAGTAACAGTGTGCAGAGTAGCAGGGTTAATAGCACTTCCATTGTGCTCAACCAGGACCAGAGTGCTAGCGGACCTGCCCAGAGCAGGAGACACAAGTCTTCTAACGGCGTGTAACATCATAGCTAAAAACTAAGAGAGGTGGAGTGAGACAATGATGCAGGATGTACAGTGTCTGTGTAGACAGTTGTATTTAATTACAGTGTACATTGTACATGCGGTGTGTACGTGAAGCAATTAAACAATTTAACCACTTCCAAAACGTAACTCTGAGACAATGGTCCATTGTGATAATTACAGTTGTACACGAAATTAAGAACAATATTATAATAAACCTAGTAAAATTAATCGCCTAATCAATCTAAAGAATAAAATATCAGCAACTTTATCTCAGTTTCACGTTCCTTCTTCAGAGCAGAGAAATGTCTGAGAAGAGTAGAATAGCTGGTGCAGTATAAACTGACGAACTCGTCAGTAACATCTACTGACGGCAGAGGATCAATAACACAGTGCTCAATGGTGTGGTGGTAAAAGTACTGTCTACTGTCCACAGGGTGACACCTTCCAGTTATTGTGACTGGTTGTCGGGAGTTCTCCGGATCTACTGTCATCGTTATTTTCACTGTTGACAACTGAAAATACACATAACTCACTCAATTCTGTGATATTCGATATTCTATGTTGGTTAACACTAGAAGTTCATGACTGCAGAGTTATTGATAAGATTATTTAAAATAGATCAATTATAATAATTACCGCTCTAGGTTCTCCCTCGTCCGACTCCGACTCAGAATAATCATCACAGTACAAACAAGGTTCCTCAACATGGTACTCCCCGGGAATAAGGTCCAGTACAGCAGGAGGAATCTGGGTGGTTGAGGAGTGTCCTATCACTCGCTTCTGCTTCACCTGGATTACATTTATAGCGTCTCAACAAATTGTTTAATTATAATTTAAACACCTATACTAATAATTATTCACGAAAATCTGGTTGACCAGAGGTTGTTATTACAGTAATTTAACTCAATGAAGTCATAAGAAAACGAACCTTTCTGACATTGATGTACAGTGCACTTTCTGTTAATTCTTCGTCACTAGAAATTCCGTCATAATCCTGATTTTCTAGCTCTTGATATCTAATACCAAGTTTATTTAGCCAAGGCATCATAACAAAATAGTTGTAGAATAACGACAGTCCTTCTGGCCGAAGACATTTTATCACCTAGTGGGAAAAGGCAAGATAATTCCAGTTTGGTCAAACATTACAATGAGGCATGGCACTAGGTGTGCTAATATTGAAGTGATTGTCATTTTTACAATCTATTTATTTGTGATAATTAAAAATCATTAGATTCTTATTCGAATGCTTGAATGAATATTCTCTCTTAAATTTTCAAATTGCATATTATATATTACAAATTGTAGGTGTACAAACGTACCATACCTCATTTGCATATTCTCTGTTATGATGGCTTGAACATGGTCCGAATAGTTGTCCATGTGTGCTAAACTGTTCCTGGTTGACAACGATTCCATCTCTGTTTGTGACCCAGACAAGGATATGTTCTGAAATAATAAAACTAATTTAATATGCAATAACCAATTTAGGAAATAAAGCTTCAGTAAGTGATAATAGTTTTATTCTATAATTTTGAACACAATAGGAAAAGTAAATTAGGAAAGGAAAACTTCTAAAGTCAGACCCCTTTATAATGCATCCAGATTTACCAATACAGTTTTTTAGTTACTTTCAACCCTCAATTTAATGTGAATATCAGATTATGTACATAAACTTGTAGCAAGCAGTCAATTACAGTTTTTGCAGTACAAAAGAAGGATGATGTCCTAAATGTGCCCCTCTATCCATACTTAGTACATATTTGAGGTGCACTTTGGCACGACAAAGGTGCAAATTTAGGCCTTAGTCTGCATTCTGATTTTTTTGTCAACACTCAGATCATTCACATTTTAAGTAAGCCAGATTTTTGTCATCTTAGAACCCTCATCTATAATTTGATAGGTATCTAAAATTTCAAATTTTATCCTATCAAGTTGAAATATTTAAACGATCACTTAGGCTCATTTGATTCGAATTTAAAAACAGATTTGAAATATTCTGAGCTTTTGAATTATCAGAGAAGATCCAGGATACTCACCGTTTTATGTTTTCATTTCAAGAAGTTTCTTTGGGTAATTCAATTCAATTCAATCAAGGTAGAGGACCACTCTGCACTGTGTTCGTAGATTGTATCTCTGAGATGATAGCTGACCACAATTAAAAAGAAGCTACTAAGAGCCAGGTCAAAAATCACATCAGAACCCGATTCAGGTTTGATCTGCTACAAAGCACACTCATAGCACTCAGGGAAATCAGAGGGAAACAAAAAACCCAGCACCTTGGACTGGATGACGTATCCTTCAATCTCATACCTCAGAAGACGAGCTATGAGATCTCTTAAGTTTGTTTATGTAAATTTTATGGATAATTTATTGTAGCTTTTATATTGTGTAAAATTTTACGGACGATATGATCCCAGGGCGGGGGGACTCCCAACCCACTGCTTCAGCGGGTAGTTGATACACCTTTCACAAGCAAGAGCCACTTTGGTCTACTTGCTGTGAGGTGTCTCAGCTACAGGGGTTGGGGGTCCCCCCTTTTTCTTTTTTTTTTTCTTTAAAAATAATCATGACAGATGACAGAGTTGACTCTTTGTTAAGGCCCCTTCAGAGCACAGTTTTAAATTTGGAAATTTCTCTGCATCCCTAGAACTGCATTGGAGCATTATAAAGAGGTTGACCCTAGTACTGTCAGACAGTTACAAATATTTTAGTAATATTTACCAGCAATGACAAATTCATTGCTATCCTGAAAGTCACAACTTAGAATTCTGCAAACTTCAGAGGGATTTTTGCTAGTCCAAAACAGATTACTGTATTTTAGTTTAGTTGGCTCTGAGAGGAACAACCTATGTTGTGTATTCATTAAATAAATGAATCGTTCTCTACATGGCTTGATATCTGCCGGATTTAAAGTCACCCTCTTCTAGATAACTGGTATGAATTCCAGAACTGTTACTCATTGAAATGGGGTCAAATAACAAATTGAATCTAGAGTATGTACAGACGGAAAGCAAAATTTGGAAAAATGAATCAAGTTTATAGATAAATATTATAGTATATACCAATAGTCATTACACCATGCAGCATAAATAAATTTCCAATCAGAAATCAGCTATCAATTACTAGATATCATCCTATTATCATACAATAAGGGGCCATAATTGTTTCAATTATGTAACTGTATAGAATTATTATTATTATAATTATACTGTTTGAATGATCTTTCAATCTTGAAAACTGAATCAAGTATTTTGAGCACGTTGTACATGTAACTTGTATGTGTAAGCAGTCATTATTTGTATAGATATAAACTACAGTATTGTGTAAATAAAATGAGTTACTCTGCCACGATCACCAGCTCAAGCTGCGCTGTGTTTTGCTGTCGAGATGTGTAGTGAAGTTGGTAGACTCGGGGCTCACAGACGTAACCTCCTACACCACCTGAAGGTTGACCTCTGAAAGCGTTTTATCTTGCTGGAGTCGTATGATGATATTCTCCATTTGAGAGAACTTGCTGGTGACCGTGGTTATTGGAGTAAATTGTTTAACTTTATACTTGAGTACAAATCAATTTGATTATTGGGACATATAATTTTACAAAGGATCACGTTTCGGTTCTAAATTATTTTAGGATTGTTGACATTTGTAAGATTGACATGTTTGATAATAACTCTGCCGCGAAATGTTTAAATGTATTATTAAACCACCGACGATTGTTCAAAAGAGTTTGTGTCAAATTAAGTCACATTTATCGGTAGCGCTCGATTTTTGTGGCGCTCGAATTTCATATGGTAGTATAACGATAAAAAAGAATTCAAACAACATACATTGTAGGTTTACAACCTACCAGGACGCGCGCCGAGTTGGACTCGTCGACGGTCCTGGAATATATGGAACAGATATTTTACGAGTATCACCCGTTAAAACATACACAAATAATTACAAAAGAAATGATAACGTTATGTTTCCCACTCAGTCAAAAATATTTTCTGAAGCTGAGTTTGGAAATTATGGATTACTAAACCGTTGTTAATACGACAAGTAATTCCCACAAAAAACTTAGCGCGCGTTATCTAGTCTAACGTTTAAGGTTATACAGCTATAAATATAAATTTTGTAGGTTTATATATAACTTATCAAGACGCGCGCCGAGTTTGAATCGTCGACGGTCTTGAAACAAATATTTGAAACAATTATTTTACGAGTTGCTCTAACCAGAGCCCTTTCGCTTGCAGTAGCGCGCGACAGCCGAAATTACAATCCCAATAATAATAGGTCTTATCCCTGGGTCTTTGTCGTAATATTGTTTAGGTAATAAGGTTTAGGCAACCTGCTAAGTATGATTTCAGGTGGTCATTCAGCTGTATTTTTACTTGATACATGTTTCGTATCGCGCGCGAAAAGTGGCATGCAACGTATGTCAAATTTTTACCAACCCAGCTTTCTAGCCAAAAGTGCAACTGCTTTTAGAAAATTCAGGCTCTCAAACTGTTTGGAGCATAGTAGTCTAACCTGTTGATTGACGATGTCAATCCTTCGCATCTCGCCGATCTGCTTGTGGTTGCGAGAAGCATTATTTGATGCGCGCGCGACCCAGTAGTGCATCGCGCTACAATCTAACCTGTCTACTCATTAGGCTGTTTTACTACACAGGAAGGCTTACTGGAGCTTCATCTTAGTTATCTAAGTTTAGATATTAAAAAAAAGTGGTGGGTTAAGTTATATATAAGTTATTGTTAAAACTACCATCTAAAATGTCTTATGAAAAACATAACTCTGCGATTCTGCTGACTCATAGTTGTGTGGTTATGGATTTTGATTTGAAGATTAGATTAGATTAGATTAGATAAAGAATAATGACATAAACATCATCACTATTTTTAAACATTCTTTCTGATTTCCTCATTATCAGAACTGTGAACATTTCACAGCCTTCGTCATTAAAAAACAAACAAATTCTAATGTAATTGTCATAACTGAGTGGAGTTGGGTTAAAAACATATAAGAGATACGATGATTTAACTTGTAGAAGCTTTCAATAAACATGTGTTAATCGTCGTCAGCTGAATGTGATGTGGTGGACAATGCTTATATGTGAGTGAGTGGTGTCAGGGATGGAGGGTGGGGGAGGTGTGGGTGGGAAAGTGAAAATTACAGTACAATGTCAATAAAAATTTAGTCTTCTGTTGAGGTTGAGAAGGAAATGCCAGATGGTCTGGACTTTAAGGATTTGGCAATTTTTAGGAAGAATGGGGTCCCAGAGGGAACTACATTTGGGTGCGCGGTCTGTTCTGTTCATAGCTGGTTGTCGTATTTGTATAGCTGCGTGTTCTGTGAGGTCAAGTTGGGAGCGTGAGGTGAGGGATTTGAGGACTTCGATGTTGTTCCAGGAGATGGTGTGGCCAGTGGTCAGGGCATGATGTGCAGGGGCTGATTTGATTCTGTCTGTGGATTCGTCGATGGCGTTGTTGAGTCTGTAACATCGTTCGTGTTCTTTCATGCGGTGGACCAAGGGTCTGTAGGTCTGTCCGGCGTATTTGGAGGGGCACTGTGAGCAGGAAATTTCGTAGATGGTGTTGGGAGTGAGGTGAGTCGGGGGTGTGGTCTTCGTTTTGGTGAGGAGGTTGCGGAGGGAGGTAGCAGAGGAGTGGGTGACTTTGATGTCGTGTTGTCCGAGTATCTTGGAGATGGGTTTGGATAGGGAGGGATGGAAAGGAAGAGAAACACTAAGGGCATGTTCACGGGTCTGTCGGTTGAATGAGGCTAGGGATTGGTGGCGAGAGGGGTTGGTAATTGTCATAATTTATTTACATATATAGTAGAAATTAAATTAATAATTTTTTAAAATTATGTGCGACTCGGTAGATATATTCAGATTGCAGGCCTTGAGGAAAGTTGCATTATTTGTATTGTAACAGTGCAGTGGGTTGTGAGCTTTGCACCGATATGACAATGAAATGATATTCCTTAATGTCCAGCCTGCTTGATAGCACAAAGGAGTCATAATTTCTGCGGATAGATTCACATGGAGGGCTTGGGGTCAACTGTATAATGAAAATTGCACCTGTTGATTGTATGTGGCATATTAATGTCTCTGTGCGACTCTGTTACCACATTACATGTTGGGTATAGATGAAGTTTTTGCAACTTGCCTGTTGAGACAAAAATAGATCAACAATCGACATTTGACAAACTGTCTGTGGTTACACAATAATATAGTATTACCAAAGCATGCTTACCCTTTTAATATTTTACTTCTCTTATCAAATTCAATTGACCAGGGAATTTCATATGATCAACCATTGCTTTAGACTCATGAAATGATTATTATATTAAAATTAATTTTAGGGATGTCTGCTAGTTGGGCCTCGCCTGGATCTGTGATAGAGACCAGCAATCAAATGGATGACGACAGTAAGATTCTTCGTCAGAAGAAATTTGAACAACAAAGAGCTATTCAACAACAGAGACAACAACAGAAAAGACAGGTACCTGAATTTCAATGAATCCAAGAAAAGTTAATTTTCGTATAATTCAGACAAATGGAACACGACTTTTTCTGAGTGCAACATTAATAATTAATTCAAAAAACCACAATAAAACAATTTCAATACTTTCAGGCCACTGGTATGGTAATCTCGAACAGTTTAGCAATAAACAGTTCCCTGTCCAACTCTCGTCCCTCGTCCGGTACAGGTGCTCGAGACGAATTCTCCCATGTAACATCCTCGCCCCAGAAAGCACGCCCCAGTGCTTCCCCCACAGCGCAACACACCAGTGTAGCTGACAAGCTTGCTGCTATGGGGATATCTTCTAATGTTGACTTCTCTGAACCGCCTCCCTCAAAATCTCCACCCTCTACCAAACCTTCTACCCCATCAGGGGGAGAGGAGGAGATGGAATTCCAGCCTGTCGCTCCTGCCCCCGGTATGTAATTACTACTGCATACCCCCGGTATGTAATTACTACTGCATCTTCACTGTTAATTGCCTTATGTTATCATAAAATATCTTGACGTGTGGCTTTCAAATAAACACACATTTATTTAATATTTCTATAATATCTACATTCTACATCAAAATTGTAAGCTTTTGATCAGTACAACTTGGTTTTAGTTTTCTGCTGTCGCCATATCTTTCGGCAAAGTTTAAGCTTCTTTCGTTTCGCTTTTGTCTTTTGATTTCGTATTATAATTCGATCATCTCCGGAATCACTTTCACATAATGACGTAGGTATCTTGTAACCAGTATGTAACCAGTATGTAACCAGTATGTAATCAGTATGTTACCAGTATGTTACCAGTATGTAACCAGTATGTAATCAGTATGTAATCAGTATGTTACCAGTATGTTACCAGTATGTAACCAGTATGTAATCAGTATGTAATCAGTATGTTACCAGTATATTACCAGTATGTAACTAGTATATGTTACCAGGTTTCCAAGAAGTCAGACCCATGACAGCCTCCTCTCGACCCAGCACAGCGAAATCATTAGGTCCCTCCAACCCTTACCCCGACCTTCCATCTCTGAACGAACGGGTAGGTGAAATAAATTGTGTAGCAATGTAGTGGTTAGCGTTCCTGACATCAGTTTAGATTTTAATGACATAATTGCACGGTGTAGGTACATAATACGGATCACAGTCTCTACGAGATACAGTTGTTGTTGCGTCCGGTTTCTAGGTTACCAGGTTACCTCACATATATCTAGTATCTACCATGGTGATTAGCGTCTAAAGTTTACAACTGTAACAAACATCACATCTGAAGTAGCTGAGTTGTCAGCAGTGAGATGATGTGAAGCAGACAAATTATGATATCTCATTATAAAAATTGAAGTTCTTTCCTTTCGTAATGAGGGAAGTCCATTACGACAACATGGTGGGGTTCCGTTATTATACATATAATCTGTATATTGTACACTGGCGTAGTGCCAAGCTCCAAGCAAGGAGTCACCTCATAACTAGCATACCTTTACCTCAAGACTGGCAATAACATTGAGTTCTAAAACAGGAGCTTGAGTGTGGGCACGAGATCATTTCAAGTATGTCAATGATGTAACGTTACTACAAGAAATAAAACGCAAATTTAAACCTTATTTTGGTTTGGTTTTGGTTTTAATTTAAATGTAAACTTCAACAGGAGGAGCTGGAAGAGTTTGCCCTGAGACCAGCACCCCAGAACCGGGACATGAAGTGTAGGATAACACGTGACAAGAAGGGTCTAGACCGGGGGATGTACCCCACTTACTATCTACACCTCGAGAGAGAGGATCACAAGAAAGTGTTCTTATTGGCGGGGAGAAGGAGAAAGAAAAGCAGCACCAGCAACTATCTTATCAGGTGTGTTATAGTTCAGCACCAGCAACTGTCTTATCAGGTGTGTTATAGTTCAGTGCACATTGCAGTGCGACTCCTTTATAATATTATGCATTAGTATGCACCTTTGATTCTGTTTTTTTGTCTAACATTATCGATTAAAAGGCGTCAACCGTGGCGTTATCATCACAATACTGATTTCATGGTGTCGGGTTCATGATATTTAAGAATTTAATGGACTCAAAACAACAAGCATGGAAGCAGAATATTTCATAGAAATTTAGCAGAAATAGAATTTAATCGATTATTTTACATACATACAGTAAAAGGATTATCTCCAGATTTGGCAAAGTTTTACATCTATCAAAGTCACGTACCTTAGTGTCGCCCTTCCCTCGGATATACCGACCAATAAATGTAATAGATTTATACTTTTGCTAGATGTAGTTTTAAATTAAATTGTATAGAAGATCCGTATTGATGCCAGTTTGCGGTCGAAATACCTGAATTGTTCTTTTGTCGGTTGATTCTTACTGTCATGAGCGACCGCGAGATCGTATCATACGCTATGTAGTATGTATACTAGTGACTGGGCAACTAAACCTCTTTTAGCTGCAACAGATTGAAACGCATCTTACACAAAAAATAAAACACGTGAACATCAGAGTAACGTTTTATCACCGAAAAATCATGTAATTCACCCCAATTTCTAGTAATATTCGCATTTCGGGCTCGCCGCCAAAAAGGGTATTTACCCATACGAGCACGACGAAAGATTTCACAGTACATAGCATTCCTACACTGTGTACCCCTTCACTATTTGAACTTAGTTAAAGAATGTTCCAGATGAGTGACTCGTAACCATGACACCACAGGTCTGATCCCTAAAATAATACACTCAATCATAGCCCCGCTATAACAGTGACTACACTGTACTGCACTGTGTGTATAATAGGTTTGTGAAGACCTGGCTCCTTTATACCACCTTCATTGCCGTGTATAACACATGATACCACCATCATTACTCATTGCCCTATATAATAATACATCATATCACCGTGTTTAACACCCAAAAATATTGTTCTCCTTACACTTCAAATACCACCATTTTTCAAATAGGTAACCCTCTACCCTCCCTCAGTGCGGACCCTACAGACCTGTCACGTGACGGTGAGAGTTACGTGGGTAAAGTAAGGAGCAACCTGGTGGGGACCAAGTTTACTATCTACGGCTCTGGACTCAACCCGGTCAAACCTCCAAAACCTGGTCCTGAGGGAACTGTCATATACCGTGAGGTAGGTCACGTTTAGAGATGTGTAGTTGCGTGGTCACGTACAGCGTGGTCACGTACAGCGTGGTCACGTACAGCGAGGTACAGCTCCTGTAGTGAGTGTAGATGTCACGTGATCATGTCACGTGATCATGTCTGATGTCAGGTGCGGTGGTGTGTGATTTTGCGGGTGTTCAGTAATGAGTATGTCTGCTGTAATTCGGTACATAATGGTCCGATGATCCAGGAACAGGTGTTGGAGCCTGGGTTTTATAGTATGTAATCTCCCAGATTTACTGATGTTGATTTATATAGCTTTGAAATGAAAAAGTTAGGCAATTCCGAGAAAGTTAATAGAATAACGCGGTAAAACACAAAATGAGCTCTTTAAATCTTAAAATATTTCAAATGATCCAAGTACAGTTACAAATAGTAATTACAAGTATCCGTCAGTTCTCACATACTGATAGCATTACCCAGACTCACCTAGGAACTGGGAAGATGATACATTGTAACAGTGAACACATTTCCCCACCATCTGAAGCACTACAAAATACAACATTTACCATTATACACTATATTATTCTAACATAAGATACTGTAGCTCATTTCTCTGTCCGTCCCCTAACATTGGCGAGATTACAAAATAAATAAAAACACATGACAATTTTCAGCCGGCCACTTTAAATCTACCGGCACAAAGTATCACCAATTAGAAGGTGCTCAAATTACTTGATGAATGCCTTTCAGTATTTTAGATCTAAGTTTGACAGAGTTTTATTTCGCTGAGTGTTTTTTTCGTGCTAAGTCACGCATTTTTAAAAATTATTATATGTATCTTTCTAGTTTCTTGGGCCCATTACATCTTTTTGATGTCGAAGGGCCTTATGAATACTGTCATTTCTCTAGCTATAGTTGTTAAAACTGACGCTGAATGGAAATACCATCGATTGAACATGAAATCCACAAAACTGGCACAGGCACCTATGAAGTTTGTCACTTACTCCTTTATAACACTTACTCCTATACAGTTGCAGTATACACTTACTCCTATACAGTTGCAGTATACACTTAATCCTAAAAGCTGCTAATTGAGCATGGAAATCTGAAATGCTTTCCTCTTGTAAGCTTACCCAGGGCCAGACTCTCAAAAAAAAAGTATAGAAGTTCTATCTTCAAATTGTGTGAGCCAAACAAGAGAAAGAGAATCAATAAGATTCTATTGTTCAATGTTCCACTGCTTTCATCAGTGTATTATTGCGGGCGAGGGGATGTGCACTGTGCAGTATGCACCTCAAAGCGGCTTCATTAGAACACAACATGACATCAGAAAATTACACCCTACGTAATAAAACACTGAACATAGTACCTTTAACTTCTGGGGTGTACCTTCGAATATTTTAATGTTAATCTTTATTTAATTAGATTTCACATCTTTTTTTGACCAGTGGCTTACAAGCTTCTGGGTCCTGTTTCGAGGTTTTTTGAGTGGATTTTTAGGGCCCTGGCATTTGCCGACAAAGCGGTTTTTATATTTCCGTTTTATAATCCTGTTGATTTGTATATACCGTTTTGAAAATTTTTCAAATCTAAATCTAAATCTGTTGCCATGGGGTGGCAAGTCCCCATACATCGTGGTCCGGTAGGTAGTTTCATTGCGTCCTAATACAATAATAATATATTATATATTGTTGTCTTGTAAATTTATTAATATTTGGGACTCAGGCCGCATGTATTAAAGGCCACTCTTAAAAATACTATTTATGTTTTATGTAACTTACTGTCACCAGGAATTGCGATTTTATGATTTTGGTATAAAATGTACATACTATGCATTCTTGATGTTCACCACCAATATCTCCATGTCTTAAATCCAGAATCTGGGTCCCGGCGTCGGTTCCTTAGCTCCCTGTTGTATGCCAAATTAGCTGAAGACAAACTTCGCAGCTTTGGTAGGCACTAGGCAGCAAGATTTAAACTATACCAGCTTGTTGCTTAACGAACCAAGGGACAGGAGATCCTCACGAAGAGTTGCTAAATCTATTAATTTGCGGGGGAACCTATTAATTTGTTCAGCAGCCCACTGTCCACTGCCCAGCTTGTTAGAGCTCACACCCCACTACTTAACTAACCAAATAGTCACGTGTTCATTAATTCTTATCCCAGGAAAAAGCTCTGATTTTCTACCGTCACGTCATCGTTACTTTACTTTGTTAATGTTCAAAGAAAGTTCGAGATTATCTTAATATCCTCACCATGATGCTACGTCAGACGTTATAAAACACATTCTTGCATTACAATATTTATTTAACAGTCGCTGCATCAGTCCACGTACAAAGTAGCTTGTTAATGTGACACGACGATGATGCTTACCTAAGAGTAGGGCGGCGGTGAGGGACCAGTCTGCATGACATCAGAACATTACACCCTACGTAACAACCAGTGTTTATGTGTTTTATAACTCTCTCCCTACATCTGTACTTTCGTAAGCAATCGCTGTGTTTTTGTAAGAGTGCGGAGTGAGATGTGGTAATGTGGAGTGGTAGTGCTACTGGTGAGTGCTAACTCACTAACTCAGTGCACAATGTTTAAGTGTTGATAAAGTTAAAAGTTTAAGCTACTTGATCGATCATTTAACGAAATCGTGAGCATTATCTTTCATCAAGTCGTGTCACGTCCACGACGATCAACGTACATGCTAAAACTTGACATATATAATATTATCTTGGGACTTTGAATTATAATCATCAATGTGACAGTTGTGGAGTGTTACATATAATAACCGATTGTGAAATATCTTCACATAATGTTTTCATCTATGTGGTCCTATATGGGCAGATCCATGTGACTACGTTTAGTATGTTGCCTAATTTGGCAGAAGAGCTGTGCTGCTCTAATACTGACAATTTATATCTCTTCGTGATAAACGGATTAAACGGATTAAACAATTCAAAAGTCAAATTACATGGTATATAAAAATTTCAACTTAAAACTTGCAATATATTATATATAATATAATACATAATTATATATATATAATATATATCATAATATAATATATTAATAAGTTGTGGCTTGGTTTCCAAAGAGTGATCAACTGCTGACAAGTGACAAGCAGGAGCATTATCTTGCACTGAAGATTGGTATTTTTCATTACTATATCATGAAACGGTTCGTATGCCCGCAGATTTGAGTGTTACTATATCATGAAACGGTTCGTATGCCCGCAGATTTGAGTGTTACTATATCATGAAACAGTTCGTATGCCCGCATATTTGAGTGTTACTATATCATGAAACAGTTTGTATGCCCGCAGATTTGAGTGTTACTGTATCATGAAACGGTTCGTATGCCCGCATATTTGAGTGTTTGAGTTTCTCTTTGTTTTGAAATATAATATAATAATTAACTGAATATATTATAATACAATTTAAATTGTTTTAAAATATATAAGCCAACTTGATGCATATATTATGTTAACTTTGGCGAAGTTTTTATTTTTTAGCTATTCTTAATTTTCTTCAATGGAGTAACAGAATTGCTTGAAGCAAAATTCATCCAGATTTATTTTGCTTCAAGTAATTCTTAGTGAACAGCAAAATCATATTCTCACCCTTGATGGTGGTTCAGATGACGTCGATCTAAAAAATGGTTGTTGTCCTCTCAGTCTTCACCGATACTATTTATATATATAAACTGAACTTAACACTTCAAGTTTAAAGTATATAAACCAGTTGATTTTTGACGTCACGTCGTTAACCGGCTAGAGCTCTCAAACATTTAATCTGACATTTAATCTGACAGTTGGGTGATCAAATGTCATGTTGGGAGATAAACTGTCCTGAGACACGCCCACTTCTGATTGCCTCACCAACTCATCACTAAAACATATAATCTCCCTCAATACCACGTGACACTGACACAAAACCATAGCATTACTTCTGAAGTTTATCTAGTTATTCTCGAACATTCCCCATCGAATCTGATCCAGCTCTGCAGTAGGCACATTTTATAAACGCTAGTGCCGTGAGACGGTAAGCCTAACTACTTGACTCTTTCGCAAGCTCCAGATATTTCCCTCTATTTGGCATAATTACAGAGCAGCGGTTATCCAGTATTTATGCCCTCGCGCCTTAAACAGTGGTAGTAGTGCCTGTCAACTTACCTCTAAAGTAATATCACGTTATAGTATTAAGTAAGTTATTAAGTAACATTATATATATATAAAGGTGTGCGGTAAGTTATCAACCAAGGAGCGGCAGCATCCGCGCGCTGTACGGAGTGGTACTGCTCCCTTTTATTTGGTAGTGAGCTGGTCGGGGTAGTGTCTGGGTAGTGGATATTTACTATTTACTATTTACCACCCGCCAACAAGAGTGCCCGCCATGTCTGGAATGGTGTACGGAAACATTTAATAGATACTCGAGAATTGGTAACAGAGCAATTTAATGAACTTGGCACCCCTAAATTCAGAGTAACAAAAGATTAAAGACGATTATACCTACTTCGCTTTGTCCAGCGACGCTGTGAGCAAAAATTTATTTTACAATTTATATCACAATTTATATTACGCTAAAAGCTCGAAATTTGAAAGCCACCTTTTTTTGGTACCTTGGTAGAAATAGCTTGTCACGTGGGTATAGATGGTGTATCACGTGGTATAACTGATGGTGTGTCACGTGGTATAGATGGTGTGTCAATGAAACAACTTGTATACAGAACAATGCATCTTTCTACGCGGTAGTGTGGTGACATCAGAAAGAGAAAGCAAAAAGTGTCGTTCACACCAAAAATTATAAAATCTTTTGTTGTTTACATTTTATTCAAAATAGCAACAGCTGGCAATATTCAAGTGGAATTCGCACCGTGAATTTAATAAGCTACTTTCTCATGCATTTTGCATGTTAGCACTTTACTAGTCTTTCTTGTGAGGTAACCATGAAATATCACTTAAGATTATAATCTAGGTGACTAGGTCTTATAGTGCATATTATATAGTGTAACTTCTAATTTGACGAAATTATGTATTAGAATTGCTAACAGGCAATTATAGGAATCGTTTGTGTATCACAAATCCGAATCCACAAATTGTGATACTTTTATTCTAATTTGTTCTCTTAACGTCGTGAAGGTTCTCTGAAATCAATTACATATTGTCTTGATCACTATTAAATAAATAACTACCAGATAAAATGAATTTGTCAGCTATTCATAGATAATCGATAATTGAATTTGTAATACTTGCGTTAAAATTCGTTCTCTCGATGTAATTTAGTTCCTCCGATGAAATAGTTGAAGTATCTTGTTTAAGGGGGCCGGGTGGGGGGGGGGGGGGGGTTTAATGCTTCTTGTTTAGCTCTTGTAATATAATATAACGGTTCAGTGCGATACAAATTCTAATATTGTCTGCAAGGCATCGGATAATAGCGACAGAAACATGATACGATAAAGATGAATTGTCGATAAAGATGAATTGTGATGTGCCATTGACCTGTTTTGTGCCATCAACTCAGGAGGAGATCAGTGTTTGAGAATTAGTATCAAGATCAGTATTCAATGATCAAGACATTACAAACTGTTAACCTGTGATGAATCTATAATCCATTAGACCAATTAAGGAGTCACAAAGCTGCTAATATTGACTGTTTTGTATCTACTTATCAAGGTGTTAAACACTGAACGGCACTATGACTGGTCTAGTATTATTAGAAGTCATCACCAACTTGATAGCAAATTTAAGACTTTAAGAGAGTTGACACTATATAAATCCTTTCTGCTCGAAACATACTTTATAAGATCACGTCATGCTATCAAAGTGCAACTTCTTTGTGATAATATAATTGAACTGGCAAAGGTACTTCAAACCTCCTTTTATGAGACATGAAATGAAAAATAAAAGAAGTACTATAATACCGCCGAGAAAGTGGTTATATTACTATAAAAGGTATATAAAGGTGGAATTGTGAGGCAAAAAGGATGGATCCATTTACCTCCATTTGTGTCACCCTGTGAATCAATACTTGTCTAATTTAACCATCGCTATAATATCCGAATATAATCTGTGACGGTTATGATAGCTAAATGTGAGAATAATACTCCACCCTAAGCAACTCCTTTCAAAAAGAATGTAGCCAAGTATTTTGAATATTTTGTGTATTTTGAATATCTACTGTTGAAAATAGGAATATATCCTGTGAATTCATTTCCAATGACCAAATTTGGTGCGATATTATCCAAGTTTTTGTTTGTGTCGTCAGACTTTACGATAGTCCTACAGAAAAACAGATAAATGCTTCAATAGTATTAGCTTCTCGGCAAAGAAAATGAAAAAGTTCAACTCTGCACTAATAACTCAAGAACACGTTGAACTAAAACCACATTCTGTGGATAAATAACGCACGTTGGAGCACACATTGTTGTACTATCTACAATCTACATCGTACACAGTGCTACATCGCACACAGTGCTACATCGCACACAGTGCTACATCGCACACAGTTCTACATCGCACACAGTGCTACATCGCACACAGTGCTACATCGCACACAGTGCTACATCGCACACAGTGCTACATCGCACACAGTGCTACATCGCACACAGTGCTACATCGCACACAGTGCTACATCGCACACAGTGCTACATCGCACACAGTGCTACATCGCACACAGTGCTACATCGCACACAGTGCTACATCGCACACAGTGCTACATCGCACACAGTGCTACATCGCACACAGTGCTACATCGCACACAGTGCTACATCGCACACAGTGCTACATCGCACACAGTGCTACATCGCACACAGTGCTACATCGCACACAGTGCTACATCGCACACAGTGCTACATCGCACACAGTGCTACATCGCACACAGTGCTACATCGCACACAGTGCTACATCGCACACAGTGCTACATCGCACACAGTGCTACATCGCACACAGTGCTACATCGCACACAGTGCTACATCGCACACAGTGCTACATCGCACACAGTGCTACATCGCACACAGTGTTATTACAGAAAGTCTGATAACACAGAACTGTTCCTAACAGTAATCTGTCTGCTAGATTACTGTAACAGCTGAAGGTGTGGAGGGGGGGAGGAGGGAGCGGAGGAGGGAGGGAGGGAGGGAGGAGGGAGGAGGGAGGGAGGGAGGGAGGGAGGGAGGAGGGAGGGAGGGAGGGAGGGAGGGAGGGAGGGAGGGAGGGAGGGAGGGAGGGAGGGAGGGAGGGAGGGAGGGAGGGAGGGAGGAGGGAGGGAGGGAGGGAGGGAGGGAGGGAGGGAGGAGGGAGGGAGGGAGGGAGGGAGGGAGGGAGGGAGGGAGGGAGGGAGGGAGGGAGGGAGGGAGGGAGGGAGGGAGGGAGGGAGGGAGGGAGGGAGGGAGGGAGGGAGGGAGGGAGGGAGAGAAGGATCACGAATGGCTCAATGGTACTAACGAACTGTCCTGATAATCCTAGCGCTAAATAGTAACCTTTATACTGGGGATTGGTCAGTTTGTTCAATAGGGAGTAGGTTTTTTGGCTGGGACCTAGAACACTGTTATTTGGCCAGCGCTGGGTTTTTAGAAAAAATAACATATTTAGTTTTACAAAATATAATAATAATAAGTTTTACAAATTACTTTTACTGACAAGTAGGGAGGTGGTTAAGTATGTTTAGTCGTGTGATCAAGTTATTCTAGGATGAAAGTTAATAGATTAAAAATGTTTTAACGTGAAGCAACTGATAGATAGGATAAGAAAGACTAATCAGTTTTTCACTTAGCTATTGTGTCAAACCTACACTAGCGTAATCATTTGGAAACCCCCCTCCCAACTCGGCTGATTACGTAATATGTGAAAGACCCCTAAGCAAAACTGTACTGCTGAGCTGTACGGAGAGCTGTACGGAGATAGCTGAGCTGTACGGAGAGCTGTACGGAGAGCTGTACGGAGATAGCTGAATTTCTCTAGTTGTGTAATAACTTACATTGAACTCGTTCATCTCAACACTCAACAGCAGCTCATGTATTGTACATTTCATTCAATGTTCGGTATTTGATGAGTGATAATATACAACCTGTGAATGTGTGCAAGCAAAGCTTGACATGTCTGATTGTTATGTAGATAGTACATGATCATAGTAATGAATAGATAATAAATTGTAAATACATAGTCCGGCTTGAGCTACTAGACAATCAATCTTTTACAGATTCCCTCATTATTCATGTTGAAACCACTACCTTTTGACAATATCATGATCCCCGGCGCTGTACTGTGTACGCAACGACATTAGAAAATGAGCTTGAGCTATGAGCCGGGTAGTTGGGTAAATATATCACATGTGTTTGTGTACCGTGGAGTTCACCCGCACTAGATCCTCTGACACACGATGAACTGCTTATTAATTCACAGGATGGAATATTGGAGAATATTGCGTAAGGCTTCAGCAGGTCCCACCTACCTCCGGGGACAAATATTAATAACATTAGACTGGACCTCCATTGTGCGCTCTCTCAATGCGAGTTAATTGTGATTGTAGTATTAACATGATATGATTTTCTAAAGTCTAGAACACACCTGAGATAAAATTGATAGAGGACCTGATTACATGTTGGTAGGGCCTGATTTATCATAACTCTTCAATAATGGGGTATCTTAGTGAAGCCCTTGTCGGGGTAAATGGATTTTATACTTTGATCCTACCGCCTGCCTAATATTATTATTTTGGGTTTTTGACAGCTCTTGAGCAATGCAACCTACTTTTTTGAAAAAATGAATCGTAATGATGGGTCTTACCGTAATCATAAAAGATAATACATAAAATGGTAACAGGTGGACGGTGGTCGAAGGTTTTTGTTTACCGATTCAGACGAGCATGAATTATATATATCATTGACTTCTCAGATTTGTCTCAACCGTCTCAATTTGTTAATTTCCAAAAAATTAAATATAAAAATGTACAATTAAGTTGTTTTACTCCCAGATTTAGTAGAAGATATGAACTGTGCACTAATCCAGGTCCCCCCTGCTCAGGAGCTAGCATCAGTTGTGTACAGTACGAACGTGTTGGGCTTCAAGGGACCCAGGAAGATGACAGTGTTAATACCAGGCATGACTGGCGATCGAGAGAGGGTCGAGATACGTCCTGAATCAGAACATGTGAGTTTTAAAGAATAGTATACATTATACATTATAATTTATAATACATTATACATAAATAGAGGGTGTGGGGTTTGGTCAAATTCAAGTTCTTATTAACTTACGTCTAAGACGGAAACAGTTTCTTCGAGTAATGTTTTTATATTGTGTTGCACGAATAATGTTTTTATATTGTGTTGCACGAATAATGCGTCAGAACATTTGCATTTGTAAAGGGTGGGAATCTTGCAGATACTGCCTGACGTTGCCTTCTTTAGTAATCCAGATTCCAGCTCTCAAGTGAATTCAGTATTATGTAGCCATTCGAACCGGTCTCTTTTCTGAAAGCCGTTGATAAAGAATGACCAATTTAATTAATTTCAAACTCTTCAGCACTCGATACTGGAGCGTTACAAGAGAGGAGAAGCGGGTAATCTGCTCGAACTTCACAACAAGACGCCTGTTTGGAACGACGAAACTCAGAGCTACGTCCTTAATTTCCACGGTCGCGTCACTCAGGTACAATAACACAGATCTTTTAGTGGAGGTTGCACAATAATATGTCTAGTATACAATGCATCTTATCTGACCTGCGTGATTCTTGAGGTCACATTCATTGTTTGAATATAATAGCAAAAGACCTGGTTGATAGTGGGTAGGATGAGCCAATGGCTCCCACCTCCATCTTAATTTAAAACCGAATATGGTTCGCTGAGCCGTTTTATTTTCTGATATATACGAGACTGTAATTTAACAATCAACTCCCACTATTGACCAATCACATCCCCGAGATAATATCACATGTCAAACCAAACATCTCCAACCTCCCCAACCAAACCTATCCTCGTACAAACTAACCAATTCTTCTGCTATCTTATAGTCGATACCTTCTTCTTGCGAATTGTGCAGTAGAAATGATAACCACAGTTACCTGCGATATAAACACAATGTTAGGCTGTTTAGTGGTTGAAGGCAGAATTTAAGGGGGTTAAATCGGCTCTTTCCTCTGGATCTGGATAGTCGAATTACTCCCTGGCCCCTCCTTTATTAATCGAATATCAAGCTTTGCTTTGAAGACTACAACGTTTAATAAAGACTGCAAATCATGACCATCCTAAGAGTGCTCACTTTCCATGAGAATATTGGACAGCTATACTCTAGATTTAAACCACAGTTTCCATTACGAAGGAGAACAATCCAGGCTACTAGGTGCTTTGAAAGTTTCTCCTGCAGAGCTATCCGAACAATACCAGACACTCATTAGCAACGAGCTCTTTAGCTTTATACCGTATTAAATTACACGGCGTGAATAGTTTAGGTGGGTGTGTATAGGATCACCAAGGAAGCAAAGGGGCGAATATCGTATTGTACCTCACATTACCATGACAACAATATTAGCATCATGACCAAAATAATATTACCATAGGCAACGTTTAGCTGCAGGGCGAGCTAGCTCTTTCAGCTCTCTGCTGCTCGGAGCTATTAATCACGGCATAGCATTGGTAGAAGTGTTTATCACGTTGCTTTGTCAAGCAATACAGCTCCATCAGATCCGAACTAATCTTTAAATTGCACTGAAATTATTATATATGAGGCCGGTCATTTTAGAAAACATTATCCGATATGAGGTTTTAAGCGTACTGTACGTGGATTGTCTTGTTTATCTGTTATTTATTTATAGAGTATTAATGTTTGCTATTTAATTAGTCTCCGTAAGTTGCTTCAACACCTGGTAACGGACAGTTTCATTGTAAGATTTCTATTGTGTAGGGTGCGACCCCCTAGTGTGCATTATAGAGAGATGGGGCGCAATTATCAAGGTTTCTTGATCTGCAAACATATAGCAGGAACTATACCAAACATGGCTATAACTTAGTATATTTTGAATTTGTTAGCATGTTTAAATTTAGTTAAATCGCAAAATTTGTTTAACCAGAATAACATTGCAGGCGTCAGTGAAGAACTTTCAAATAATCCACGACAACGACCCCGACTACATCGTAATGCAGTTTGGACGTGTTTCTGAGGAAATATTCACCATGGACTTTAAATACCCCTTATGTGCTTTACAAGCATTTGCCATCGCTTTATCTTCCTTCGACGGGAAAATAGCTTGTGAATGACTCAATGTAGTATGTCCTCAGACACTTTATTGTTCTATTTCTTTACTTTATATATAAATAGTGTAGGACACATTATCAGAATTTGAGGAATGTATCCTCCTGGCTTGGTTGCCATGGATACTCATTCCCAAAACTCAGAGTCTTTGTACTTGGAATATTCAGAGAGTAACATGATCTTATCGTGATTAATTTATTTTCCCTTTTATTCGTACAACGATGTATATATGTTTTAAATGTTAAAAATGTTGATTATGTGTATTAAGTAAAAAAACTGCTACGATGAATTTATTATGAATTAGGGTAGCGTTAAAATTCATTAAAATATTGTAAACAGATGATATTATTAAACAATGATGATGTTTTTGAATAATATAATTTATGAAATGGGACCTAAATTCTTACCTCTTTATAGGAAATCTCATAGATTTTCGCAAGGATTTCCTAAACACTGTTATACGATTTTTAGTTTTATGGAATGTTATACCGGGCATTTAATTGGTAACTAATTGATAATTGATACCATAGACTGAAATCAACAAGACAATCAGTCGAATAACCCTTGATCAATCTTATATTATGAAGGAATTGGGCGACATCCCACAATAAGTTGAGAATATTATTTGATTATTATATGTTTTAGATGAGGATAGCCGGATCTATCACAGTATATTTAAATCAAGGAGATATTTTACTCATTCATAGATTGATATATAAAAGGGCGATTCATGCCCCAGTTGATATATACCTTAGTTCAGATGTTATGATTTTAATGTGTTCAACAAGTCTGTGTACAAAAGAATTACGTGTTTAGAAAGTTTAGCAGTATTTTATCCTTAGGTAACCGTCAGTAGGTTTGTAATCGTAGCTCGCACAAAGTTTAACGAAGTGAATTTGCAGTTGCGAGATTACAGTGCGTTATTTTAGTAGCGGAAGAAGAAGCAGCTCTGATTGGAGAGTCTGATATGAGACTTTATCAGTGTTTATAAAGGCTTGATTTGTCTCTCGTGTGAAGTGTCATATTGTGTCATGTTGTCGTTGTTTTAGCTGACATTTTGATGTCAAACTTTCGTGTTTTAATTTAGGGTCTGTACATGTTGTGTGCCTTATATAGTCTTATTTCCGTGCAGAGAACAGGAATTTCAGAATTTGTCTGTCATACCCTGAAATATGTACGTGGTTTGAGATGTTCACCTACCGTCCTAACAAGCAACTTAAAGCCGGAAGAAAATTCAAATTTTCGTAGTCATGTTTTTGTTTCGGGTAATATTGGACTAAAGAATCGAACAAATATCTGTTTCAAATAATCGGCGTTTTATTGTTTCACAGACAAATGATCTACCGGAGATAAGAGAAACAAGATAACAGAGTACACGTCTAATCTTATCATACTCATTACATTCCGAATGTAAATACTTAGAAACATACCAGCTAATCACCCATTGTTTCACAAAGTCACATTTAAAATTTCGAGTTTAGGACCCATGATTAGGAGAAACTTGATACGTGTAATTCAACAAATATTCTCCTATTCATGTTCACGATATTCCACATCGAGGATAATGTTCGCCAGAGATCTTTATCTCTAACACATGCGCGGTTACTAGTCTTTTATGAGGGGGAATTATTACACAGTTACACCATTGTGATTTTAGGAGACGAGTTTAACACTCTCCCCTGGGGACTGGGTCAAGTCTGGTAAAACTACACAGTGTCGACAATAAAAAGGGCATGACAAGGGCCCCACACCGGCCACCATATGGCAACTAACCGGCGTGTCACAGCATCTGTCAGATTATATGTAAATGTATTGCTCCAGAGAGTTTGTCAATTAAGGACAAATGTTACTCCGTCAAGGTTGTATGAATTTCTGAGAATATGTTGTATCGTGATATAGATATCTGTTCAGGTTGTGTGTACTGTGTGATGTGTATGTGAGCCGTGAGGGCCAGTCTGTGAGTGAGATGTTATTCAGTAGCATGTTGAGTGAGATGTTATTCAGTGGCATGTTGAGTGAGATGTTATTCAGTGACATGTTGAGTGAGATGTTATTCAGTGGCATGTTGAGTGAGATGTTATTCAGTGGCATGTTGAGTGAGATTTTATTTAGTGGCATGTTGAGTGAGATGTTATTCAGTGGCATGTTGAGTGAGATGTTATTCAGTGACATGTTGAGTGAGATGTTATTCAGTGGCATGTTGAGTGAGATGTTATTCAGTGGCATGTTGAGTGAGATTTTATTTAGTGGCATGTTGAGTGAGATGTTATTCAGTGACATGTTGAGTGAGATGTTATTCAGTGGCATGTTAAGTGAGATGTTATTCAGTGGCATGTTGAGTGAGATGTTATTCAGTGGCATGTTGAGTGAGATTTTATTCAGTGGCATGTTGAGTGAGATGTTATTCAGTCATTCAGTGGCATGTTGAGTGAGATGTTATTCAGTGGCATGTTGAGTGAGATGTTATTCAGTGGCATGTTGAGTGAGATTTTATTCAGTGGCATGTTGAGTGAGATGTTATTCAGTGACATGTTGAGTGAGATGTTATTCAGTGGCATGTTGAGTGAGATGTTATTCAGTGGCATGTTGAGTGAGATGTTATTCAGTGGCATGTTGAGTGAGATGTTATTCAGTGGCATGTTGAGTGAGATGTTATTCAGTGGCATGTTGAGTGAGATGTTATTCAGTGGCATGTTGAGTGAGATTTTATTCAGTGGCATGTTGAGTGAGATGTTATTCAGTGGCATGTTGAGTGAGATGTTATTCAGTGACATGTTGAGTGAGATTTTATTCAGTGGCATGTTGAGTGAGATGTTATTCAGTGGCATGTTGAGTGAGATGTTATTCAGTGGCATGTTGAGTGAGATGTTATTCAGTGGCATGTTGAGTAAGATGTTATTCAGTGGCATGTTGAGTGAGATGTTATTCAGTGGCATGTTGAGTGAGATGTTATTCAGTGGCATGTTGAGTGAGATGTTATTCAGTGGCATGTTGAGTGAGATGTTATTCAGTGGCATGTTGAGTGAGATGTTATTCAGTGGCATGTTGAGTGAGATGTTATTCAGTGACATGTTGAGTGAGATTTTATTCAGTGACATGTTGAGTAAGATTTTATTCAGTGGCATGTTGAGTGAGATTTTATTCAGTGGCATGCCTCCAGACGATCCTGTCTACTCAGTACTCTCTCTCTTTCTGTTCGAGGTCTATTAGTGAATATCAAGGTGCGGCTAGTAATAAGTTACTAGATCTAATATTGGCTCGCACAGGGTTTCATAGAAAACGAGAACATCGTCTATTTTATGGTGTTTCATGAGATATAACATGAGATAAACAATGTGTTTCTAGCTAGTTCAAAAGTATGATATTTATCTTCATGAAGTTCTTTGTCATATCTTAAAAGTATTGGCGGAAAGCAAACTTTAGTTATTGATGCTTGAGTGTAAGAAAAATCGCTAGTTTATTCATGATAATTATCCTATTTTCGTCGATTTGTAAGCCCTACGACTGGTCCAAAAAGTAACAGTTTATTGAAAGCATGACAAGACTTTGAGATCGATGTTATATATATAAAGTCTATATTAAAGACTTTGGCTCTTGGGCTGACATATTATGCGATCTCTGTTCAGTATGGAGTGATATTGTAGACTAGTATCTATTTAAATAATACTCTACACTTTATAAATACTTGCAGGCTACAAATGTTAGTTCTGTAGTAGACTGCCAGTAGGTGAGTTTCCCTCGGTTATCAATAAATCACCATGACAACCGTTAAATAAATGATCTTCATACTAATTGAAAGACGCTTGAACTTATTTTTGGGATTTCCATATAAAAGGGTAAGGCTTACAATAACAGGGAATATTTCCTGGTTGTAATTTGGTTGGCATGGTGCGGTACACCAAAAAATTGTTGACTGCCATGAAAATTATATTGATGATTGGCAAAGAGGCGACGCGCATGTCCATATTTGTGGCGCGCAAAATACTTCTTGTATTTAAACTAGAAAATTTCAGCAGCAAGTGTAACTTTTTAGAATTTTTCCGATACCAAATAAATTGCGACAATTGAATTACGATTATACTACTACTGCATGTGGCTATATCATCAAATTATATAATCCACACAATAGAGGGTTTGCTTGCCAGTCTCCAAGACAACAAGGATGATGTTGAACCTGATCATCCTCACCTCTGATACTGGATACATATGGAGCATTGAGCACACTGCATATTATATTATACGAATGTTAAATAAATTCCAATCCTACGCTGAATCACATCTGATAGCAAATCGACTTGTCAGCTAGTCGATCGCATCTGTCTAGTGTTAATGAAACGTGAACCTCGAAATTGAATAATTTGACTCTTTATGACCGTATAAGTTCCGAAGTCAAGCTATATGCGAATGAATACCCTGATTAATTACTAGTGATTTGATTGGAATTAGGGGAATCAAATCGGGGCTCTTAAACAGGGTCGCCTGGTGAAAGATCGACCACCGAGCAAATATCTTGTAGTTAGTCAAGCTAAAAACCGTAGTAAGACGTCGTTGGGGTGTCAACCAGGGATTTGTTGTACTTGTAGTTATTCATTATTCCGGAATCAGACTTATTATAAATTCTTTGGTCTGGAGATGTGAGATGTTTCGTATCACCCTATACTGGTATAACTTTATACTAAGGCTCACATTGTCTGATTGTCTAACGCAGATGAGGAATGTCTGGTATGTCTGAGATCGCGTGACTACTGATTGTATGTTAACCAGACACACGGTTTTCCATTACCAAGCAATCCGAACTGTGAAAGTATGACGATCTGAGCCGGGGTTTCGTGTAATGGAGCTCAATCAACGTGTGGCCCTAGGCCTGGTGACGTAGTAAGGCCCTACTTACGTAGTTAGACCCAATTACCGCCAGCACTGGCCCATGGGAACTGAAATGAGCCCACCTTATTAGACTCAATTGGACAGTCCCTGCCCCTAATTAGGATTCCGGTATCCACTTCACTTCCAGGTATAAAGGAGGTACTGGGATACCAAATCAATATTATCATTCAGTCCATTTCTATCTTTATCTGTCTCAACTACAACTCACAAATCCTACACAACTCTAACAACCCTTCTATCACATCTCCTTTAATCATGAATTCGACATCTGCTCTTGACAGTAACTACTTCTACAACCAGTTGACGGAACTTGCAGCCCAACAGGATAGGAAGAGCAGGACCAGCTCCAAACATCCCTCCTCTGAGGAAACAGAATCAAACTCTCCGCGATCTGACGAGGAAGTCCTGTCCGTTCCTGACCAGAACTGCAGAGAGGTTATCAAGACGGATCATCCCTTCCTGAAGTACGCTGTGAAGCTGGGCTACGAGTTGGAGCTGGCACAAGATGCTTTATCCCGTCTAGGAGCCGCTGCTTCGACAGATTCCCTACTGAAAGCGGTGTTGTACAGCTACGCAGCCCTGAATCCTAGCAGAAGGAGCAGGAACAGCAGAAGACACTACGGCAACTATAACAACAACAACAGCAACAGAACCTACCATAACCACCATCACAACAATCAGTACATGAGCAATGGTAAACCCTTCCCCTCCTACATGATCACCAGGGACAGTTACCAGCGGTTCAACGGCCACCACCCTGAAATCTCAGCCCTGAAATCAGCACTCAGCCAGGGACCCATCACATTCCCTCAGAACATGAACTTGAAACCCATCAGTCCACCTAACTCTCATAATAACGGTGTTTACACATCACAGAACAACGACCCTTACGACTTGAACGTCAATGCTGCTCCCTTCCAACCCTTCGCTTACTCTCTCGAGTCATCACCCGACAGTCTGTCACTCAGTGAATTCTGTTAGATTGAGTGAACAGTACAAATTCCCTCATTCTCACTGTATAAAATTGTATTATTATCATCCAAGCGTGTCAGCTACTGACGAAGGATTTTTGCGCTTTAGCATGTATCAGTTATTAGAGTTTCAAAAGCGCTCGTTGATATAGGGTGCATATATTTGGGTGCCATCACTATTCACTTTCCAATATTTACGAAAAGACTCTTGTGTTTATGATCCGATGTGATATACGAAATGTAAAATTATGGCTTCATTTATTGGAGCATACTGTTTTATTCAGGAACTGAATCACTGTTTCTTAATTCCTCAACTAGGCGACAGACGCACAATTTACTCTGAAACTTAAACTGTACAAAAGTTAAATAATAGTATAATACATACCAAAAGCATCACAATATCGAAAAATAGGAAAGTGGACACTGCAAACTGTAAAAGATTCTGAATATATTTCGGTTGTCTCATTGGAACAATAATGAATAACACTGATATTATTTCTCCTTACAGTTCACATAAAATGGAAATTTGGTTGCCCAAAATGGCGGGGGAGGGACAGTTATCTATAAAATAACATTACTGTGCCTGACATCTTCGGGACAAAATTCTTCAAGTCGCATTATAAAAGGGTGAGAAGTTGGGGTTGTCCAATCAGCAGTTAGCTTCAGGGAAGTGTAGTAAATACAGGGTCGCTACATCCCGGCATTGTAAGCGTAATCAGCTTTGTTGTGCATTATCAACTTGCCGTCCACGAAGTAAAAACTGTCTGATTTTGTCTGGAAGGGATTCTGTACCATTTCTCTCACTGAAATTTGAAATGTATTAATTTTATGCCTTGATCAATCATAAGAGTATTATTGGCATGCTTCTGCGATGTGATCGGGTAAGTGTGGTCGATATACAGCCCACAGGTTAAGAATATGCAATAAGGTAGTAAATCGTAAATGCGAAAAGTTATATCAGACGATAATGTGAGTATTATGCAGATTGCGAAGCACAAGTTCGGGTTTGTTGAGAGTGCAGCAGAGTTTTTACAGTGCAGCTAGATCACATCGATAAGATTCCACATGGCGCGGCGCGCAATAAGTTTGATATATTAAATAACTAGAGTGGCCGCGCGGGTCACGTGACCGCGCGCCTTTATTTCGCCGGGTTTGAGAAGACCCTTTTGAGCCTTGTGCAAACGTAGCATTGCCAACTCCAACTGTCACACCATAATTCGATTAAGTACCGATAGTCACGTCTTCTATAAATTATGAACTTATGATCAATGATAATGATACAGAAATCCCGCATTTATTCTATTCTAGAATGATCTGAAAACACATACTGAGCTCTTGAGATAGGGCAGGTAAGTCGTAAATATGTTCGCAGGTATTTAAGCTACTCGGCATACAGAAACCGAAGTCGAAGTCAAAGCTTTTTATCACTTGATCTTTGAAGTAATGCCTCTCCACCATTCTGAAGCTGTTTACAGGTTTGTCTCCAATAGTGAACTCCACCCTGGTAAAATGAGCTGTAAGTATATTAAAGTGAGATTAAGGACAAATGTGGCGACCTGTTACTTTATTAGTGCCCTTCTGTCACCCATAGCAACGTAATTCAAAGGACTATTAAGTAGTCAGTAGGTGATAATTCTTTTCATACTAAAGATCGGTTAATCGCCCATAATTAGCGACTCAATTATCAACAATGTGTGATACTACAATGTTCACAGTTCAGCTTATTATTAGATTAAAGTTATCACTCACGTTGCACCAATCTGTTTCAACTTTAAAAACTCGGGAGGAAACTCGTATCTGACGTATCTGCCGGCGTTAGGATCAGAAGAAAGTGACATCTCACTCGCTCCCTCGGGTTTAGCGATCTCGAACAAGACCCCTCCCGACTCCATGTCACGGATCTTGAACTTGGTGAAGTCTATCTTGTAGGCGTTAGCAGTGATAGGGCACAGGTAGTCTGGAGGAAGTTCCGTGTTAGAATGTGTTATTAGTCAGTTCTGACTATTAGGAGTGAATCTATGAAAACTGTAGTAAATGTACGACAAGAATAATATATCCTAGACAGGAACCGCTTATAAAGGAATTCAATCTTTAAATGTTCTCCGTTGTAACGGCGTAAAAGCTATTTAAGGGCACATCACCAAAACCGTTTATGATTTGGCCGGGGATATGACCTCGGGAAATATCCGGCCAAATCATAAACGGTTTTGGTGTATGTCCCCTTAAATGCTTGCGGTGTTCATTGTTCAGTCGATAAATGGTGCACCATCTATCCGCTTTCTACTTTATAACCAGTTATTTCAGGGCTACATAAATGGTATGATTATTTCAACAGATCATATTGTTTGGTGAATATTTCAGAGTTCGCGCAAAATTTACACCTGTAGTATAGGTCATTAATAGGTCATTAATCAGCAACTCAACAAAAAACAAAGATTTAACTTCAGCTCACCATCTGTGATCCGGCCTAACTTTAAGATGTCGTCCACAGTAACCGAATCTTTAGCTCGCAGTTTCTTCTCATATTCAGCCTGATCCAGAACCTTCTCTGATTCTGCTTTTTTGGCTTTCCTCGCCAGGAATCCTCCTTTCTTCTTGTCTGTGGAGGCTGGGGTGTGGAGCGTGTTTTTACCAGGTAATTGGTTAATTAATTGATTAATATTAATGTTCAATTAATTATCTTTGGAGTGCCTTATAGTCAACATTACTATATTAGTATAGACCATGTAATTTAATGGGTGGAATCGCACATAATTACTTCATCGAGCAAGATAAGGAGCCACCCCATAAACCCGTATATCGCATATGAACAAAATTACACGATAACTTGGCGACGATAGAGGTTGACATTTAGTGAAAGCGTAAGACCTTCAGCTGGTACAGTTAAAATACTATGATATTGCGGATAAGATTCGCTCAGCAGATTGCCACACGTACTGTAGATCGACACGTACTAAACTGTAAAGTCCCTCATATTGTGCTCAACTACTTGGACTGTAGACGTGAAGTTTGAGACAAATGTGATTGAACTTTAGGTGTTGAACTACGTGAATCAACAAATTCGTTACAATTTCCTTATATTATTATTAATTATAATTAATTATTAGTAATTACCTGTACTCATAACATTCACTTCTTGGCTAAAGAAGATAGATTTGGTTAGCTGCGTTGCTATTAGTAACAATGAAACAATAATAAAAAACAACACAATTGATAACAGTACAAGGTCAGAGTAAACGAGCACTGCGAATTGCGATATAACCAGTGTTAATAATAAAAGGGATGAGTAGCAAACCAGCTCTCAGCTTATCAACCACAAACAAAGGAATAATGTGAGAGCACCTCTCTTTTTATTTCCTTTTATATGTCAGTATAATTAGTATTTTCAAACTAGCACTTATGTCTTGATCATAAGCTTTCACTACGTCACCGAGATCAATGTGGTAGAAAAGTATTTGTTGACAAGGCATAATCACCGAGAAAATATCGCTACCTTACGTCATCACTATCGTATAAACGAGTATTTCAATGAGATCATCTTTCAAAACAGGAATATTTGGACAGTTTTTAATAAATCTTCATAGTTCATACAACAACATCGAAAACCGGAATCTGGAGAAAAGTGTATAAAACAACCAGAAGTAATACAAACTTTCCTAATTTCTACGTAGAAATGGTTCAACGTACATTACAAAATTTGTAACCACAACAAGGAGTCGCGACCTTAAAAGCCAGCAATGCTTATAAATGAGTTAACTTTCAAGGAAAGAAAGGTATTAAGACTGTGCTCAACGCCTATTAAGCCATTAGCTGTACCTAGTGTACAAAATGTACGTACAAAGAAGCAAGACTAAACGTAAACTCAATTATTTAACTCTCTCGGTCCAGTGAAATGGTTACAAATGCTTTTGATGACGTCCTAACATTTTAAAAGCAAGCACGAATTTAATAAACTATAATCTAAAAAGCAATCACATAAGATATTCATAAATATTTTAGATTCTAGGTAACACCAAATTACTAAAAACACAAAACCTTTGTACATCCTAGAACGATAGTAAACATAAAGTATAACTATAATTTTAATAATTATCATAAATTAAGAAATTAAGCGAATCACAAACTGAAAGGTCACGGGTCATGTATTGCTCTATTTATTTTCTTGATGTAAAGCACGTCCGATGATTATTTTCCTAACTTCCGTTGTCCCTGCGCCTATTTCAAACAATTTGGCGTCCCGCAGGAATCTACCCGTTGGATAGTCGTTAATGTAGCCGTTACCACCAAGAATCTGAATAGCATGCAAGGCACATTTTGTAGCCATCTCCGCTGTGAAGTATATCAGTGCAGCGCAGTCCTTGCCGGCAAAGTGCCCCTTGTCAGCAGCCCTGGCTGCCGCATAAGTGTAGTTCCGAGACACACCCAGGTATGTGTAGATCTGAGCAACTAAATCCTGATAATTGAGAGTTGGGTTATTTTTAGCTTTCTAAATCCTGAATATTGGGAGTTGGGATTGTGTCCAACTTTCTAAATTTAGAACCCGTGGTGAAAGTTGCTCCAGAGTAGCCGATGCTAATAATTGGAACATAGTTTTACGAACATGATCTGACCCGTGGCCGTGTCCAGTGACAGTTTTGGGAATGATGACCTTTTTCTTTGACAGAATACCTATACCGTTCATCGGATAGAAAAATAAATTCAAAATTGGCTTTAATTTTGGGGAAGAATAATCTGCCCTTAATAACATTTGACAACTTGAACACTGAATAGTTCAAATCATTTTTTCGCCTTAAAGCTCAGGTTTTAACTGCTCGACAATTTAAAATATTCTCAGAAATGCGGATGGATTGTTACTTTAAAAATTGAAAAATTTCTTAATTAACCAGAAATTATGAACTTCAAAAATCACATGGCACGATTGGCATTTAGCAGTTCACGTCAATTTCACGCCTTAAAAACTTAAGGATCACCAGTAACATAATTTAAGGAATTCTCATACATGGCCATGGAATAGTATAAATGATAAAAACGGTTATCATATAAAAGGAAGAATGACTTAGTAAATCACATATGAACGGTTTAAAAAAAAATTTAAAGATAACATTTTGCTGGCACCGTTTGAGATTGAAGGCTTTATTAATAACAAAACCTCACCTGAACAAGCTGATATGTGATGATTGGTTCACCCCACGTCTTCCTGGTGATAGCATAGGGTACAGAGACATCAAGACAGCTCTGCATCAGCCCCACTGGTCCTGCTGCTAAGACTAACCTCTCCAGATCCAGTCCACTCATCAACACGTACACTCCTTCGGGGGTATTGTCAAGTGATTAAGTGTGAGAAACACGTACACTCCTTCGGGGGTATTGTCACGTGATTAAGTGTGAGGAACACGTACACTCCTTCGGGGGTATTGTTACGTGATTAAGTGTGAGGAACACGTACACTCCTTCGGGGGTATTGTCACGTGATTAAGTGTGAGGAACGCGTACACTCCTTCGGGGGTATTGTCAAGTGATTAAGTGTGAGGAACACGTACACTCCTTCGGGGGTATTGTCAAGTGATTAAGTGTGAGGAACACGTACACTCCTTCGGGGGTATTGTCAAGTGATTAAGTGTGAGGAACACGTACACTCCTTCGGGGGTATTGTCACGTGATTAAGTGTGAGGAACGCGTACACTCCTTCGGGGGTATTGTCAAGTGATTAAGTGTGAGAAACACGTACACTCCTTCGGGGGTATTGTCAAGTGATTAAGTGTGAGGAACACGTACACTCCTTCGGGGGTATTGTCAAGTGATTAGGTGTGAGGAACACGTACACTCCTTCGGGGGTATTGTCACGTGATTAAGTGTGAGGAACGCGTACACTCCTTCGGGGGTATTGTCAAGTGATTAAGTGTGAGGAACACGTACACTCCTTCGGGGGTATTGTCAAGTGATTAAGTGTGAGGAACACGTACACTCCTTCGGGGGTATTGTCAAGTGATTATGTTGGCCTCTCGGACCAACAAGACTCTTTAATTATAGGTGGTTCTTTGCTAAAGTTCCGTTCATTTGGCTGAATTTGTCGAATCCATTTCTCTTGAGAACTCAAAGTTTTAGTATACCTCTAAGTCAAATTTATTTTACGGATTGAAACAGTTAATTGAATTAACCCGTAAAACTCAGCTACAGTGACTTGGGTCATTAGTCCAGTGAAACTTTCAAAATATAAAACACCGATAACGGGTCTACTCAAATGATCCAGGGTGTTGGTCATTAGTCCGGAAAAACTTTCAAAATATACGGACCTTCAAATGAGCTAGGGTACATAGTTCCGTGTTGATTAGTTTCAATTGAGCATTAACGAGACCACGCATCGGCGATCTAGAAGCCGTGTTTCGATGCGTCCTAAGGGGAACAACACTGCCCGACTATATCTGAATTTTAGTTGCGATAGCAACAAGTTACAATTCGACGTAGCTCTCAAATAAGCTACAAGTTCAATTCAAATCGGAAATATAAAAAGACTCTCAATATATGAACCTTATCTCCGAAGGTATCTACTTAATGAATTAATGGAAGTATTATTATATTTGAAGGCTTATTATACGACTCTATCAATTGTGTTCAAGTAACCATAAATTGAGACTGATTAAAAGCTCTAAAATCTAAAATATAAAATATAAATAAACCACAACGGCAGTAGCCAAAACTGGTGCCCTCCTGGTTCGAATTGACGATCTCTTCATATCAAGCTTCAATTACTGAAACATCAAACTTCAATCATTGAAACATCAAGTTCAATAAAATGGCTGAACTGGACAATGCAAAGAAGGAAATAGACAATTTGAAGAAGCAGCTACATGAAATAAATGATAAAAATGAGGATCTGAAGACATATGCCGACAAACTTAAAAATACAGTCAAAGACACTGCAAAGAAGAACGAAGATTTGAAGAAATATGCAGACGATTTATCGGACCGAAATAATAAATATGCTCGAGACTAATCAGAAGCTAGATAATGAATATAGAAGAATGCAACATGAATTGGACAAACGAACTCAGCTTAAAGAACAGGAAATGGATAAAGCCTATCTTGACGGACAGAAAACTGGAAAATTGGAGCTTCTGGAGAAATGGGACGGAAATAGAAAATCAGATATACCGCTAAGAAAACCCGACATCTTTCGTCACGGGGGAAACTTTAAACGATGGCTAAAGAATTTTCAACATTTTGCGACTGCATCAAAAATCCCAGAAAACAAGAGATTGGATGTATTAATTACCTATTTGGATCAAACATGTCAATCAAAAGTCGACACATTGAATTTCGACAGAATGCAGAGGCTGGATTTTGAAAGTTGTTGTGAAAAATTGGTACGAACAATAGAGGGATCAAATTCGAAAGCAGAATGGAGAACAAAATTATTCTCAGCAAAGCAAGAACCGACTGAATCAATCACGGATTTTGTAACTCGTCTTAACGACATGGCGGAGCGTTGTTACGGCACAGAAAAATCAACAATTAAATCGCAGATTTTATACGACTGTTTCATCAACGGATTAGCGTCTGAACAAATCTGTTTTGAAATTATAAAAAACGGGACCAACGACTACGCGACGGCATATGGTCAAGCGCTAGATTTAGAAGCTATACACGCACTTCGAAGTGTCAAACCTAAAGTGGAAAAGAAAGAAGTGAAATTCGAAGATGAAGAAACAGAACTGTTCGCCATTCAGAATGGACAGATGCCGAATTTTAATAGACAAAACTATCAAAGACCAAATTTCGATCGTCAGTACAATCAGAGATCAAACTTCAATCGCCAACAAAATCAGAAACAGAATTTCAATAATCAGTGGAACGACCAAGCACCAAACTATGATCGACGAAACGATTTTCAAAGAAATAATCAAATGCGAAACTCGAATCGAAGAAACAAATTCTGTAATATTTGTCAATATAATAATCACAATACGGAGGAGTGCTTTTTCAGACAAACACCGATTTGTATGTTTTGTGGAAGAAAAGGTCATAAAATAGAAGACTGTTACACTAGACTGAATCAAATGGCAAGGAATAGTGCTAAACCATCGCAAAGCAGAGGCAATTATCGAGAAATACAAAAGAAATTCGAAAATAATTACAATGGGAATCAATCTCAGGAATATAGACCGCGAGCAGTAGAGCAGGAATATCAGCAACAACATATCGATGGAAAGGATCGATGGAGAAGATTTATGGAACTAAATAATCAAGAACTTGATAAACAGGAAAGAGAAGAATTCATGAAAAAGCGATCGAATTTAAACTAATTTGCGCTTTCAACGTCGATACAATAAATGAGGGTACTGAGGAAGAAGACCCGATGTTGGAAGCACAATATGAAAATCAAGAAAATTACGAAAATCAAGAAAATTGTGAAATCCAAGAAAATAGCAATAAAGAGATTGGCGAAAGTGGCGAAAATGTAAATAAAATCAACGATGGCAGTTCGAATATATACATTAAAGTTAAACTCGGGATAAACTGATATTAGCAATGATTGATACCGGGGCGATAAAGAACTGCATGTCACATGACATGTTTCAGTCAATATTCAAAGACGTGCACCTAGAATGTACTGATCAAAAGTTTAAAACAGCAACTGGGTCGCCCATAAAAGTTTATGGTTGCATACCTCTACAAATGAAGATCGAGACCAGAATATGTGACGTAAATGTCACAGTATGTGATATCAACGAATCATTGATCCTCGGAAACCAGTTTTTAGAGGACAAAAGAGTGGTCATCAATTATAAATCGCTGTTATTGAAGGGTGATGACTTTGTGACACCAATGTTCAGAACTACGGAAACTCATCGGAGTTCAAATGTCGTAAATTTAATGAATAAAAGCATTGATAACGACGGAGTACTAGTATGTAAAATAGACAACAACGATTTTAAATTGCCTGGTACATACATATATACACCCAACTGCGAAATCTGGGGAGAAAATGTAAGCCCAATAGTGGTCAATATTACTGAAGAAGTGTTTGAAATAGATGTAAAAGGGAACAAAGAGTATGAGCTTCATATACAAAAAGATACAATAGTAGGAACTATTGAAGAAGTACAGGTAAATGCTATTCAGCAGGAGCTAGAAACTTGGAACATGAGTCCTGCCGAAAGATTAGAAATATTAGTAAAACAGGTCAAGTTATACGAAAATGAAAATCTAACAGATGACGAAAAAATGAAGGTGAAGGAGTTACTTCTCGAATTCCACGACATATTTTCATTATCAAGAAAAGAAATGTCATTATGTACAATCTATAAACACGAAATAAAGTCGAAAACAGATGAGGTGGTACAGTGCCCACATAGGCCTAGACGAAATTGGTTAATAATTTTAAATGTGACTTCAAGTGGCTGGAACACAGATCTAAGACTACGACATCTTGTTATTTCTCGGATGGAGTAGTAATAGCGAATCATGAGGATACATTTACGTCCTCTTTGTCAAATATGGAGGGTTGCGACTATAGTTCAGGGTACTGTCTAACGCATAACGGAAAACACGTCACTTGGAACGTGATTGAAAATGTAAAAAGGGCTTATTTGCCTGTGGGGCAGTTCAATGCAACACAAATCGAAAATAAGCTACTCGTACCCGAGTTGAGCATGTCATTTAATCTGCCGGAGAAAAATCCGGGTAACACTTGGATCGATAGGGATTTCCAAATAAAGGGAAGCCCAGCCCCGTATCAATTTAATCTTGAAAATGTAAATTCGAATAATGAAAATGCGATCGAAGCAATAAGAGAGGAACTCGTCAATAAATTTAATTATCTTTTGGAATTAATTAAAAGTCCGTTGGCGCAAACGGAGTATTTGTGTAACGTGCACAACGACATATATGGGACTGAGAGAATCCTAGCGAAAATCGATCCAACTGATTACGTACAATGGAAGTTAAATAGGACGGATGTAAAGGCTAAATTGGTCGGAAAATTGTTAATGATTTATCCTTGTCTGCAAATTCAACATTATCGATTCATAAACGACACCAACAGGTGTTATAACGGGTTTAAAATAGAATATAATCTGCCGGAAAATGATGAATATATTGAGGGCTATGTAGATCCTAAGTATAACATGATAATGCCTACCGCAATAGAGATAGATTGCCACAACTCTACGACCCAATATATGATGGTGAATAATACGATTCTCGCTCAAAGTGCTCATGGGTTACACGAAATGAGGGTAAACCTTTCAAAGGTAGAAAGTATAGACAGAGTGAAACTTACTGGAATACCCATGTCTCAAGATTTTCA